TCCCCCCCCCCCCCCCCCCCCCCCCCCCCCCTGATCAAAACACTCTTTCCGGTGGTTGGTGTGTGTAGGCTGCTCGACTAGAGGTACAATCCCTCGGGAATGTTGCCCTTCTTCTTGTAAAGCGCCTTCTCCTTCGCCTTGCGAAGATCTGCACACACAACCACGACCACAGCCACAGCCACACGCGCACACACCACCAACCATAGAGTGTATCTAGTCAGTCGAGACCGCACCTTCTTGGTTGACTTTCATGCGTCTCTCGCGCAGGGCGAGCAGCCCCGCCTCCGTGCATATGGCCTTGATGTCCGCACCTGACGTACACACAAACACGCGCACACACACACACACACACACAGGCACGCAACATTAGCACTGGTGACTCCATCCGTCCATCGCTTGCAGCGTGACACCCATACCCGAGAGTTCGTCCTTGGACATGACAAACTCTTCCAGGTCGACATCGTCAGCCAAACTCATCTTCCCCGTGTGAATCTACACACACACACACACACATATCACACAGGTGCTTCTCCATCTCTCAGCTGACGAGAGAAGGTCCGTCACTCAGTAGCTCACTCACCAGGAAGATGCGGCGTTTGGTCTTGGTGTCCGGGTTGGGAAGTTCGATTTTGCGGTCGATGCGGCCCGGTCGGATGAGTGCGGGGTCGAGCGAGTCGATGCGGTTGGTGGCCATGATGACCTTGACTTCGCTGCGCGAGTCAAACCCGTCCAGCTGGTTCAGCAGCTCCAGCATGGTACGCTGGATCTCACGCTCGCCGCCGCTCGTCGCCTCGTAACTGCCTCACAGTTTGAGACAGAGAGAGATGCGCGTGTGAACAAACACGCCACGCCACGCCACACAAGGAAAGCACCGATGGTCTGTCTGTCTTGTCGCCCACTGACCGTTTGGTGCCCACAGCGTCGATTTCGTCGATGAATACGATGGATGGCGAGTGCTCGTCGGCCACGCGGAACATCTCGCGAACCAACTTGGGACCTGACACGCGACACATAGGCAGGCCGTTGACCTTCCCTCTCTCGCCTCGCGCTGTGCGCATGGATGTGGTTGCTCATCATACCGTCTCCCAGGTACTTCTGGATGAGCTCCGACCCGACGACACGCAGAAAGGTGGCGGAGGTCTCATTGGCAACGGCCTTGGCCAACAACGTCTTGCCCGTGCCGGGGGGGCCATACAAAATCAAACCTGCATGCCATGCAGGAGACAACAAAAGGCAGGCAGGGCGGCATCCCATCAATGCTATCGTGTCGCCTTCGTCTTCCTTGTCTGCTGACTGGACTGACCTTTTGGTGGTTTGATGCCGATGTCTTCATAGAGCTCGGGGTGCGTCAGGGGCAGCTCGACGGCCTCCTTGAGCTCCTGAGGCAGGCCACATGTGCATGGCATGGACGAATGGAGCCAACACAGACGTCAGTCAGTCGACTGACATTGCCCTTGTTCGTCTGCTGTTCTTCTCAAGACCCACCCACCGACCTGTATTTGCTGTTCGAGTCCTCCGATGTCGGCGTACGATTCGAGCGGCGCCTTGTCGACCTTCATGACCGACACCAACGGGTCAACTTCATCTTGCAGCAGCCCAACCACAGACAGGTTCTGCACACACACACACACACACACACAAATGCAACGTGAGCAAATAGGTGAGTGCCTTGTGTGCCTGTGGGATGGCTCGGGTCGGCACCTCACCTTGTTGTGGAGCAGCACGGAGCAGCCCGGTTCGATTTGGTCCTTGTCGACGAATGAGAGGATGTTGACGTAGTACTCGGGGCCGACACTGGTGGCGACGATGGCGTGGTTGTCGTCGATGATCTCCTCCAGACTGCCCACTGTCAGGGGGCTGCCGCGTAGGTCCTCCATCTTGGTCTTCTCCTCCTGCAGCACAGACAATGACCGACCGACGGCCGACCGACAGATGTGTGTGTGTCTGTCTGTCTGGGTGTGTTGCTGGGCTTGGTGGCGTCGTCTTGCCTCGTTCTTTTCCTCCTGGGGCTTCAAATTCTCCTGGTTCTGGATGTACTGCAGACAGACAGACAAGGGAAGACACACGCAGAGCAGACAGCCAGAGAGAGATGCATCTAGCGTCATACCGTTGGCCAACAGGTGACTATTGACCCATTACTTACCTCTTCCTCCATGAGCAGGTAGTCCTTGATGCGCTCCAGCTTCAGCAGACGAAGACGACAACGCGTGTTGGGGGTCACTGCAACCACACATCCACATAGGAGGGAGACACACAGCGGTCTCATCCCCGCCTGTCTGTCTGCCCCTGCCTGCCTGCCTCACCCGTGGGCAGTTTTGCCGCAGCGGCAGGTCCCTTGGATTTCTTCTTCTTGCGGCCGACGTGGGAGGGCGGTGCACTCTCTAGTTTGCGCTTCTCCTGCTTCTTCTTGTCGTCCTCCTTGCCCTGCTGACCACCCTGCTGACCGGGGAGACCCGGCGCGCCGGGAGTGTTGCCCATCCTATCAAATCAATGGGGATCACACCGCAACGCAGCGAGGGAGCCGGGGAAAGATGGACGCGTTTCTCCCCCGAAACTTTTAGGGTTTAGGGTTTAGGGTTGGCTTTAAGCTCGCATTCACCCACTTCTCAGCGGTTTTGCAGCGTGTCGACGGCTGATCTGGCTGCGAGAGAGGTGCCTGGACCTGTAGCTGCCGATTTCCAGCATCAGCACTCATTCCATCTCTGACCGCAGCCTCTCTCTCGCCACTTCAGCGCCGCATCAGCCATGAAGACCTCGTCATCCATCGGCAGGGACACGGCAGACGCCAGCAGCAAGCTTGGCAGCAAGCCGGCAGACAAGAATCTGAGCGACCGGCCGCTGCTGCTCAACGTGGGCGGCACACTCATGGCGTTCCCCTGTGATGTGCTGCGTGGGGATGGCCTCGAGGAGACCTGCCTGGCGGTGCTGCTGAACCGATTCGATAGCTGGATGATAAGAGATGCCGACGGCATTCACTTCATCGACGCAGACCCATTCTACTTCACCTGGTGAGAGGGGAGGGCAGGGAAGCATGCATCGCTAATCGCTGTTCGTTCTCTCATCTCTGTGTGTGTCTGTGGTGTCAGGTTGGCTGTGAAGCTGCGTTACCTCCACTACAACCGCATCGCCGTGACGGACATCACTGACGGCTGCCCCTCGTTGGCCTTCTACCACGACCGCTTCATGGCCCACACCGACCTGAGCATTGACGCGCAGCCCGGCGATGAGAACAGTGAGGCCTTCCGCGACTTCATGGCCGTCATGGGCCCCTTCATCGACACATCGGCGGGCGGCACGGGCGGCAGGGAGGTGCTCAGCGTGACTGTGGATGACGGCCGCGTGGTGGCCACCACCGACGCCACGCTGGCCGACTACAACATACTCTACGACCGATTCACCAAGTGGGAAGCGACACAAGCAGAAATCACATGGTCGATGCACCTGACCTCGGACCCACTTTGTACGTGTGCAGGTATAGAGGGCCCGTTGTCGATGTGTCTGCGACCAACCTCCACAAGTAACACCACACACACACAGCCAGATGGAACACACTATCTGTATGTGTGTGGTGTTGTGTGGAAACAGGGTGGTGGATTACGTTCGCCGCATTCGGCTGGCCCCCGATGGTGTCACGCCGTTGCCGATGAGCACATCGCCTGGCGAGCTGCTGTATGCGTGTGAGATGTACGGCCTCATGGAGCGAGTGTACCTCTCGATGATCGGCAAACCACACAGCCACATCAAATGCATCTTCAAGTGAGTCGGAAAGACCACACACAGCAGAGGAGATGAGAGAAAGGATGGACTCCCCGATCTGTGCGTGTTTCTGTTGTGTTGTACATCAGAGGATCGCGTGACGGCGGTGAGCTTGAGACACTGCTGGATCGCGTGACGGGTGCGCAGGGCGGCCTGCTGTTCGTCATCGAGGATGAAGAGCAGCACCGCTTCGCATGCCACTTGGAGGGGTCCCTCATCCCACCGACCGGCCCCACAGCAGTGCTGACCACCGGCTGCCCCGTGACCTTTTACTCCATCAGCGGCCCATTCAATGAGGAGGGCATCACCAAGATCACGGTGCCCCACCACCAGCAGCGTGTGGTAGTCGCCGGTAAAGAGGCGACGGTGAAGACCGACGACACGGTGGTCATCGGCGGGGTGGTCATCGGCGGGTGGTCATCAGTGCCGGTGCATCACGGCAAGGTGGTCATCGGCGGCGGCCGCCTGTGGCTGGGTCATCGGGCGGGTGCACCGCCCCCGAACCCACGACGACGAGGGCCGACGGCTGGCGATCTGCACAGCTGCCGCCAGTGGCTGACGAGGGGTGACCTGCCGTCAGGCAAGACGTATGTGGGCAGCTTCCACCAGGGACGGGCCACTCTGGCCGGCAGCCATGTCTTCACGGCACACCGACTGGAGGTCTACCAGGTCAGATGGACTTTGAGGAATACATGGTTGTGTTGGGGCTGTATGTGTGTGTGTGGGCATTTCTGTGCGCCTGCAGGTGTGGAGCATCCGTCCGGCCGACCCGATCATCCCTGCCGATGAGCTGCAGGCCCTCGTCGACATGGCGGCCAACACGCCCATGGCCGCACAGCTGCTCTTCAAGTGAGTCAACCATCACATAGAGTGGCGGGGGAAGTGCACTTTCCGTCTCCTCTGTCTGTCTGTCTGTCTGCATGTCAGGGGTTTGCGTGACGGCTGGACGTATGAGGCCCTGTTCGCCAAGGTGGGCGAGGCGGCCAACCTGCTGCTCGTCATCAAGGACACCGGCAGCCACACCTTCGCCAGCCATGTGGAGGGACAGCTCAAGCAGCCAGCCGACCCCACATCAACTCTGACCACCGGCTGCCCTGTGGCCTTCTACTCCATCAGTGGTGCGTTCAAGGAGGAGGGCATCACCAAGATCACCGTGCCCCACCACCGGCAGTATGTGTCGGTTGCATGTGTCGGTTGCCGGCACAAAAGGAGCGATCGTGGCTTACAGCGGTGTGTACCGCGGCAAGGTGGCCATCGGTGGTGGCCGCCTGTGGGTAGGGGCCGAGAGGGGTGGGGCGGCTGGCGACCTTCGCCGCTGCTGCCAGTGTCTGCTGATACGGGACCTGCCCGACGGCAGAAGGTACCGTGGCGACTTCACAACGCTGCCTGGGTACCCTGCCGAAATGCCAGTGGCCACCCTGGCGGCCAGTCCATGGTTCACGTGTGTCGATTTGGAGGTCTACAGACTAGAGGAGGTCGGTCAGATTCACACAGGATAGAAGCAGGGGGGCATAGCCGCGGGCATGGCACACCTGTTTCCTCTTGTCTGTCTATGTTGTCTCGTGTTTATGTGTCTCCTGACAGGTGCCGTACAGTTGGCTGTGGCTGAGTGCGGCGGCGTCGCTGATGGAGAGCAGACAGAGGGGCATGGCCGCTCTGTAGAGAGATCGGGAGGGCAGATATCGACCTACTCACGTGCCGATATAGTCCACACGACCCCACATCTGTAGCTATTGCTGTTGTAGCCATTGCGTCGAGGCCCTCGTCTGAGCGGCCAGGTGTGCCTGTCTCTGTCTGTCTGTGGTCTTTTTCTCCTTCTTACTCTCTCTCTCTCTCTCTGTCTGTCCCTCCCTGTGCATACGTCCGTTCTCTTCATCCATCCATATATCTCCGTCTCTCTGTCTCCCTGGTGCATGGCATGCACTCAATGCTTTGGTGCATGGCATGGAGTTGCGCTGCTGCGTGTGATTGTGTGTACAGTTACTTCAGAAACAACATGCGGCTATCACACTACCCTCAGAGCTACAAATCCATTCAGCTACAAATCCATTCACCTCTCACCCACTGCCACTGTGAGCTTCAGGGACGACAGGCGGACTCGGCAATGCATTCAATGAGTCAGCCCAGCCAACCGACGTACATAGCAATTCAACTCTTACCATCATCTCCCTCTCGAGTCCGCATCACAACGCATGAGCCGCGTCAGGCAGCCACGAACATAATGAGAATAGAGGAGAAACCAATTACAGCAGTCCGCTGAATGATGCACCGAGACAGGCTAAACACACCTTTATGTCGCCCTTGCCGCCCTCATTCTATGCCCAGCGACACGAATAGTCCGGTCCTCGATAGGCACCCCAGCTGCCCCCACTCAAATTGGCAGTCCTGGTCGCCGAGGTGCTCGTTGAAGCCCTTGACCACCCCCACCACACGATACTGGGCCGCCTCGTCCTTCCGAGCCTTGTGAATCACCTCACGCAACTCCATCGTCTGGCCACCCACATCGCCCACCACAAAGCACTGCAGCGGCACACGCACCATCACGCCGCCCACACTGGCCATTCTGCCCACCACCTCCCTGTTGCTGCTCGTCTGTGTGGCCGCCGACTTGACGAAGTGGCCGACGGCCGAGCGCACGCGACGTCTGAGCTGCGAGTCACCGATCAGGTACTCGTCGATGGCCGCCACAGCAGCGGAAGGGTCGTGCAGGAAAGCGCCAATCTTCCAGCCGATGGCCTCTGCCTCGTGTGGGCCGAATGCCATGTTGGATGGGGAGGGGTGGGGGTGGGCGCCGTCGTGGTGGGGGGCGAGGGGCAGCAGACGGGCGAGAAGCATCGAGTGGTCGCGCTGGGGGGCGAGGGCGGCGTTGATGGCCGACATGGTCACATCGGGCAGCTCACTCAGCACTGTGGTGTACTCGGTGAGCACCAGCTGACGACGACGGCGCTGCTCTCCTGTGGCTGTGGGGATGCGGCTGATGGATGGGGCCGCCCCGGCCCGCAGCAGCGTCCGGGTGATGGTCTTGTGGTGGCGGATCGATCTTTGGCGCCGCTCCTCCTCTCCCTGGTCCTCGCCCAGCCCGTTTCCATGTCCATGTTGCTGTTGCTGCTCTTGCATGAGATTATCGAGGACCTGCGCAGCCACTGAGAGGGGTGTCTCGTTGGGCTGGTTCGGGCTCCCTCTGTTGATGTCCTCGGCTGTGAGCTGGCGGCACAGCCAATCAGCCACATAGGGGGAGCCACACCGTGCCGCCATGTGCAATGGTGTCCTGCCGTAGCGTGTTGCCGTCATTTCGGCGCCGTGGCTGGTGATGAGGTCCAGGTACTGGTCGATGAACTGCTGCGAGAAGGCAGAACGGGCCATGGCTGCCCAATGGACCAGATTCTCTCCACCGAACCGCTCCTCTGGGAGTGTGCTGTCGTGTTGGATGAGCCGATGATACACCGACAGCAACTGCTTCTCCCCCTGACGAGTGACGTGGGGTTGAGGAAGCCGCATCACCGCAAAACCCCGCACGTTGGCCTGGCGCGCCAGCAGGGTCTCGACGGCCGTCAGATTGCCCGCCGCAACGGCCACTTGGATGGGCCTGGTGTACCCTTGACCCGCATTGACGTCCGCCCCGTCATCGATGAGTGTGTTGATGACGTCACGCTGCAGCTGCCTGGAGGACCACTGGGGAAGGACCACCGGCACGCTAAAGTTAGCATCGCTTTTCGCATAGAGAGATGGGCCGTTTGTTGGACTGTCAATGGCGAAAGACAGGCAGCCGTATCGCCAGGACGGAGGTAATGTGATGCCGCGGACGCGCAGGCCGCCGATGGCTCTCGGGTCGGCTCCTTGACGTACCAGCCCTGTGACTTGGTGGCTGGCGTGAGTGAAGTTGCAGCGGATGCAGCCCTCCAACAGCCGTTGGCTCAGAGCACTGACGCCCTCGTCGGGGATGGTGTCGACGTCATCCAGTCCCTTGCAGTAGGGCGGCACCGCCTGTGTGTAAGGTGCTTGCGATGCGGCGGACAACGACTGAGCCATCACGCCAAGCAACACTCTGCACACACAGACACAGATCACAAAGTCACGTGTCATTCCTCCGATCCAACACAGATGTTGCTGACGCACCTGGTCGTCGGCCCGGCCACCCGAACGGTCAGGTGAGGCTCCACGTCACGCTCAGCGTCTTCCGCTCTGATCGAGTGAGGATCGAATTGGTGTTTTTCTCGGACCTGACGTCAATAACGAGCTCCGAAGACACCAGCAGCGCTCATTTGTCAGCCCTTGTGGAAGATCTGCACCAATTTGGCGACAACAAGTCTCGGGAAGCTTGTTGTGCGCCTCTGCTGCTGCTTTGCGAGGTTGCAGACGTCCCCTCTCAGCTGGGGTGACCCTGAGCACTGTGAGAAGACGCTCTGTAGGCCGACCCATGTGCACTCCTTCTCATGCGTTTCTTGCTCCCTGCAGGATGAGTGGCGATGATCTGAGCACTGCGTCGCCGCCGCGCCACCCGCCGCTTCGTGGCGATCCCGTGACGCCCTTCGCAGACGTGCAGGCGTCGGTGGTGCTGCCCGTCGTGGGACAGAAGCTGCACGTCGAGCGCATCCTGCAAGACGACTTCCCCACATGCCGGTGGGGGCGCTGCGTGGAGCTCTATGACGGCTATGACGGCTGGTCTGTCGGCAGCATTCACCCCGGTGTGTGTGTGTGTGTGTGTGTGTTTGTTTGTGCAGGAATGTGCTGCTCCAGGGTGGGTGAGATCCACGGCCGTGGCTGGCTTGTTGGTTGGCTGGCTGATGAGTGTGTCCATCAATGTGTGTGTTCAGGTGAGGTGCTTCGGCTGGCTGTGGTGCTGCGGCCGCCGGCGTCCTTCCACGACAAGGCCACGCAGCATCGGTGGATTGAGCGCTACAAGGCCCTCGACATCTCAATCGACGTCACCGTTACCCAACAGCACGATGTGCCTATCTGGAGGGGAGGGAGAGAGGGAGGGGGCCATCGACCACTCTCCGTCTGTCTGCCGTGCCTCGTGTGGCCTGCAGGTGCGTCGTTCGGTGCTGGCTCCTCGGTACATCGACAGCGGCACCCGCTCATGTATCCCTGAAGGCGACACCCCACACCGCACCTTCACACACTTCATGCCCATCGCAACAGCTGCTGCTGGTGGTGGTGGCGGCAGCGGCAGCGGCACGCACCATGAAGCGCCGTCGCCGAGGGAAGCCAAACCAGTCGACGACCATCCATTGCGGGTGAGAAAGGCAGGCACCATCGAATAAGGTGGGCATCTTGTGTGTGAGGTTTCGGGGCGTATGTGCGGTGGGTGCGGTGTGGTGCATGTAGGAGGACTGGACGCCCCATGGTCGGGGTGTGGGTGTGGGTGAGGCTGCGCGTGTGGAGGACATGCGCATCGCCCATGTCATCACCACACCACTGGGTCAGCCACCAGTGGGTGGGAGGGGTGGCATTGTCCGTCTGTCTGTCTGTCTCGTATTGTCTGTCTTTTGCTGCAGCCATACTCGAGGAGTGTCTTGACAGGGAGGATCTGACGCTTGAGGTGAACCTCACTCTGGCACGACAGCAGCCAGCCGTCAACCCGGCCACCACACGCAGACTGAGGCAGAGACTCAAGGTAAGCGACCCCTCACACCCACACCCACACTCACACACACACGTGTGGATTGAAACACACTCACTCTTTCAGGTGCCTCTGGCGGAGCGTCAGGGTGGTCTGCATTGGTCGTCAGCACTCTCATTCGACGGCGGCATCCCCCCCACATCAGTCGAGGAAGCACTCTCACCTGCCGCCACGTTATCGTCCATGGGCAGCAGTGGTGCTGGTGGTGGTGACCATGACAGCAGGGCTCCCATACTGAGCGACATCATGCAGCTCTTCAGACACACCGAAAAGGTGTGTCGGTGTGGGGGAAGCTGCCCACAGTCACCCTTTGTGTTTGTGTGTGTGTATGTCAGGCTGGCCGCGAGTCGTCCCTGCGGGCATCTTTGTCTCAGCTGCCGTCGACGTATCGGCTGAGCTACCCCATCGAGCTGCGGCGGCCGCTCACCATGGGCCACGAGTGGGCCCACGACAGACACGGCATGTACCTCGCCGTGCGAGTCGCCAACCGAACTGGTCAGTCAGTCAGTCAGCCGCACGAAATCAGTGGTCAGGAGCACGCCATGCGCTTCTGCCATCACTCTTTCTCTCTCTCTCCCTCTCTCTGTGTGTGTCACGATATAGGTTCGGTTCCGCTGACAGTGACGGACGTCATGACCACCATGACGGACGCGACGAATGAGGTGGGTCGGGTGATGCCAGTGAGAGCCGCAGAAACCCTCAGAGACCTCCATGTATGTGTGTGAGTCAGGTGTATGACTTGCCCAAACGGTTGTCGCCTGAGGAGGAGACGTCGTGTGTCTTCCGGCTGCCTCGGGAGGACCCACTTAGCCCCACACAGCCCACCACCCCAACTACCATAGCTGTCAAATGGTGAGTGAGACAGACTCACTCACAACGCCTGTGTGTGCGAGCCAATGGCTGGGTGGCTGGATGGATGGATGGCTGGATGCGTCAGGGTCTATGGCGGGTACAGTGTGTCGGGGGACGAGCAGACCTACGGGGTGTGGTCGAGTGTGTCGGTCGAGCGGCCCCGCAGGCCCGACACCCCATTACACGTCGACGTGGACGGTAAGCCCAGCCTGACTGACATCACCGCAGCCACTCTACAACCCCCCTGTGTGTCTGTTTCAGGTCCGCCGGAGTGTGCGCCCTTCTCGTGTTTCGTGCTGGAGGTGACAGTGTGCAATCGCCGGCCGTCGAGCGATGCGGACGTGACGGTCACTCTGGAGGAGGGGGACGGGAGCGGCGGACAAGGAGAGTGGGGGTGGACGGGGCCGCCACTGGTCGTCGTGCAGGCCAAACAAACACTCGGGTAGGTATGGCAGCGGACACACAGATAGATGGATGGATGGATGGATGTGTGTGATGCGTGTGTTTAGGCGCATCGGTCCCCGTTCGTGTGGGAGTGTGCAGTTCAGCGTTCAGACGACGCGTATGGGCGTCTTTGAGCTGCCGCGGTGTCAGGTGGAGTGCAAGCTGACGCAGACTGTCGTCGACGTGCCTACAGGCACCATACGCGTCAAAACCTGACGACCTGGTGTGATCTGATCTGATGCGACGAACGAAGAGGGTGTGTATAGCTTAGCATAGCCTAGCCTGCTGCTGACTTTGACGTGTGTGTCGGTCGGTCGGTCTCATGGTCGATGGATGACGAGTGGATGGAGACTCTCGTGTGCATCGACGCATTCACTCATGGATTCTAGAAATGGAAAATGATAAATCTCACACACTGGCAACACACGACACACGGACGGACGAAGCCATTCCATTCCACAAATCTCTTCACTCAGCCATTTTTTATTTTTTCAGCCAGCCAACCACAACGGACATCGATCGCCATCGACGCCTCATATCGTTGTGTGCCGCCGGATGACGCGGCAGGGCATATCACTCACCCCCAACCAAGGCCACCATCCATCCGGCCCTTCCTTCACACAAACCTATTCTCTGCTCCCTTCTGCCTCTCTGTGTTCAAAACACAAACCGCCCAACCACACGGACAGACAGACAGACAGACACGGAGACGTGCCACAAAGCCACCGTCAGCCCAGCCCGTTAGTAATAGCTATCCCATTGTGGCGATCCTTGGCATGGATATCTTCCGCTGGTCCTTGTCCTTGTCCTTGCCCTTTTTGCCCCCTCCAATGCTCTTGATGGGGTTACCCTCGAGCACCTCGGTCACGTGGCCGCTCTCTGCGCCGAGCAGGGGCGGCACCCACAGCATGGCGCGGTAGCGGGACGAGTTGGTCAGGTGCTCGTTCTCCAGACGGATCAGCGCCCACTGAACGAGGCGACGCGACGCGGGGGACACACACACGTCGAGTGGATGGATGGATGGATGGCGGGAGTGTTGTGTGCAGCTTACGAGTGTCCTTCTGAGGATTTCCATGGTGGAGACCCAAAGCGTGATCAGATTGGAGTTCAGCCTCTGCAACACACACACACACACACACACATGGACCAAGTGCCCGCCATTCAGTCATTCCCTGACCTCATTGTCGAGTATTTCGATGGGCATCAGGTTCATGGCCCACGACAGCCGGCCGAACTGCATCAACGAAGAAAGACAGCAAGCCGATCGTGTGCGTCTGTCTGAGTATGTGTTGTGTTGGTTGCGGCTTGACCGACCAGGTTGACGAGTGAGATGGAGTAGTAGAGCCACGGGGGGTACATCCGCTGAGGCCTGTCAGCACCACACCACACCACACCGCAGCACAGCACACCTCATTGCAGCTGCTTACGTATGTGTGTTGCTTTGCTTCCTGTGTGTCACTCCGTCAGTCCGGCAGGCCCCCCAGGTACCTGAGGTAGTTGTCTGGGTCGAATGCGAGCCCCCAGTCCATGTAGACGTCCCAGAAGAACATGTAGATGGTGGCGAAGATGTACGTGAAGACCCACACCAAACGGCTCACGTAGATGGACAGACCGTACTCGTGCCTGAGACGTGACGATGGCCGGTTGGTTGACGCAAGAAGACAGGACAAGACGGACACGCTGTATTGTGTGTGTGTGTGTGTGTGTACCATGGTATAGAGGTGCAGATGACGACCAGGATGCCGGCGCAGTACTTGCCCGTGTTGGCCGCGTGGGCGGTGCGCCGCTTGGCGTCATCCGCTTCCAAGAACCTGCAACGCACCACAACACACACCACACACACACACACAGCGATACAGAGCCGTTGTCTGAGGGATGTGTTGTGCGTGTGCGTGTGAGTGGGCTGGTTAGACCTGCTGATGCACTGCATGAGTCGGATGTAGTAGGGCGTGGCGACGATGAGGGGCTTGAGCCAGAAGTCCACACCCGAGCAGGTCACCGTCTCACGGTGGTACAAACCAGTGCTGCAGACAGACACATGGGGGTGTGGGTGTGGGTGAGTGTGTGTGAGGCACACACAACACACACCTACCTGTAGTAGCAGACAGTGTACTCGAGGTCTGCGAGGGGTTTGGCCATGGAGGTCAGCACGTCGCCCACGATGTTCTGCACGAACGTCACCGTCACAAAGGGCCACACTCTGACAACAAAGGGCACAATCACACACACATTTGCAGACAGACACGCCAATGTGTGTGTGTGTTATCTGTGTGGTGTGGCGAGAGCGTACGCCGCGTAGAAGCAGTATCCGACGCACTCGACGATCTCCCATCTGTATTTCCGCCTGAACGTGTCGCTGGGCAGGAAGGCTATGGCCACCTGCACCGCTATCAACACCACGGGATACAAGAAATACCTTCACACACACACACACACACACACAGAGAGAGAGAGAGAGGATGCATGTGTGCCTGAGAGTATGAGTGTGTGTCTGTGTGTCTGCACACATACTCACAAGTTGTGGGGTCCGAAGTTGAGGAATTTGAGGTCCGCGAGGTAGCAGCCGAAGATGACGATCCACGAGGTCGTCTGGATCGCTGCCACCAGGAAAAAATGTGACGGAGCCACCTGGCACTTCGGATCGATGTCCAGCATAAACCTGCCACCCCACCACACAACACACACACACACACCAAACCCCCTCTCAATGTCACTCTCGCCACGACCCTTCTCTCTCGGTGTCAGTCAGATCGGCCCACACCACAGGTACCTGTAGTTGACCCTATAGTGTTCGAGCAGGTGCATGCAGGCCCCGATCCCCCAGTTGACCAAAATGATGCTGAGGACCATTCTGAAGATGGGGAAGTTGGCCAAGACCTCGTCCAGGGTGTAGTCGGGGTTGGTCGGCTCCATGTAGCACATCACCACGATGTCCAGAAGCAGCACCATGCAGGCGCCGAGGAAGAAAAACAGACGGTCCTGGCCTGATTGACACATGGATAGACACATACACATATGGATGGCGGTGGGGGGGAGGGGTGTGGTTATGGCGGTTGGCTGACCAGGGACGTGTTTGGAGAGTTCCTTGAGCATCTCCTGCTGTATCTTGAAGTGGTCAGACGTCTTGTCGTCCGTTATCAGCCGATACAAGTCGCTGCACTTCTTCTGCATACACACAGAAAAGGGCTGCGTGTGTGTGTGTGTGTGTGTAGGCGTCTAGGTCTTCTTCTCACGGACCGACCTGTAGCCTGTGGACGCGGTCGAGCTTCTTGAAGGGCTGTTCCCGCACCCGCATGATGTCCTCTGCCAGCCGCTCCACGCCACACAGCTTGTCGCGCTTCTTCCATATCTTGTAGAAACCCTACACAGACAACACACACACACACACACACACCGAGAGAGAGAGAGAGAGAGAGAGTGGGTGAGCTCTCGCATCCGCCCACCACACACAGACACCATTGGCCAATACCTACCATGTAGTTGAGTGACGAGTACTGCTCGAGCAGCTCACTGGCCGTGTACATGTTGCACAGCACCCGCTGGATGCGACCCCGGTACATCCGCCGCCACTTCTCGTCCTTCTTCTCCTTCTTCTCTTTTTTCTCCTTGTCCTTCTCGCCCTTGTCCTTCGAAGAAAACGACTCACCGCGGCTCACCTGGCGCACGTGAGAGGGACCCCCAAACGATGCCGACAAATGCAGACTCGCCTCGGAGGCACCACCTGCACCTGCACCGGCAGCAGTAGCATGGTTCGGCGAGCTGTCTGCCGTGTCCGGCGGCTGCGGCTCCCGCGGGCCGTGGATGGCAATACTCGGTGAGGACACTCCGCCTGTGTGGAGGCCGTGGGGGAGGGGCGCCTGCTGGGGCGTTGGCGAGAGGGGCTCCTCGGCCTGTGACGATGAGGGGATGATGGGCAGAGGAGAGGGCCGGGCTGGGGCGGGGGGTGGCAGGGGGACTGTGGGGGGTGACGCTGCTGCTGATGCCGCCGCTGCTGCTGCATCTGCCGACTGTCACCAAAGGAGGAGACACACACACACACACAGATACCACACGAGATCTGCGTCCTGTCCCACCAAGCCACCCGCCCAAGCTGCCCACCTTCTTGCGCAATTCTTCGCCGAGGTTTTCCCTGATGGCCGCCTCGATGTGCTCGATGCGCTGCTCGAGGAGGTTGCACTCATTCTCAAAGAAGCGGTTGACCTTGGCGAGCTCCCGCTCACAGGCGATGTCGAACATGCGCAGCTTCTCCTGGTCGGCCTCCCCCAGGAGGGGCTGCTCCGCCGGCGCGCCCTCTTGCGAGGCAACCGATGCCCGCCGTTCATCGCCCGGGAGGAGCTTCTTGAGCTCGTTATAGTTGATATACTCATTCGCCCACTCGGGCACGGCGTAGTGCGTCAGCTGCTTGCCGAACTTCATCTCGACCCCCTCCCTGCAGATCTATTGCATAGCTCGCAAAGCTTGACCGCAAGGGAGCAACAAAGGGACGTTTGTGGCGGTGCTGCTGGTGCGTGGGGATCATGGCAGTGAAGAAGGATCGTCGGTTCTTTGACGAGCAGCTGATCATCGAGAGCATGCTCGGGCACAACAGGAGAGTCGTCGCTCACTGGTGAGGGGGGGGAGGGATGGCCGTCACACACAGAAGATGTGCACTGCGTTTTGTTCGGCCTCTTGTCTGGGTGTGTTGTGTTGTGTTTGCAGTCGCAACTTCGCCGCCATTGTGAGTGGGCTGGCTGCCGGCATCCTGGGACTCACGGGGCTCTGGGGTGAGCGAAGCGAAGCCGAATGACGTGGCCTGGATGGATTGATTGCACATCACATAGATATGTGACGCTGTTGTGTGGTCAGGTCTGTTGGTCTTTGTGATGGCCACGCTGGGTATATCGCTGATACTGCTGGCTCGAGTCAACTTTGACACTTCGTTGTACTTCCCGACGGTCAAGGAGGTCCTCATCGGACAGTTCTGGCACGGCATGATGGTACGCACACACACGCACTGTCAAAACGTGCATGTGTGGATGCATCAAAGATACCTGTCCACTTCGGTTCGGTGTGTGTGTGTCAGTCGTTCATTCTCTTTTGGACGTTGGCATACGACATGGTGTACATCTTCTGACTGACTGTCTGACGATCTGCGTGCTGATATGACGACTCTTGCCCCCCTTGCCGACGTGGTGCCCCTCTGACCTTTACTTGCCTGACTGCAGTGATTGGATTGTACAGCCCGCTTAGCTAACAGCCATTCACTGATGATATGGTCGACGGATGCCGTCCCCACACTCACAAGATCGATCGCACTCAGCTCAGCTCACATGAGGTTGATTGAACAAATGAGCCAGCCAGCAACACACACACACACACACACACAGGCATCTGATATATACTGGATCCTCATTCAGAGGATCTAGCACCCACCAGCCGACCGCCTCCCCACACCCCACACACAAAGTGCCTACGTGCGGACACACACACACAGAGACATGCCTAGGGTCGTTGCTCACTCCATCCATCCATCCATCCCTCCATCCATCCCTCCCTCCATCCATCCATCATGGTTCAAAAGGCGCCAGCCGTGCCCCAGCAAGCAGGAAAACACCATATGGAATGGAGGCAATGCAATGCAGGCAAAATCCCACAGACAGACAGACAGACAGACACGCACACACACAGATACAGGCAGGGACGACAGAGCAACCAACCAACCAACCAACCAGAGAGGGAAAGGATGCAGCCAACCAGTGAGTGCGTCGGGTTGGTCGCATCGCATCACGGAGGAAAAACAGGAGGCAGCAGCGCCGTCGCTCGGCTCGCTGCACACACAACTGACTGACTGACTGGGCTGCACACTAGTCAAAACAGATAAATGCACCTGCCCCCCTCCTTCCCCTCCCCCACTTCACATCACAGTCCGTTAGGCTCTTTGTTATCGACACTGCTGTCATCGCTGCTGACGGCGCGCTCATTGGTGTTGAGGTTGATGGCGTCGAACTTGATCTGTGCCCAGTCGGGCTCGATGACGGGCGCCGACATGGTCCGCATCGTCTTGGCGAAGAACAGGTCGTGCAGGTGCTTGACGCACTCCTCTACCTTCTCGTCGGGCACTATGAATGTCACATTCACCTGAACACACACACAGGGGGAGGGAGGGAGGGAGGGAGGGAGGGAGCTGTGTGTTGCCATGCCCGCCTAGTCATTGCCGAAAGGTCAGTTCACTGACTGACCTTTGAGGCGCCGCAGGAGAGCATATCGATGACGACGCCGAGTTTCTGGAAGACGTTGCAGGCTGTGGCGATGATTTCGTTTGCCCTGAGTGTGTTGCCGATGAGTGTGAGGATGGCCTTGTTCTGCTCGACGGTGACGTGGGCGATTTTGTCTAGCTCCTGCTGCATCTTGTCGATCTTGTCGGCCGACGTGCCCTTCTCGATCGTCATCGATATGCTCACCTCGCTCGTTGCTATCACCTGGGATGGGGGTGGGGTGGGGTGGGACAGACACACAGACACAGACACACAGAGAGACATGTGTGTGGCTGTGGGTGGTAGGTGGTGTGTGGCTGTGCCTACGTCGACGCATATCCCGACAGAGTCCATGATGTCAAAGACCTTGGCCAGGAAGCCTTTGGCACCTGCACAACACACACCACACACCACACCACATGCAGATAGATGAGCCACGACGGAGCCGCAGGTGCTGGCTCTGACTGACTTACCGAGCATTCGTGTGGAGTTGATGTCGATGACGGTGACGCCCTTCTTGTAGGTGACGGCCGTGACTATCCTGCTCGGGTCGTGAGCAGTGTCCGCAACCGTAGGCGGCTGACGCACTATCAAGGTGCCTGCACACACATCCGCGGGACAACGAACGATCTGTCTGTGTCTCTCTCTCCCTCTCTCCGTGGGGTGTGTGTGTGTGTGTTAGTACCAGGGTGGTGCGGGTTGTATGAGTTCTTGACCCTGACAGCGATGCCCCTCTCGGTGGCCGGCAGGATGGTCATCGGATGAAGCACCTTAGCGCCGAAGTATGCCAGCTCAGACGCTGATCGACACACACACACACACACACACACAGAGTTTCGTTTCTCCTGCCTCCGTGCGTTGTGCGCGTGTGTGGGTGTGTGGGTGTATGGCCAGACCTTCCTCGAATGAAATGCATGGTAGGCAGGCAGCGGGGCCCACGACGCGCGGATCTGCCGTCAGGATGCCATCGACATCCGTCCAGATCTCGATCTCTGAACCGGACAGATGGATCCCAAACCACGACACGACACGGCACATGAGGCGAGTGTGTGTGGCTGTGCTGTGCTGTGCTGTACTGTACTGTGCTGTATTGGTCACATCTCATCTCATTGACCCTCTCACCTTTAGCGACGATAGCGCATCCGATGATGGCTGCTGTGAAGTCACTCCCGCCGCGGCCAAGGGTCGTGATGATCCCATTCTTGTCCTTGGCTGCACACAGAGCGCACGCAGATGAAGAACTCGTGCAGATGTGTGCAGGCTCTGCGACCGACCGACCGACGCACCCACCGATGAATCCGGTGACGACTGGTGTGTAGTTGTAAGTGGGGTAGACCTCCGACATCATGGTGTCGTGGATGCGCTCACAAGTGCCGGGCAGCAGCTCTGCCGTCCCCTTGTCATCCGTCGCTGAGCCGCCACCAGGGGTCGTCAGCATCCCTGTGTTGCGTGTGTGGTAGGGTAGAGGGATGGCGACACACACACAGACACACACAGATAGACGTAGACGCTGGATGCGACGATGGATGCGTGTGCTTGTGGTGTTTTGTCTGCGCACCGATGTCCCATGAGTCGACAGGCTTAGCTGTGATGCCCTCCTTGTTGAGGTAGGCCGCCACCATCCGCACAGACAGCCGCTCGCCAAACGACATCAGCAGGTCGTTCGTACGCAGGCTGATCTCACGGATCAACCTTATACCTGACACACACACACACACACACAGAGGGGCCCATTGTCCTGTGTGTGTGTGTAGGTGATGCTCTGCGGTGCAGGCATAACCTTGCAGCAGGTTTGTGAGTTCGTCAAAGAAGGTTTGTAGTTCCTTGAAGAACTCGGTGTCGAGGCCCAGCTCGGCGGCCGCCCGCATGTGGGTCGCCTGGATGACCGATGTGTCCACTTCCCTCTCCTCCAACGCACGACGACCTGCACGGTATCGCACCATTCAATCAAACAATCAAACACGACACACAGACACAGACACACACAGACTCATTCATTGTCTCTCTGCTGTTCGTTCGGCCCATGCATGGCATGTTGGCTGTCTGTGCACCATAGTCAGTCAGTCATCTCCTCTACCTGCTTCGATGAGGGCGTTGGTGGTCTTTCCCATGGCCGAGAGCACGACCACCGGCCTTTGCTTGAGCCGCCCCCTGACAATCTCAGCCACATTGCGGACCCTGTCGGCATCCTTGACTGACGAACCGCCGAACTTCATCACCTGCACAATCACACAACAAACACGGGGCCCACAGTGCTTGTGTGTTTGTGCTTGTGCGTTTGTTATCTCAGTACCAGTGGCCCTGAGTGCAGCTTGGGCGAGGACTGCAGAGTGAAGCCGTCGGGCGTCGTCATGGCGATGACTGACTCAATGAGAAGAGATGACTGCCTGGGAACCAAAAACTCAAAAGCGAAGAGTTGCAATGAAACGATGAAGCCGAGTGGCTCAGGGCAATGAAACACTGCTATCCGTGACTCTTAAAACGCTGTCACTGGTCCACACCTGTGGTCTTAGCGCGCAGACTGAGCTCGCACAAAGGGGAAGGGGAGATGAGGGGGAGGAGATGAGGCTGAAGCAGTGGTCTTCCTACTTCCTTCATCCTTGAGATCGATATCGCATCTCTCGACACCTTCAGCCTTTTCTCCCCTCTACTGCTCTATCTAACGGCCGTCAGCCCTGCAGGCGTCGTGGGTGAGCGTCAGCCAGCCATGAAGACCAACAGGACCATGAGCAGCACCACCGCCAGAGCGCGCCGTCCCCTCCCACCCCTCCTCTGCACCCTCACCGCATTCATCGCAGCCCTTCCCCCTGCCTCGCTCATATCGCCCTCCCACCACCATGGGCCATTCATCAGCAGACCAGCCTCAGCGTTTGCCCCGGGTTCCCTGGCGAGATCTGGAACGAGGCGGCCGCTCTGGCCGAGAGACCGGCCCCAGTCTCGCCCGCCCGACCTCCCGAGGACCGCTGACGCCCGAGGACTCTTCCCTTCACCATCACCAACGCGCGTGTCGGTTGCCGTGCGCGAGGCGCCTGTCGAGCCCACCGAGGCCGAGCGGCTGCCTCTCGTGTATCGCGTGCCGATCCTGGGAGGGTTCCTGCGGCTGTTCAAGCTGCTGATGCTGCTGCTGGTCAAGGGCATCTTCACCCCCCTGCAGTCGGCCATGGCCAAGAGGAAGGAGGAGAGAGCCGCTGCGGCCGTGGAGGAGGCCCCCAGTGCTGCAGACAGGGCGGCCGTCAGTGTGAGGGAGGACAAGATCGACAGAGATGAGAGGGTGGCCGCTGCTGCCAAGCCGGTGGGCGCGGCACTCGCCGTGAAGACCCCTGCTGCACCAGCTCGAGGCGCTGGGGCGGCCGCTGAGACCAAGAGAAAGGTGGCGCCAGCGTCCAAGTCCGCCGTGGCTATCAAGGAGGAGGGAGAGAAGGAGGAGACAAAGGAGGAGACCCCCACTGGTGCCAAAAAGCCCCTCGCCGGTGTGCTGCGCTTTATGCGCAACGGCGCCGAGCCCGTCGACTACGGCATAGTGGGCGACACTGCCGCAACCGCCACAGCCACAGCCACAGAGGCACCTGCTGCCCCAGCGACCAAGGAGAAGGCGCGGGCGCCCGCCGGCGAGACCATCACGTTCGCCACGGAGGCGACGGACACCGTCACCGAGTGGGCCGTCAACGTGGCCACATCCGTCCCCATGACAGAGGAGGAGATCCTCGAGCAGAAGCGCATCCAGCGAGAGAAGATGGAGCAGCGGCTGGAGACCCTCCGTCAGAACGTCGTGCAGCTGGCCGACGACCTGAGCTACGGCTTCAACAACTTCCAGAGGGGCATCGAGTACCTGAGCGATGAGATCGCGGAGGGGTCCGTCAAGGGGTGGCAGGCGTCAAAGCAGTGGGTGGTGTTCGAGTGGGTGGCGGGCCTGGCACCCAAGTGGGTCAATTCGGTGGCGGAGACGACCAGCCTTAGCTGGCAGGCCGTCAGCGATGCCCAGTGGAAGGCCAACCAGGAGGCCGTCAAGAGGCAGCAGAGGGAGGCCTATATGAGGGAGATGAGGGAGAAGGAGAGGGCCGAGAAGGACAAGGCAGAGAGGGAGAAGCCGAAACTGGCCGAGAAAGAAGACAAAGAGAAAGAAACGGCGAAGGCGAAGATGACACAGCAGCAGAAGAAGAAGAAGGACGAAGGCGGCGACAAAGGCGCCCCAGGTGAGCACAGCCCCCTCTCCCCTCCCCTCCCCTCCCTGCCCACACACACACTCACAAACAATCACAGCCTCCCAGCGCCTTTGTATCTGTCCTGTCATGGGTTGTCTGTCTGCAGGTCCCCCTCCCCCACTGAAGAAGGAGACCAGCCCCCCAGCGATGAAACAGGAGCCGGCTGACACCACCACCACCACCACCCCCGCGCCACCCCCGCAGCCTAAACAGGAAGCCGCCCCCAAAGCCACCCCTCTGCCCAAGGAAACAATCGAGTTCAAGTTCCCCCCAGACGAGACAGAACCAAAACAAGAGGAGACCACGCCGGCTGCAGGGCGGGAGCCTGTGACGACCACAGCAGCGGCGGCTGCGGTGTCCAAGGAGGAGAGGCGCGGCAGCAGTGAGCCCCCGATGATTGAGCTCAACATGGCCGGCAACCCTGCCAGTCTGCCATCAGTGTACCCCTTCCCCATCCACCAGCCGAGGAGGTCGGCATGGTGAGGTGGGCGCGGCGCTCTCGAGGGCACGGCACGGCACAGGAGACGAGAGAGAGGAGATGGGTGTGTTGGATTTTTGCTGTGCATTTTGATCGATGCGTGCGGGAGAGAGAGGAGAGGTGTGAGAGGTGAGGAGGTATCTGGATGGATGGATGGATGTGTAATGTAGCTCGGCTTGCTGTGGTTGGTTGATGTTTTGATGCGGTCTCGCAAGTGAGTGGATGGGCGTGCCGGCGTGGTGTGAGCGTTCGTGTGCCCCCTTTATCAGTGTCCGCGTGTGGCTAGTGTTGTGTGAGGAATGCAGTGTCAGGGCCATACCATGCGCACATGCGTGTGTGGGGTGTGGGCGTGAGAGATTCCTGCGTCGTGTGGCCACGCGTGTGTGCGGGTGGCCGTCGCCCTGGGTGTGTATCTGGATAAGATAGATTCGATGAGTGACTTTTTGCCCTCATCTGTGTCGCATTTCCATCGCTTATTTCTCTTTCTCACCGGTCCCTGCACGCAACGTGATTCGTACAGGCGGATTACATATACACATGGCCTGTCTGAGTGTCTGCCTGAGTGTGGAGCTTCATGAGTCTTTATGGGATCGATCATTCATTCCTGTGCAGCCCGGCTCGGTCATCCAGACATCATTGACTGGGTAATGCCTGGCATGAGCGAGAGAGATGTGATGATTTTTTGCCACCACGTTTGCTTGCCTGTCTGTCGTGCTTGCTTGGGCGAGGTTGGGGGAGGGATCAACGAGGGACGGCCCGTACTCGTAACGATGCATAAGTCTGTGTTGCAATGCATTTGTCTGCAAGAACGCATGAGCCTGGCCTTGCGTGTGTCCGACAGACTCTGAGTCGTCACTCCACAAAGTGTGCCCTGATGCCAGCGTCCATCAGCCCGATGGAGGATGCAATGCCAAACCCGCCCCTCTCTCTATTCCGCTATACAGCCAGCTAACCCATACGCTTCTTCCTCATCACACACAGCGCACATTCCACTACCAGACCACTGCCTCCCATTCCCCCGCTGCACAAGACAAGGCCCGCACCATCCATCAACCATCCATCAGAACCTCATCTTGATGCCGAGGTCCGTCTGCGCCACCCACTCAGCGATCTGCCGCCCATACAGCTCCTCACACAGCATCTCAGCCTCTAACACCTGCGCGGCGGGGAACATACGGAGAAGGGAGTTGAGCTCCCTCTCTGACGCACGGAGGGCCTGCGCGGTGAACTGGACCTTCTCTGGCGTCATAGTCTTGAGCGCCACGCGACTCTGTGGGATGGTCTTGCTCACCTGCCATGCAGCAAGCACAGGACATGGGAATGGCGCGTGTGTTGTCTGTCTTTCTGTCTTGTGTGTGGTGGGGTGCTGTGCTGACATGACACTGACTTTGTTCCATCCGTCGTACTCTATGGCCTGCGCCAGATACTCGAGGGCGTCTCTCCCATGCTCGACGCCCTTCGCCCGAACGTTCCTCGGCAGAGCGCTCTCGGCCTCGTCGACGTTCTGCCTGAAGCCGTACTCCTTGAAGAGCTCCTTCACTCTAAGGGCCAGTGTTGACACATCCTGCCGCTCCGCCTTGGCCACCAACTGCCGAATACACTCCCTGCAGACACAGCAGAGCAGAGCCGATATGCAATGAGTGACTGCAATGAACACTGGCTCGTTGACAGTCACTGCAGTACCTGATGCGCACCAGGTTCACCAGCGTCCGCCTGAGGTCCTCCGCGGCTTGTGCCAGCGGTGGATCTGCCAGCAGCAGGAGGGCCGACACGAGGCTGCAGGAAACAAGATCACCACCCACATGATACCGCCTCCGGGCAAGCACCCAAGATGATTCGTCGCTTGAGCTGGTCAGCGCCGTCAGTGCCGTGTCAGCCGCCTTTGCAGCGATGGGTGGGGTCGTCGGAATCCGATGCAGCTTCCAGAAGCTGTGCAGGGTGCAGCCGTGCACATGGTGTTGCGGCGGGATGAAGAGTGGCTGATAGTTTGAAGATGCGGCGATGGAGAGCATCATGGCCATGCGTAGCACAACCGCTAGCATTGATGTCGTTCGATCTTTCAGTCTTGTAGGGTTTCGAGTCGCAGGGTTAGGGTTGAGGACGAGAGTCGGGCGACTTTTCCCGCGTCTTTGAAGTTGGAAGTGCCATCGATCACTATCTGAATCGCACATCTACCACTCTTCATCGCATCTAACACATCTTTGGCAATGGAGCTGTCCGCAGAGAAATTCACCATCGCAGCCCTGCTTCTCGGTAAGGCACACGCCGAGGGCAGTCAAGGACAGATGCGCACCTGTCTCATGCCACATGCTGCCCGCCAGCCACGCCACTGCTGCTCACGTGATGCATCTCTCGTCGGTGCTTGTGCTGTGGGTGCGCTTGCTGCAGGGATGCTCCTGCTGATGGGCATTCAGACCATGAATTTCCACCGGCAGATGGACAAGCTGGAAGACACGGTGCGCAGGCTGCAGAGACAGGTGGGTGAGACCACACAGTCGCATGAGAGAGAGAGATCTGAGACAGGGGAAGATGCCTGCCATCTGTGTGTGCTGGCAGGGTCCCCCGACGGCTGTGGCTGCCGGTGGTCGGCTTCGCGCTCTGCAAGTGGCCGACGAGGAGGCGCGCAACGACACCTTCGCGGCGATTGCCAGTGAATGGAGCACCACGGACTATGGCGTGCTCCGCTTCGACGACACCATCATCTCCACCAAGGAATACTTGGAGGGCATCGATCTCTTTGACCTGCTCACCATTGATCTTCACGACCTCTACAAGGTGCGTCCGTGAGGAAGGATGGATGCGGCTGCTGAGGCGAGTTGTGTGGGGTGTGTGTGGTCTCGTGTTGTGTGCAGCTGGAGGGCCTTGTGGTCTCGTTTGGCAACGGCAGCCGGTGAGGGGGAGTGGGCTGGACGGCGTGGCGTGGCACAGATCACGTCACGCACATGCTTGTCTCTGTCTCTGTCTGTGTCTGTCTCTCGCTGTGTGTGTGGTTCAGCTTTGAAGCCATGCAGAAACTCGCCCAGGTGTTCAGGTCGGCCGTGACAGCCAGATCAGATCAATCCTCCAGTGCTCACCGCCCTCTCTCTCGTCGTTCGTGTGTGGTGGTACAGGGACTACGACGCACCCATGATCGAGATCTACTTCCAGTCGGGCGACCGTATTGTCGTCGGCAAAGGTACTCACTCGCCACACACATGCCATCCGAACCGACGCACCCTCCCTCTGTCTGTCTGTCTGTCTGTCTGTCTGTGTCTGTGTCGTTCATCCATCCATCAGAGGGTGCCGCCTTCTTCGACAAGAGCGACCTCCGCACCCCGCAGGCCCTGTTCGAGGGCCCCGAGATGCCCGACGGCACCACTGGCCCCGAGCTCATTGACATTCTCAACGGCACTTACCAGGCCATGCAGAAGGAGCTCTTCGACCTCTTCACCATCGATGTGGACCTCGACGAGGTGGAGGGCAACGGCGCCAACAGACGGAACCTCCAGTACCTCGGAGCGTAAGTGCAGCCATCGGATGCACACGTGCAGAATGGATGGATGAGCGTGTGTGTGTGTGTGTGTGTGCAGTCGGTCGTATAACCTTGCGAATGGTCGTCCGGGGAGCGTCTTTGACACCGGCCTGGCGCGACTGGGTGAGGACACCAATGCCTTCCTTGTCTGTCTGCATGAACGAAGGAATGCGGTGTGTGGTGGGTGTGTGGTGCAGCCAAGACGATCGACCTGACACAAGGTGCCCGTTTGGAGGCTCGAGGCAACTCTGGGTACGTGACGCACTCTACCCACGCCACCACACACACAAGCGTATGCCACCTGTCTGTGTCTCTGTGTGCGTGTGCAGCCGTTGCGTTGAGGCTGCCGACTACTGCTTCCGCAAGAACGTCCCATACCGATACGACAGACCAGAGCCCACAAATGCCGGTAAACAGGGGAGGGAGGGAGGGAGCCGCACAAATGGAAGGGCGACACACACCACACGCACCCCCATCTGCAATGCAGCGCACTGCATCGATCAATGTGACTCACACGTGTGTGTCGTGTGTTCAGGGCCGGAAGTCAACTACGTGGCGGAGGGCAACACCAGATAGATAGAGAGAAGAACGGACGGACGGACGGACGGACGGAAGGACTGCCTAGCCTTCTCCCCCCCCCTCTCTCTCTGTATGTGTGTGTGTGTGTGTGTGTGCGCGTAGACCTCCGCAGCTGTGTGCATGTGATGTGTTCTGTTGTGTTGGTGTTTCAGTGAGATGAGTGCGTTTATCAGTGCCCCCGTGCGTGTGTTGTGTTGTGTTGAACGACCAGCCACGTACGTCCCCCTCTCGCCTCGCCTCTCGCGTGTCAGTGCTCTTTTTATCCATCACTCATTCAGCCAGCCAGTCATGAACCAAAAAGGTGGGAGTTGGGGTGTGGTGCGGTCGGCCGATGTGTCCATCGTCGTCGCGTCGCACACACGTGTCCTTTCAGTGCCTTAGATATCTGTGCAGTGAGTGCAGTGCATGTGTCTGTCGGCAGTGAGGGCGTGTGTGCCCTTTCTAGTAGGGCCATGGCATTGGAATGCATGAGCTGATGCATCCAGTGCTTGATTACATCCCATCTCTGACAAAGGGATGGGACCTGGGGGAGGTGTTTTTTCCTTCTAGCTATAGGGGTAGGTAGAGGTACTGCGGCAGCCAGGGTACCTAGCTGGTTGGCTGCCAGAGAGGGGGTTTAACCGAGGTCGAGGCAGCTACAAGTGCCTCCGTCTGTTTGTGTCTCTGAGTGTCCATCTGCCTTTATCTAGGTGTGTTCCGCTTTTCTATCCAATGGCCAGTGTTTTGGCCATCATGATGCCGCCTGCCTGCATTCAGGCGCGCACTCGTTTTCTGGCGATGTCTGTCTGCACAGTTTTTCTCCCACACCCCTGACCGACCTTTTCTTTCTTCCCTTTTTTCTGTCGATGGCCGCCCATGCACTACACACCACGCTTATTTCTCTCACTGCTGACTGACCTTTGGTTCCTTTTCTCACCATCTGTCTGTGTGATATATCGTTTTTCTCTCGTCTGTGTGGATGTGTGTGTGCTGTGGTGCAGGTAGGTACGTCATGGGCAAAGAGGTCTGCTTGTGTGGGGTGGGCTGTATGTGCTGTGCTCGGATGACATCGTGTGCAGTGTGTGAGGTGGGTGTGAAAGACAGACAGACTCGGCAATGAGTCAGCCCAGCCAACCGACATACGTAACAATTCAGTTCTGACCAACAATACAGACAGAGGGGATGAAAGCAAAGCAAGCAAAGGTGCACTGCCGTCAGCCGTTGTCAATGACATCTGACGACAGACAAATGCCGACAGAGTGCTGCCTTTCTCGCCTGGCACATGAAGTCAGCACATGTCTAAGTCACATGCGGCTGGCGCAAGACTCGAGACTGATTGACTGAAACGTGTTCAATTTAAGGTGCGCAATGCAACCTTGAGAATCCGTCCAGCTCGCATGAAGCACGTCAAAACTCGCAAACAGAACCGTCCTTGAATTGCAGCAGAAAGGAGTCAAACATGCAGCCACTTCACCCCTTACTGCCCTCTCCCCCTCTCCCTCTCCCTCTCAGTCAGTCGATGCCCAGCGACACAAACAGTCCGCTCCTGGACAGACGCCCCAGCTGCCCCCACTCGAACTGGCAGTCCTGGTCGCCCAGGTGCTCATTGAAGCCCTTCACCACCCCCACCAGACCATGCTGCGCCGCCTCGTCCAGCCAGGCCCGATGGATAACCTCACGGACACCCGTCAGCACCACACGGCCGCCACTGTCGCGCACGGCGAAGCACTGCAGCGGAGGCACGGTCACCTTGACGCGCTTGTCGCCCTGCTGCTGGTATCTCGTCCCGCCCACCACCTCCCCGTTGCTGCTCGTGTGAGTGGCCGCCGACTTGACGAAGTGGGCGACGGCCGCCTTGACGCGCCGCCTCAGCAGCGAGTCACCGATCAGGTACTCGTCGATGGCCGCCGGAGCCGCCGAAGGCTCGTGCAGGAAGGCGCCGATCTTCCATGCGATGGCCTCTGCCTCGTGTGGTCCGAATGCCATGTTGGAGGGGGAGGGGTGGGGGTGGGCGCCGTCGTGGTGGGGGGCCAGGGGCAGCAGACGGGCCAGAAGCATCGAGTGGTCGCGCTGAGGGGCGAGGGCGGCGTTGATGGCCGACATGGTCACATCGGACAGCTCATTCAGCACTGTGGTGTACTCGGACAGCACCAGCTGGCGCTGACGGTGGTACTCTTCGGTGTCGTTGGGCATGCGGCTGATCGATGGCGCAGCCCCGGCCCGCAGCAGCGTCCGGATGATGGTCTTGTGGTGGCGGACGGACCTCTCGTACCGCTCCCTATGCGCCTCTGTCTCCTGCTGCTGCTGCTGCTGCTGCTGTCGGATGAAGCGATCGAGCCCTGCGGCAGCGTTTGCGAGGGGTGTGATGCCAGGATGAATCGCGCTCCCCAAAGCTCCCCAACTGGGGCTCCCTCTGTTGATGTCCTCGGCTGTGAGCAGGCGGCACAGCCAATCAGCCACATAGGGGGAGCCACACCGTGCCGCCATGTGCAGTGGTGTCCTGCCGTAGCGTGTTGCCGTCATTTCGGCGCCGTGGCTGGTGATGAGGTCCAGGTACTGGTCGATGAACTGCTGGGAAAAGACAAGATGGCTCATGGCTGCCAAGTGGACCAGATTGTCTTCACCGGACCGCTCCGTTGCGAGTGTCCCGTCGTGTTGGATGAGGCGGCGATAGATGGACATGAGGGCATCCTCGTACTCACGAGTGAGGGAGAGGACAGCATTGGCAACGTAGGGGACCCGCATCACCGCAAAACCCCGCACGTTGGGGTTGCGTGGCAGGAGGGTCTCCACCGCAGTCAGATTGCCCGCCACAACGGCCACCATAATGGGCCTTATCGTCTCATTATAGTCTCTCTCCTCATTAACGTCCGCCCCGCCGTCGATGAGTGCAATGAGGATGTCAAGCTGCAGCTTACGGGAGGGCCACTGTGGAAGGACAACGGGCAGAAAATGGACGCCCAACCCATCAGAGCGTTCCGCAAGGACGCTTGGGCCGTTAGTCGGGCTGTCGATGGCGAAAGCCAGGCAGCTGTATCGCTGCCGAGACGGAGGTAATGTGGTGCCGTGGACACGAAGGCCGCCGCAGGATCTCGGGTCGGCTCCTTGGCGGAGCAGTTGTGTGACCTGGCTGGCCTCGCGGAAGGTGCGCCGAATGCAGCCCTCCAACAGCTGCTGACTCAGAGGACTGACGCCCTCGTAAGGGATGATGTCGACGGCATCCAGCGTCTTGCAGCCGGGCGGCACCGCCTCCGTGTGAGGTGCTTGCGGTGCGGCAGACGACGACTGAGCCATCACGCCAAGCAACACCCTGCACACACAGACACAGATCACAAAGTCACGCGTCATCCCTCCGATCCAACACAGTGTTGCTGACGCACCAGTCGAGATGATCACACTTCTTCCGTGCCGTCACACACGTGCCGCTAGCTGCGGAAGTCGATGTCACGAGTCGGCGCGATGTGAACGAACTGCCACGGCGGGGCGCACATTTGGATGCTGTCTTGTGTTGTCAATTTGTGTGTTGTCTGTCTTGTGCCACGCATCCTACCGGGAGGCAAGTGTATTGAGACACCAGTGCTGCTTCGCCTCTGCTGATCGATGCCTTCACCCTCTTCGATGATGCTTGGGCAGCAGGTTCGGATGCTGGGCGAGGTGCGAGCTTGGAAGTGGATGATCTCGCAGAGAGCTGCCCTTCAGCCGTCTTCGCCTGCAGAGCAACAATCGCAGCCGTTTGTGAAGCAAAGCAGCAGCGTCAATTGCTTCGCGCGCCGGGGCGAGTGACGACAACGCGGACCCTTTGCTTGTGAGTCCGTGCCAGCACACCCAGACTGCCTTGCTTGCTCGGCCGGCGAGTCCGAGTGTGTCTTGTTCGTCCGCCACCACGTTGCGGCGTCGACAGCGTCGTGCCCTCGCCCCTCCCCGCGGGAGCACGAACAATTCCTCCGCGACCGCCGATATGCCGCTCAAAGAAGCGGAGAAGGAGGCCGTGCAGCGCAAGATACTCAACTCGGCCCTCCCAGACAGCCACCTCCACGTCAAGTTCCTCAACGAGAACGAGACCCACTACCTCACACTCAAGATCTTCCTCGAGGACAAGGACGAGAAACGCTTCCTCCAGTATGTCGAGACCCAACTCAGACCCGAAAAAGCGCCAGGTGCGGGGCGCAGAAGAATGGACACCGACTGAGCTGACACACGGAGGGAGGGAGGGAGGCGGGCGCAATGGTTGATGGGATGGGTGGGCGGCAGGAGGCAATTGCTGTGGTGTGGTGTGGTGTGGTGTGCTCTGTGTGTGTGGTTGCGTTGCAGGTGCGCTTGACATCAACGCGCAGACTTCATCGCGCACCCGCAAGCTGCGGTCCTTCACGCCCGTGGAGCAAGACAGCAGACTTGCACAGGTCGGTTGGTCAGACAGGCAAGACACACACACGAGATCTGATCGATCACGCGATTGTGTTTCTTTCCTGTGCAGGTGTTGGAGAACTCAGAGGCGTTCACCAAGGAGGCATGGGCCAATTTTTTGGTCAGCATCGATCGATGGCACGCCACGCGAGCTGCGGCCATCTCTGGCCACCATTCGCGTGGTGTCGTGTCCTGTGTGTGTTGTGACACTGATTGATTTGATTGCAGAAGTTCGACAAGAACCAGGACAAGTGCCTCGACCTGCAGGAGGTCAAGCAGCTGGTGCAAAGACTGTGCCACAACTTCAACGTCACCATCGACCTGCAAGACGGTACACGAGTCCACACACACCGCGGCGGAATGGCTGAGGCACCAACGCGCGCTTCTGTGCTCTCTCTGTGCTCATCTCTCCCATCAGAGAATGCTCTCTGGCAGAGGATGCAGCACTTCGACCGTTCGGGGGACGGCAAACTGCAGTTCCAAGAGTTCGTCGAAATGGTGACCTGACCACGATCGACCGGCCAGACAGCGCAAAAGACGTAGCAGCACATTCACCTGCCTCCATGCATGTGTTTGTGTGTCTTTCGTGGCTTAGTTCCGTGAGTTGGTCCGTGAGGTGGGTGAGGCGCTGGAGCGCAGCAAGCAGCGGGTGCCGGAGCTCAACTCGTCATCGTCGTCTGGCTCCACCCACTACCCCAACTCCAGACGGCAGGACGGCAGCGCTGCCGGCGGGTCCTCGCCAAACGCCTCCATGATGAACGGCTTCCCCGGCAAGAAACGCTCGGGGCTCGGCGGCATGAGGAGCGTCCCCATCGTGCAGCTGCAAAACAGACGGATCGAAGGTGCGCGGCGTGTCGGGGGGCGTGGGAGAGAGTATCGGTGGATTAAGAAGCGGTTTGTTCTGTTGTCTGTGTCTGTGTCTGTATGTGTAGAGTATTATGAGATAGAGGACGAGGTCGGTCACGGCAAGTTCGGGAGGGTATTTGCAGCCAGACAAAAGAGGTGAGACCGATAGAGAGCGAGAGACCACACGACATACACTCTCGTCATGTATACTGGCTGGCTGTGTGCGTGTGTTGGATTGGATTGTCAGTTCGGGTGCGCTTCACATCTGTAAGGTGATCGTCAAGAAGACCAACGACGTGTCCATCGCCGATATGGAGCACCTGATACAGGTGCGTACTTGACCTCCGCAGAAACACGCCCACCACTCGTGCGCACCATATTGTGTGTATGGAAAATTGGTCAGGTTGAGGTGGAGATCATGCGTTCGTTGGACCACCCCCACATTATCAAGGTCCTCCAGGTCTTCGAAAACGAAACATACGCCTACATCATCATGGAGTAAGCGGAGCCAGCCGAGACAACCACCAGCACACGCACTCACGGGCGACCATCGTGTGTGTGTATGATAGGACGTGTGAGGGCGAGACGTTGCTGCGAGCGACGTGGCATCGTCTGTTCAAGGAGAAGCGCATCTGCCCCTTCTCTGAGGACGAGGCCTCCCGCATCATCGGCCAGCTGCTCAGCGCACTCGCACACGCCCACCACAACAGAGTCGTCCACAAGTGAGTGAGGATGACGATGACAACCGACACACAAAGTGAAGTGAACCCGCGCAGCGCACCATGGCACCATGGCTGGCCTGGCTCGCTGGTTGTCTGTCTGCAGGGACGTGAAGCCCGAGAACATCATCTTTGTGCAGAAGGACTACGGCGAGGTGCAGAAAGACTTCGCCTCGCCCATCAAACTCATCGACTTCGGTAAGTACACATCCCCCCTGCACACAGACAGGGAGAACGAAGGCAGATCACTAACTTGTGTCCATCCATCCACTGCGTGTGTCGTCATTCATTGTCTCTGTCAGGGTTGGCCGAGCGCATCCCGCCCGACCGCAGTCACTGCCGCAAGCGGGGCGGCACTCTGCAGTACTTCCCTCCTGAGGTCTTCGGCGAAAAGTCTAGACTCGACTTCAAATGCGACGTCTGGTTAGCAGAGGAGAGCGAGCGACACACCTTCATAGCTATGGTGGAGAGGGGGAGAGATCTGTTTTGTTTGTGGTGTGGATGTTCTCAGGGCTGCTGGTGTGGTCTTGTACATTTTGTTGACCGGTGCGATGCCGTTCGTGCCGGTCAAGCCCAAGAATGACCACGAGACGCAGCAACTCATACGCGACATCACCGAAGGTACGTCCCGGGCCGCGCCCTGTCCACGAAAGACAGACTGACCCTCATCGACTGGTGTCCGATTTGTGTGTCTGTGTGCGTGTGTGTTTGTGTGTGTGCAGGCACCCCAGACGCGCTGAAGCCGAGCCCGCGCAACCTGACGTGGCTGAGTGCCGACGCCATCGACCTCCTTAAGAGGATGCTCAACAAAGACCCCTCAGAGAGGCCACACGCCACTGAGGTACACACGCACACACTGACACACAGACACTGACCGACAAGACACAAAGGGATACGCCAACGGACACACCAATCGTCATGCACGCTGCTTGTGTGTGTGTGTGTGTGGTGTTGATGATCAGCTGCTGTCCCACCCGTGGCTGCGTCGGGTTCGTCAGAAGCATGACGAGGCCTCCCCAGCCATCACGCCAGAGCTGCTCGCCAGGATGAGGGTCAGTCAGTCGAGTGCAAAGCCAACCACGTCAATCACCCACACTCATCATTCCCCCTCTGTGTGTGTGTGTATGTTTTCTTCAGGCGTACACGCGCGACTCGGAGCTCAGAAAGGCCCTCAAATACCTCATCGTACGGCAAACCGATCCAACCAACGTCCCTCACACAGCCGTCTTGTCTTGGACACGTCCGTGGGATGTTTGTTGTGTTATGGTGTGTGTTGTGTTGCGTTGGTTGCCAGGCGCACAGTTTGGACCTGAAGCTGCCGGTGGTGCAGGAGATCTGGCGGGCCTTCGACCAGGTCGACAGAGGCGTCCCGGACGGGGCACTTTCTGTCAGGGAGCTCTCTACCGGTGAGTAAAGCAAGCCGTCTGCCGATGTGCCATTCATTCCATCCACCCCTCCATCTGTCCATCTGTATGTGTGTGGACGATGTGTGCAGCGCTGCGTCAGGCTGGTGCGCCCGAGACTGAGATCCATCAGATCATCGAGGCCCTCGACGTCACCAAGGACAACAGCGTGGAGTTCACAGGTCAGACAACTGCTACGACAGCACAGCCACACGCACCGCCACAGGCAGCAGCCTGAACATGCTCTGCTCTGTTGTGGTTGATGCACCTCATCAGAGTTCCTGGCTGCGTGTTTGCCGTGGCGCCGTGAGTCGATGGAGGAGCTCAAGGCCGAGGTCATGTCGGCCTTCTACACACTCGACACGGTTGGTGTGGAGGGGGGGAGGGAGGGAGGGAGGGAGGGAAGGAGAGATTGAGGGGCGGGTGGGTGGCTGCACACGACGGTCACCCAAGTGTGTCCCTCTGTGTGTGTGTGTGTGTATGTGTGTGTATGTGTGTGTGTGTGTGCAGGATGGTGACCAGCAGGTCACCCGGGATGAGTTTGCCCTGGGGCTCTTCAAATGTGAGCTGGGACACCAACACACACACTGATCCCTCCCTCATCTGTCTGTGTTGGTCGGTCGGTTGTGTGTGTGTGTGTGTGTGGTTGGTTGTCGCAGGTCACTACATGAGTTTGCACCCCCGTCAGAAGTACCTCATCGGTCTGATCGATAAGGATGGCGACCACGTCATCCAGGCGGCCGAGTACTGGGCGTACGTCGACAGACTGTGCAGAGAGCTCAGCGAAAACGCCATCGACGACACGCAGATCGTACAGTGACTGACTCACTCACTGACTGACTGAGTCACTCACTGAATGAGCGACGGAGAGAGGGCGGGAGGGAGGGGTGGTGAGTGAGTGAGTGGGTGAGTGTAACACACTCACCCAGCTTCCCACACACGCACCCATCACCGATTTGTTGCTGTGTATCGCATTTGCTTTCCGGTGGGCTCGATGGACCGATGGATGGATGGATGGACGGATGGATGGTTTTCTCAACTCACTGCCTATACCCTTCCTGTCCCATGTCTGTCATGTGTGCGTCCTGTCCTCTTCTGAGCCAACGAGTGGATGGAGTGCATCTGAGAGAGAGAGAGAGAGAGAGAGAGAGAGAGAGCGACACAGAGAGTGCCGTACCAGTCAACGCTTTTTGTGAATCAGGGAGAGAGGGAGAGAGGGAGGGATACATCTAAGCAGAGAGAGAGAGAGAGAGGGAGAGCGGGAGAAGGGCCGCTGTCTCTCTATCTACTGTGTCCGGCTATGCTATGCGGCTTGTGAAGTGTAGAGTACACGCACGACTGAGGGAGGGAGGCAGGGAGGGGGGTGTCGGTAATACAGACAGACAGGACAGCCGCCACCAGCACACAGCGGTGCGTCGTGGGCGTGGCGTGTGGGAGTGGGGGGTGAGGTGAGCCATCAGGTCGGTAGGGTAGGTAGCGAATTAGTCGGTGTGCACTTTTTGCAGGCGGGGCCATCTTATCCGAGTGAATGAATGATTGTTCAGTGTGTCTTGTAACTAAGAGTGAGTCACTGACTAACTAACTAAGTAACGTAGCCAACTACCTCCGTGACTCCCTACCTGCTGCCTGTCTGTCTGTCTGCCCGCCTGCCTGCCTAACGAGAGAAGGAACGGTCCGAGCCCTAGGGCCGTCGTTCCTTCTCCTCTTGCTGGTGGATGGATGGATGATACTTGTACGGACCCACCGACACAGACCATCTCACTCACGTACCGTACCTGGCTCCTTCCTTCCCTCTCATGCTGGCTGGCTGGCTGGCTGGATGGATGGGTGGGTGGGTGGGTGGAAGGTTGGAAGGTTTTTTCTTCTTCATCGCATCGCTGCTGGCTGCCGAGCACACACGTCAGTGGGTGCATTTCTCTCACCCACACGCTGATCCGATCCAACCACTGCCTTCAAGCCACCCATCCACATGCACCCATCGCATACATTTCCCTCCCTCCCTCTCCCTCCCTCGTTCGCTCATCCTGCCTGCCTGCGTGCTCGTGGTTTGTCCACCTGCCCGGCTGCCTGGCTGCCTGTCATTGATTCACTGATGCTGAATGGATGGATGGATGGAGTATTGAGAGGTTTTGCGTTTGCCCCCTTGCGCCGTCTGGTTTCCTTCGTTCTGGTGAATGAATCAATTCGCTCAAGTTATCTATCTATCTCTTCCCGTCTGCCGTCTTCTAGCTGGCCAATCAGAGTTTTTGGTCATCGCTCTTTTATTTCGGCCTGCCTTGCCTCCCTCCCCTGTGTGTCACGTCCGTCTATGCGTGTCTGTCTGTCTGTCTGTGTTTGGGGTCGTCACAAGTGCGTGACTGACTTGACTGACTGCATCTTGAATGTCCCATTTCCTTCATCCATCTATCCATCCATCCCTCGGTCCATCGAGTCGAGTGAGAGTGTAGGTAGACACACGACACGACCCCGCCCCCCGTCTGTGCGTCCGTCCTTTCGTGGCCATGTGGTGCTCTTTTTCAGTCGTGCCGACCACTGCTTTCTCTGTCGTCTCTCTGTCTGGTGCGGCATGGCTGGCGCGACACATGCAATGCACGGATGACACCCTCGCACGCCGCTTTCCTCTGTCCAGTCGGGCTCTTTGTGCCCCCCCACCCCAACTCCCGCTCTGCTCTTGCCTTCCTTCCTCGCTCTCTCACCCCGCCCCGCCCCTCTCTCCTCTAAAGAGCTCTCCCTCCTATCGCACGGATGGACAGACACCTCGATCGCATACACATAGACAGACAGACATAGAGGTAATGTGTCCATTACGTCTGTGTACTGAATGACTGATATCGTGTCGTGCCTACTTGGGTGTGTGGGTCTTTAATCAAGGGCTCCCTCTCCGCCCGCCTGGATGCCCTCCTGACTCTCTGCCTGCCTATCAGTCTATCGTGTGTGTGTGTGTGTGTGACCTGTGTGTGTGTGACCTGTGCGTGTGACTGATGCTCACATGCGTGATGTCGTGCGTGTGTGTGCGTCTGTGTGTGGATCGGATGGATGCGTGTGGCGTGTTCGTACCTACCTACCTACCTGCCGAGTGAGTGAGTGAGTCTTTTTGCACCTTGAGGCCATCCATCCATCATCCTTTTCTCCTCCTATACATTCTAAGTACCCTGCCGTACTCCACCCACCGGTGTGCCTCTCCCCACCAGGCACACCCCGATCGGGCAACTGACAGGCAACTGGGCGATTGAGTGGATGAGTGAATGTCTGTCTACAGTGTGCTCTTACAGGGAGGGAGGGAGGGAGGGAGGGGGGGTGACCTGACCGAGCGACAGACCGACAGTCAGATTACTGCGTGTGTAACATTTGGACAGCCTCTGCTTGCTTGCCTGCCTGTGTGTGTGCGTGTTGTGGTCATGTCCTGCCCGTGTGAGCTGTCAATTCACTTGGTGCTGCTGGTGGGTCGATCCCTCAGTAGAGCAGAGCTTTCACGCATCGTCGTTAGGTCTCGTTCGTTCGTTCAAGTGCCGGCCATCCACATGCACACTCATGCGTCATCCACTCCACAATGCAGCGAGCAAGCCAGCCGTTCAATCCACACACACGCACACACACACATACACACACACACACAGAGCCACTCAGATGTCCTTCAGGCTCCATTCCAACACACACACGCACCAGAGGGAGGGTCGCAAAAATCGTGTGTCGAGGCGCGCTACTGTCTCTCTGTCTGTCTGTCTGTCTGTCTGTCTGTGAGAGAGAGGGACAGAGAGAGACAGAGAGTCGGGAAAGGAAGACAACAAAAAACGGCAGCAGTCCATCACACAAACAGAATCCCACAAATCCTCCATCCATCCAGCAATTCCAGGCATTGCTTACTCTCACAGCCATTCCCCCGCCCAGCCAGCCATGTCGTATGGATGGATAGATGGATGTGCGGTCGTTGGCTACTTCGATTGTGTCACGGCGTCGTTGTGTTGGTGTGTTAGTGTAGCTATGTGCGTGGTGGGTTAGTCACTTAGTTGCGTCGGGCGCGCTTGGCGCAGTGGCCGTCGGGCGGCTTGGCGGGGCCGGGGCCGGCCGGGCCGGGCGCCTTCTTGGCGGGTGCCTTGGCCTTCTTGATGGACTCGTGGGGGATGCCGAACAGCAGCACGTGGTCGTTGTTCCTGCACACACACATCACAAAGCCGCCGACACTCATGGGGGGGCCGCCGACCCACATGAGACATCTCATGCGTGTGTGCACTGTGTTGTGTTGTGTTGTGTTGTGTTGTGTTGTGTTGTGCACTTGGTGAAGCCCATGCCCATGTGCGTCCAGCCGTCCGACATCTGGAGACCGATGCGAAAACGCCACTCCTGCACACACATACATGCAAGCGACACATCATAACGCCACCATTGCAGATGAACATAACATAAAACAGCTAGCCCCAGTGCATCTCCCCCGTGGACGTGGTGCATGGCCATGCAGGCCCTACATACCGCCTTCCTACGTACCGCCTCGGTGAGGATGACAGGACCGCCATTGCTGCTGGTATCGATGCCACTGGCAGCCTTCTCACGCAGAATCTCCTTCAACACCTTGTAGCCCTACGCATGCACACAGCACAGCCCTCATGATGCAATCAATGCATGGTCGGAAGAGATGGATTAGTTTGTGAGTGCTCACGGGTTTGTGGAGCTCCACAAGACGCCACTCGCCCCAATCGTCAGCCATGCGCTCGCCATACGAGGCGACAAGAGCACCCACCTGCCGCACTTTCTCGTTGGGCATGACGCAGCCGCTCCGAGACCCGTAAACTTCTATTTCAAAGCTCGCGCCATGAGCGCGGCCGTCGTGATCTTTTCCAAGGACAGGCCCCTGCAGCTGTGCGGATGCCTCAGCTCCCTCACAACATGCATCCGCGACTCATCCGACGCCCAGATCCATGTCATCTACAAGGCGTCTGACGCGTCGTTTGCAGCGGCCTATGCTCGACTCGCCGAGAGATGGACCGATGCGCGCGTCCACTGGAGTCGGGAGGCACCTGGATGCGCGATTTCATCGGCCCTGGAGGGGCTGGAGGCGTCCCATGTGCTGTTCACTGTGGATGACGCGCTCTTCCTGCGGCCGCTGGCGCCCTCTCTTTCACGCTGTGTGGCTCTGCTGGAGGAGAACGATGCGCTGCTGAGTGTGTGTTTGCGGCTGAACCCTCGTGTTGAGTATAGCCATCCCGCAGGATCGTTCTTCCCCCCGCCTGTGCTGCATTGGACACGGGAGAGGGATGCCCTGCTGTTGAGAAGGTGAGAGAGAGATTATGGCCATCTCTTAGCATAGCATGGATCGTATGGCATTGTCATGGGTGTGTATGCGTGATGTCATCAGGTTGAGGGAGGGCGATTGCAGCGGCGGCTGTGGTGGTGATGCGGGGGGTACGGGTGCTGACGAGTGGTCGATGCCTTTCGACCTCAGCGGCAGCATCTACCGCACATCCGACCTCAGAAGGCTATTCACGGTCAGTCAGTCGATCAGGCAGAAATGGTACTGACTGACTGAGCGGGCCACGTCACGTCATGTCTGCTATGTGGTGTGATGTCATCTCATCTGTTCACCAGTGCATCGAGGAGAGTCCTGTATTGGGTCGCGAGTGGCTCGACCATCCCAATCGACTTGAAGCAGCTGGTAAGTAACTACCCGAGGCGCGCAGGTCAACACTTCGTATGGATCTCTGTTGTCTGTGTGTCTGTTTTATGCAGGCAACCGTGCCATTCAGGAGCTGATGAGTGGTCTGGATCTCAACGCCACTCGCCCCTTCACAGCGGCGCCCACCCAGCCGCTCCTCACACTCATCACGGTCAGCCACCCACTCAGTGAAATGCCCTCCCTGCAAGGACCACCATCCTCGGTGGACTGTCTGTCTGTTTCGGTGCAGGCAAATCGTGTGCAGGATGTGTACTCGAACGCCATATACGCCGATGCACCCCAATGGGACATCCGCTCCCTGCTCGCCACTTTCCACCAGATTGACCGCACCCACACCTCCCACACCGACTTCCTCACGGCTGTCGACGGCTTCTTCGCGGCCCCGTTCTACACATCGACTTACTGGGACTGCCTCCACACACCCCCGCCACCTCTGTCTGCATCCGCTGCCGTGCCGAGGAGCCCTGACGGGCCTGAGCCGCTGGTGAGCTGGCTGGTGCCGGCACACAACGCCAAGAAATATGTGGACGAGTGCATCGACAGCATTGGAGGCCAGACGGACATCGGAGCAGGTGAGTAGTGGGTGAGGGATGATCGAAGGGGCCGTGTGTGTGTCGTGTGCTTGCTTGTTTGGTTCAGGTGTGTATGAGGTGGTGCTTGTCGACGACTGCTCCACCGACGGCACACTCGGCCGGCTGCATGCACGGGGGGCAGACGACCCCCGAATACGCGTCGTTTCCACACCCGAAAACCTCGGTCGGTTGGCACGTTATGAAACGAATACCTCCTATTTGGTGCGTGGCGCATCGATGCGTCCTTGGTGCTACGTCAGGTGTTGCCGGTGCTCTCAACTACGGCATGTCACGCTGCCGTGGGACGTTGGTCGCGCGGCTGGATGCAGACGATGTGGCGGAGCCTCACCGACTCGCCACACAGGTAGGCTAGGCGTACCACCAGAGAGAGAGAGAGAGGGAGAGGGAGTGTGTGTGTGTCATCCACCCCACCTTCTGCCATATTTTCACTCTCTGTGCAGCTGCGCTACCTCGCCACACATCCATCGGTCGCAGTGCTGGGCACAGCCTTCACCACGTTCACCGACCCCCCGACCTCCCATTCCCCTCCCTCTCCCAGCGAAGCCAGCAATGCCATGCCGATGATGCCTCTGGGCGATCGTGTGTACCGCCCCGCGTGCCACCCCGTTCTGGTGCGGTGGCACATGCTCTTCCGCTGCCCCATCGCACATCCCACTGTGCTCATCAACCGGCCTGTGTGGGAGGGAGGGAGAGGGAGAGGGTTGGATGGGGAGGGAGGGCTTGATCTGGTGTACCCGACTGACGAGGCGGCGGAGGACCACGCCAGGTGGCTGGGTTTGCCTCCAGGTGTGGTGGTGTGCAATGTGGGGGACATTTGTGTGCGGCTGCGGCGTCATGGGCGGCAGAGGTCGGCGACGCACCACAAAGAGCTGCAGGAATCGTCCATCAGGGCTGTGCACAGGTGAGGGTGGGGTGGCCCCCATGCACAGACACGTTCCTGCATCCAAACAGGTGTGCAAAACTGCTGGCGTCTGTTCGTCTGTGTGTGTGTCTGTGTGTGTGTGTGTGTGTGAAGGTACATGCAGCGTCACGTCGACACGAGTGTCACAGTGGAAGAGGTCCAGGTGCTGTGGAAGCAACGGTGGGTGCGTCACAGACGTGGATGGACAAAGAGATCCCAAACATGTATGTCATGTGCGTACGACCTCCGCGGCTGTCTGTCTGTCTGTCTGTCTGTCTGCAGGAGGATTGACGGGTCAACAACTGGCAGACGCATCGACGACCTTCTGAAGGTAGGTGCGCTACGCCATGCAGACGCGCACATGAACCACATTTGCCTCCATCTGAGCTGCACATGTCTGTTCACCTGTACGTGTGTGTGCTGTGCAGGCACTCGAGAACCACTTTGTGCAGCTGATCGACGACCTTGCCGGACAGGCACGCGAAGCCCCTCAGCAGCAGCAGATGGGGAGCGACTGGTGGGCCGACGGCCGCACAGCCGCGCTCAAGCAACACATACACTGCGCGACAGAACGGATCAGGTGGGTGGCCCGCATACACGCGCAGCATCGCCTGTGCATGTGTGTGGTGCATTGCGTTGCGTGCAGGGGTGAGATGTGTCTGGTTGAGCTGAGTCAGGGCAACATGGAGGGGTCGCTGCCGCTGCTGCTCGAGTGAACACGGGAGGGAGGGAGTATGGGCTGGGCGCGGCGCCCCATCCAATCCACCTCTGCTATGCTATGCTGTGCTGTTCATGTGCATCTGTCTGTGTCAGGTGGCTGAAGAACCCGTCGAGCCAACAGCAGCTCAAGCGGCTGACAGCTGGCAGTTAGTTGATGTGTGTCGATTCGATGGAGGGCCAGCCAGGCCTGCGTTGGTTGCTGGAGAACTGCTCACTGCTGGCTGCAGTGCAGTGAGTGAGTGTGCCTTGACTTGATGCATCCATTCAGGGAGAGAGAGAGAGAGTGTCCGTGCAGTCAGTACATTGACATCTGTGTATGGTATGCGACGTGACTCGACTCGACTTGACTTGCTGCCATCGATCAGTAAGGCCTATCTATATTCGCTCTCTGTCTCGTTCTTCCCATCCATCCATCCATCTCTGTCTCAATGCGGCGATGCACCGTCCCCCTGGTGCAGCTGCTGCGTGTCCGCTGCAGTGGTGGCCGTCGCCTCGTCAGGCTTCCCACCACCAGCCTTCTCACCACCACCTTCCTCAATCGTCACTGCCTTCTGCTTCTCACCACCAGCACCAACATCACCAGTTTCCTGATCTTCCTGTGTGCCATCCGGTTCTTTGTCATGCTTGGCTGCAGCGGCCTTGGTGCCCCCCACAACGAAGGGCTGCACGCGAGTTGTGACGTCTGTCTTGAATGCGTCGATGCACTCGACCTGCAGGCAGGAGGCCAGGTCGATGGACATCACACCCACGCGGGAGTTGCGCAGACGGTGGTCTCGCATTCCTGATTGCATTGCATTGCATAGGCAGATCGCACCGCACCGCATCCATGGATTCGCAAAATGTGACGTCTCTCTCTCTCTCTCTCTCTCTGACCTCTCTCTCCTCTCTCTCTCTTCTCTCTCTCTCTCTCTCTCTGTGTGTGTGTGTGTGTGTGGTGGGGAGGGGGAGGGGTCTAGACACATACCCTGTGAGTTGGGTCGGTGGATGTAGTTCATCATGGCGGCCGACAGGTGTGGCTCCGTCCACCTCGTCTTGACCTCCCGCACACCGTGCCGCGGGCGAGTCGACGCCACAGACTGCATCCATTGCCATCCAACACGCACACCAACACCACACCACACGTAAGTACCTCTCTCTGTGTCTCCCTCCCTGGGTGAGCAACACACACGGTCTTGCCTTGCCTGTGCGATGGCTTTGGTTCGTTTGCTGAATGTGTATGTGAGAGTTCGGTTTGCGAACTTGAGGTAGGCGCACTTGAAGTTGATCTCCAGCGTGTAGTGACGCTCAACTGCAGTGCACACGAATCGAATCGGGTGGTATCTCATCTCATGTGTGTGTAGGTATGTTGTGTTGTGCTGTGTGGTGTGGTGGTTGTCAGACTGAGGTCGAGTATGGCCCTGAAGAGTGCGTCGAGGCCCGACTGCACCACCTGGGGAGGCAGGTAACAACCCGTCGCTATCGGAATGGGGTTCAAATACCTAGTGCACACACACAGTCACACAATCACACACACACAATCCCCTCTGTCTCCCTCTGTCTGTCTGTCTGTCTGTCTGTCTCCCTCCCTCCCTCCCTCCCTCCGCCCCTCCCTCTGTCTGACGTCATATATTTCTGCTGCTGGTAGATGGATCCACAGTTGTGTTCTCGCCGGAACTCCTCCTTGCCAGGAAACCGGTGCAGCACCCCCTTGAGCTTCTCGTCCACATTGAAACACGCACGCGCCTCCAGGCCGTCGGGGCGGAGGTAGGTGGGCATGTCGGCGTACTGCATGCCGTCAGGGGCGGCCTGCTTGTGGGTGCGGTTGATGGGCTCGATGGCCGAGAGGGTGAACTCGTCTTTGGCCAGGACGCCGGTGCGATTGACGCGCACGATGTTCTCAAACATGAAGGTGCCTGCAGTGCCGGGCAGTGCAGTGCAGTGCACAGGGGCAGTGGAGTGAGTGGACATGATGTGTCTATAGGTCTGCAGTGAGGACACTGAGGACAGACAGCTGTACCGAAGTTGGGGATGTGGACGCTGTTGGCCTTCTCCATATTCTCTATGAGGTAGTCGCAAAACGCTGACAGACAGAGAGACGTCACTGCATTGAGTTGCATCTCAGAGTGGAGTGGCGTCTGGATGCCTTCTCACCGTCCCATATGAGCAGCAGCTGGCGGGTCGTGTCCATCGGCACCAAACCTTGGCTCGTCCGAGCTGCACAGAACAGAACCAACTCAGAGGCAGTCAGTGTCTGCAGTGCCCGCAAATGCCTGTCTTGACGTGACGTACGCTGAGGCTCTGTGTGCGGCCCTGGGTAGATGCGTGGGTTGGCCAGCACGAAATTCACCACTCCCCGGACTGCATGGGGCAGACAGAAATGGAGACAGGCAACGAGACGGGGTGTGCACCATGCTTCGACGATGGCATGGGGCCTGCTTGAGCTCACTCTGAACCGTCGACTGCACTGGGTGGGACTGAATCATGGCGGCGACGAAAGCGAGAAGGCAGAAGACTGGGGGCCCCCGGGGGCGGCCCGCCGTCTTGGCGAGGATCGCATCACGACGTGTCCTAGAAGCTTCCTTCTGCGCACGATATATCAGAGATTTGCATGTAGGTACGGCGGGTGCCTCATGGCCTGCCTCATGGCGTCCTGTCGTCCTTGGTGTACACGTACAAGGACCACTGTTCATGATACACACACCTCACCCCACTCACTCCGCTCACGCCCCCTCCCTCGCCCACCACCCCTTTCGGCAGCGGCCACAGCAGTGACACCACGCACCGTAGAGCGGCCGACTCAAACAGAGATGCAAACAGGTCAGTCAGCTGCTCCAAGGCCTCCGGCAACAGATACACAAAGCTGCATTGCATTGCACACGTACACACAGATGCGCATGTATGTCATCAGACACGCAAGCAACAAGTGAAGTGCGTTTGCGTGTGTGATGTGCAGATCAGTCGGCCTACATGATGGTGGTTTTCTTGAGCCTCTCCTCTACAGCTGTATCGAGGAGGTTGCCGACCTCCATCACCACCTCACCAGCCGCGGGAGGCTGGCCCTCAGGCCGCACCGGGACACCAGCTGCCTTGGCCCTGTCAACCGCTTTGCCGATGAGCGCCTCGTCAAGGTCAATGCCCCAACCTGACGTGCACACACACACACACGCACACACACGTAGGGCTGAAATCTCACTTGGCCGTTGATGCGATGCGATGTCATGCGATGCGATGCGATATCATTTTGTCCGGACCGGCGCATTTGAATCTTCTGACGCATTCGATGACCACTCGGCCATCGCCGCAGCCCAGGTCAGCCACGATGTCGGACGGCTGGACGTCCAGCAGACTCATCAGGCCCTCCAGCTTGGCCTCTGACGTCGCCCTGCAGACAGACAGACAGACAGACAGGCACAACACACCCATTCATTGATGGCCAGACAGGTGTAGTGTGGTGTCATCGTATGTGTGCTCCTTACTGATATGGCGAGATGAAGCCCTGAGAGTCCCAACCTGACACAGACAGCGGGAAAGCAGCAAGAGAAACAGACACACATTCGTCCATTCAGCTGGCTGACACGGACCGGGATTCCATGTCCGTCCGGTCTTCACCGTCTGAGTAGACCTGTTCGAAGCCCAAGTGGACAGAGAACACACACGGAGATGGATGGGCGAATGGTTTAATCTTCGTCGTCCGTTCCATTTGCTCACTCACCAGGTCAGGTTTGGTGCCCTGGAACGGCATCCAGTTTGCGTCATGATCGCTCTCAGCATCGCCTCCATCTGGCACAGCACCACCGTCCGGGCCGTCATCTGCGTGATCTCTCTGCAGATTCTCCATCGAGAGCCTTCCTTCGGCAGCCTGAGGTGCGCCAAAACGGTATCGCGAAACGATCGGATTCATCTTTTGCGAGCTCAATGCATGCACGACGTACAGGCCTGGGGTGTCTGTCTATCTCTCTGTACAAACGGCCTCGATCAAGCAGATCTCACAGACAGGCACCTTCACACAGAAATAAACCGGACCTAGACCTCATTGCTCGAGCCTAGCCTGACTGTCACCACCACTAAGGCACACGAACGAACGAACGAACGAACGAACGGATGGACGGACGGACGAACGAACCACCGCAACCCTCGGGCAGTGCAGTGCAGTGCACACCTGTGGCTTGCCTTGCCACGGCATCCATCGATCATTTCATTTGGCCTTGAGCCTGAGCTTGGGGCACACATTCATCGACTGCAGCTCCTGTAACACACACACAGAGAGGGAGGCCACCGCACACACGCATGTCAGTCACACGGTGAGATGGCCTGTGTCGGTCCGTTCGTATCCGTCCGTCCGTCCGTCCCTCCCTCCCTCCCTCACCTGGAAGAGCAGTTTGCAGGCGTAGGGCATTTTGATGGCGGCGACCTTCTCGCCCGACTTGCAGTAGGGACACCAGCCGGCGTAGCCAATCAAACCACACTCTGATCAATTGGATTATTTGACGGGATGGGAGGGATGAGCAAGACACACCACACACACAGGTGTGTCTGTGGTGCGGTGCTGTATGGTGTGGTTGTGGTGTGGTGTGGTGCGCACCTCGGCACACGGACGCCTCGAAGATGTCCGAGCTGATCATGAGGCGCTCCATCAGCAGGTTGGACGCACTGCACACAACACATCACAGCAGAAAGCAAAAGCACCAGCCAGTGTCAAGATGGATCGGATCGATGTGGCTGGCTGTGGTGTATGTATCAGTCAGTCAGTGTGATTCGATTCGCACCGCACCCGTATGCGACGAGGCAGTCTCTCTCCATCTCTCCAAGCCGCAAGCCGCCCTCCTTGGAACGACCCTGCACCACACACACACCGCACACAGCCACCCACAGCCAATCAGCCACACACACAATTATGTCATGTGTGTCGGTGTCGGTGAGGTGACTGTGTGCTGTGCTGTGCATACTGTTGTGGGTACCTCAGTGGGCTGTCGTGTGAGGATTTGCCTTGGCCCCCGTCCCCTGGCGTGCATTTTGTCCTGGACCATGTGTTTGAGTTTCTGGTAGTAGACCGGGCCCACGAAGATGTAAGTGCTCAGGGCCTCCCCGGTCACACCAGAAGTCAAGTACTCCTGTCGGCACACAAGACAGACAAGACGAGACAAGACCACACAGACACACAGACAGACAGACAGACAGACAGACAGATCGACCCACACGCAATGCACTGCACGCCGCGATCACTTCCGCGGCAAGATAGAGATCTCACCTTGCCGGAGTATGAGAAGCCGTAGCTGATCAGGATCTCACCAATGTCTGACCAAACACACACACACACACACGGACACGTGCAGTGCAGCACAGCCACAGCAAGGACGAAGCGGAGGTTCTGCGCTGCGCACGGATTGGACTGCCCGGCGTGGCGTACCGTACCCTTGACAGAAGTGCCTCCGAATGCGGTGCCGTACTTGAACTTGCCGTCGCACAGGGCCGACTTGCCCGCTATCAGCTCGATCATCTTGCCCACAGTCATGCGAGAAGGGAAGCCTGGCAGGCACACACAACCACAATTACACACAGAAAGAGAGAGATGGATCCCTGTTCTGAGTGCAACGGATCGATGGATGGATGGATAGATGGATGGATGGACCGACCATGAGGGTTCATGATGAGGTCGGGGCAGAATCCGGCGTCGTTGAATGGCATGTCCTCCTGGTTGACGATCAACCCCACCACGCCCTTCTGCCCGTGACGCGACGAGAACTTGTCACCCAACTCGGGGCGCCGCGTCTGACGCAGAATCACCTGCACGATATATGGAATGGGTGGAACGACCGACCGACGGATGCAGGGCAAGGCGCCACACCACACAGACAGACAGACAGACAGATGGGGAGAAGGCCATGTGGGTGTGGTGGATGGCTGCGTGCCGTGCCTTGTAGATGGTGGTGTCCTCGTCGTTGGTGGTGAGGATCACACGATCCACATAGGAGGGGACGGTCGTCTGCATACACAGACACGTAGAGACAGACAGACAGAGAGGAGAGGCACTAATGTGTGGTGTGTGCTTCTGAGTGCGTGTGTGTTGGCAATATATTCAATTCACCCTGTATGTGACGGGTGTGGGTTTGAAGTCCTTGGGGTCCACCTTGTTGAGGTCGATCCGCGCCTCACGCGTGTTGGTGGGGGAGTACTGCACGAACCACGTCAGACAGACAGACAGACAGACATGACACAACTCTCTCTCGTACTACGAGATGACCTGACTGACCACCAGGATTCGTGTCTGGTCTGCCCGTCATCTGGGTGTTTCACTGCTGACTGACCTTGTTGATGTAGATCTGCCCGTCTTGTACCTGACAGACACTCACACAATGACAACCAAACAATTGCCAACACTGTGTCTGTCATGCATGTCTGGCTGCCCTTAAAGCTGCCTATGCATTGCTATCGATCCGACCATTTCTCCGACTCTGCAGACGCCGTCGTCGTCGAGTATGTCGAACTTGCGCGGCACACCCGTCGTGCGGGCGTGCTTACGACCGCCAGCCAACTGATATCGGTCACAGAGATTACATAGTCGCATGCAGGTGTCCATGTGTGTTGCCGTGTGTGTTGTGTTGCCCTCCCTGTGACCGACCATTCTGGACTGTGCCGGCATCTGTGGTGGGGGGAAGACGCGGTCCTGCGTGCCGTTGGAGTAACGCGACAACGGAGTGCTGTACCTGCAGGCATCAAGGAATTGACAGACAGCACCACACACCTACCAGAGATGCTCGTGCGTGTGTATGTGTGTGTGTGTGTCACAGGTACCTACCTTCTGAGAACGTAGCATCGTCCGAATCCCCTGTCGAGGCTGGCACGGTTCATGATGATGGCGTCCTCGATGTCATACGCCTGCATTGCACGGTATCAGAAACAACACAACATACATAGGTACGCCAGTCTGTCCATGTCTCTCTTCTGTCTGGTGTGGTTGCGGTCCGGTTGGTACCGAGTAGCTCATGATGGCGACGCTGGCGTTCTGGCCGGCAGGCAGCTTCTCGAAGTTGATAAGCTCTGCCAACACGCACACACACATGGGTGTGTGTGTGTGGATCTCACTGACGTACCTACCGATGGTTTTGGTTTTGCAAAGAGGTTTTTGCGGGTAGACGAGGAGGTAGAGCAGCGTGTCGCACCGTGCGAACTGGTTGGTGGCGATGGCCCCCATGGCCTGCTTGCCCATGGCACACTGGTAGGTGTTGCGCGGACTCTGGTTGTGGTGGGGGTAGGGGATGAGCCCCGACACGACCCCCATGATGGTCAGCGGGTCAATCTCCAGGTGAGTCGTCTCCCTATGTATGACACACAACCATAACCACACACACGAACATCCACATGTGGTACATAAGACACGGATGCAGTTCATTTCCTTTCACCACGGCTCTCTCGGCTCACCTACCTCTCGATATCGGTTTCTCTGAGGGCGATGAGCAGGTTGTTCTCCTCATTGACGTCAATCCACTCCAGTATGCCCTAATCACACCACACCACACCACACCCAACAACACACAGCGATCCACCCAGCCCCACACAGCACAAGCCTTCCCTCTCCCGTACACACCTACCGTCCTGAGGAAGTCGTCAAAGTTCATCTGTCCGTCTCTGAGCATGTCTAGGTGTGTGCCTGTGAGTGTGGGTTTGCCCCTGTCGACGATGATGAGTGGGCGGCACAGCCGGCCGCCGTCAGAGGCGATGTAAATGGCGCGGTGGGCCTCGTTGTCGTACACCGACACAAACTCCCCGACCTGCAGCATTCGCACACACACAGACACACACACACACAGACACACACACGCAGCGCAGAGAGAGACAGAGATTTCTGTCTGTGTGGGGAGGGGGTCCCAGGGGTGAAGGAAGGTTTGTTACCTTCCTTACCTACCTTGCCCCTTCTCCTGAGTGTCCGTAGGTTCTTCATGAACTGCTTCGGCCGCCGGTGTACGCCCATCAGCAGACCATTCAGAAACACCAGATACGTCCCTGACCAAGGACAAGGCCAAGACCAACAAACACACCATAAACAAGGAGAACAGATGGATGACCACCTACCTACCCAACATGTATCTGTTTGTATGCACCGCCCCCTCCCAACCAAACCTGGCGAGTGCAGTTCTTCCCCCCCGATGGCGCCCGCGTCCTCGACACCGAGCGAGATACACAGCCGCTGCAGCGGCTGCGCATTCTCGTCCTGCGTCACGTGCGTCATCAAACTGACACAACACAACACAGCACAGCACAACACAACACACATGAGCTCGTTCTTTGGGTGCCATACTGCTGCGTGGCGTTGTGTGGTGGCGCACCTGAGGTTTTTGACGAGTCCGCATGACTCTCCTTCTGGCGTGTCGCACGGACACAGCATGCCCCACTGACTCGGCTGCAGCGCACGGGGACCGGACACCTGTTGGGGGGCGTGCAGACAAACACAGGTAGGTGGAGATAGAGATAGAGAGGGACAGAGGGACGACTTGGCTGGTCTGCATCGGCGCATTGGTGGGGTGCCTGCTTTCACCTTTCTGGATTTCTCGAACTGAGAGTTGACGCGCGTCATCATGCCCAGAGCGGCTATGTACGACAAACGAGACAACACCTGCACAACACACACACACACAAGACAGACATACACACACCACTCTCCCTCCCTCCCTCTCCTCAGTTGATCTCACTCACTTGTGCGACTCCCGTCCGTTCCATTTTGAATCGTTTGATGTTCCAGTTGCCGCTGCTGATGGCGTGCTGCATGCCACGCGTGATGAGGTCCGTGGGCGGCGAGCGGAAGATGTCGGGCGGCTGGATCGAGTCGCGCGCCTTGCTCGAGGAAGCCAACGACTGGTGGTACTTGGACAACATCTGGTCGGCCTGACGCTTGATCTACATGACACACACAGACACAGACACACACACAGACACAGACACAGACACATGGGCGGGGAGGTGCGGTGGGGACATGTCTGTGTGGTGTGGGTACGTCGCTGTTGAATCGTTTGAAGAGGTCTTCGAACAGGAGTGCGATGAGCTGCCCCGCCAGCTCCAGCCGCTTGTTGCCGTAGTAGTCCTTGTCGTCCATCAGGGTGCGGTCCACCACCGCGTCTAACACGCGACGCACCATCAGACACAAAAACCTAAGAGAAGAACACACTCAGACATTGACACACCGTTAGCGAACGCATTTCATTGCGTCGGGAGAGCCTGTTCGTTCTTGTCTGACGTGCTGTGCTGCGCTGCGTACCTGAGCTTTGGTCCGAAGTCGCTGCCGCTAGTCTCGATGTGCGACAGCACCAACCTGTAGATAAAGATTAGATTGACACACAACGGACGGGACGGATGGCTCTTTAGGCTGGATGGATGGACACATTTGTCTGTCTACGCACCCACCCCACCGACCTGTGTAGTGCCTCCAGCGCCTCATCCGCCTGCTGCTGGGCCTTGATCAGCGCTGATGACTTCTGATCAAGGGAGGGAGGGCAACACACATGGGAATGGGAAGTACCGGATTGATTGTTGCTCTCGCCCCACTCACCGCTCCGGCTTGTGTGGCGGACGCGCCAGCAGTGCTACGTTGGTATGCGGTCCTCTGGCGGTACTTGAGCCGCTGACCCAGGTATATCAACGCCGCATGCTGACTCAACACACCTGATAGATCGGTGGAGGGTGGGATGGATGGATGGATGGAGGGATGGCACACACACACACACACACACACACACAGAGTATGAAGAAGCGATGTTGCGCGTAGCTAATGCGTGTGTCGTACTTGCGTTGTGCGCGTCCTGGATGGACAAGCTGAGCCCCTCGTAGTGGTGGCGCTTGGTGCCCACCTACACACACAGAAAGAGAGGGAGAGGAGAGGGAGCCGTGTACACCAGACCAGACACCAGACAGACAGACAGCCACCCAGCCCAGCCCAGCCACAGGTTCAACCTGTGCTGACTGACTGACCATTTGCACGATTTCCTGGTCCGTTTCCATGCCCATGGCCTTGAGTACGATGGTGATGGGTATGTCCTCTGTGAAGGTGCTGTGGCGCATGTAGAGCCGGTTGTTCTTGTGCACCACCATGGTGCGGCTCTTGTTGTCCGTCGTCGCCGACGTCACCACCGCACACACGTTGTGCTTAGGGTCAGTCTCGACGATGATGCGATTCTTGCTGAGCTGCTCCTGCATCAGGATCACCTGCACACACACACAATGCGCCGCGCCCTGTACGTGACTTGTGTCTGTTTTGATGCCATGTGTGTGCAGACTGACTGGCTGGCTGACCTTTTCGGTGCCCTTGATGATGAAGTATCCGCCCGGGTCGTAAGGGCACTCGCCCAACTGCTGCATGGCCTCGTGGCTCTTGCCGTGCAGCACACAGATGCAGCTGCGGAGCATGATGGGCAGCCGGCCGATCTCTGCATGTCTCTTGACCACGATCTGGTTGCCGCGGATGTACTCGACGTCCACCAGGATGGGCGCGGAGTAGGTGATGTCCCGGATGCGGCACTTCATTGGCGTCAGCGTCTCGCGCGACATGGCCAGGTCAGAGTAGGTCGCCACACCCACATGGACGTTCGTGTACCTGCCATCCATCCAGCCATCCCACCACACGCACACATACATTCTGTGTGTGTGCGTGTGGTGCCCCTTGGTTGGCTGACTGACTTGAGGTAGAATTTGGCGTCGGCTTCGCTGGTGACGAGGCAGTTGGATTTGGCCCTGACGATCTCCTTCATCTCGACATTCACAAAGTGGTTGTAGCTGTCGATGTGCTGCTTCACCAGCCCCCGCGCCTGCAGAAACGCCGGCAGCAGATTCCACTTCTCCTGTGGTGGGCCACACACCACACATACACACACACACACAGCAGCAGATTCAGTCAACGTTCATGCATCCTGGTATGTTGTCTGTCTGTCACGAGTGGTCTCACCCCGATGTCAGAGATTGGCCTGGCAGCTTGGAAGACCGACGGCTGGTCTTCGCCCTCATGCTGCATGTCCTCATCGGCCTCGTCGTCCTCCTCCGGCAGGGAAAATCGCACACGCTTGGCCCGCTTCCCAAACATCGCGAGTGGTCGCCGGCCAATAGATCCGCGGCTGCTGCTGCAGCCAGCCTTCGATTGGCCCTTTGAAAGCGCCTTATAGAGCTGGAGAGTCCATCATAAGCGTGACCCCAAGCTGACACAGATCTTTCAAGAGATGTGGCGAATGAAAGATGCTGGTGCTTCAGATGGTCGTCAGAGCTTCCAACGGGCACCCATACTGGGAAAAAGGCGCCACTTTCAGAAAAGCTCGCAAAGGCAGAGCGAGGAAGAAGGCGCCGGGGCTTTGATGAGCATCTCACACATCAGCAGCTCTCAGTCGCTACCCCTTTCTGTCTGGTGCCGCTCATTCGTCGACCTTCCCGGAAGATCTCTCACTTCGCACTGAAGTTCGCAGCAGGGCTTTTCGGCTTTCTGCTGCCGTCGAGGCTTGAAGACGTCCCCTCTCAGCGCGGCTGCCCTACACAAGCCAGATTCACTTCATCGCCGCATGACGGGGACGGACCAGGACCCTTCGCACATCCCTTCAAAACGGCCTCGTGTTGAGGCGAAAGATGTCCCGCCCGTTCACGGTCATCGCCTAGCTGGAGCCATCCGCCGTAACGATGCTCTCAGCTGGTTCGTGGAGCGTCTCTTCCAGCAGAGCATGCTGTTCATGGAGGTGCTGGGCCTGTTATCTTTTGTGGAGTGCGTTCGTCTGGCCGAGCTATGCCGCACCGTCCATGCGGCGCTCTGCGACTTCATTGAGGTGGTACGGAGCAGCACCTGCAGTGCACTTCCTGCCCTCTCCGACCAGAGGACCGTCCAGCACATCGTTATTCTGCTTCCGCCGACATCGCTAGCCACCAGCGAGTACCTGAGCGAGGAAGGTCGGCTGGGCGATGCGCTCAGAGAACGGCTGACTCGAACTGTCAAGACAGTCACAATAACCCAACCCATGGAGGTCAAGCCCCCTGCCCCGTGGAGCCGCCACCTGTTGGCTCTGCCCCGTCCCCTTGAGTCCACGTCGTTCGAGCACGTCAAGTCGATAAGGACCAACACAGCAGACGGCTTTGTCTTCTTGCATCGCCAGTGCTTCGAGTTCCCGGCCCTGGAGAGCCACAGTGGTTCACTGATGCCGCACGACGCTCTCCTCGACATCGACAAAGAGTTCGACAGGGACGAGGCCATCGGAGGGCCTGAGGATGCGTGTGATCGGTGCGAGGACTATTTCGATCTCAGCCTGCTTGATGCCGTGGTCAGTGGCATGGTGACCCGTTGCCCTACACTGACGCACGTCGATGTCTGGCCCATCCACGCCCGGATGGACAGGACGATCGAGGCCATTGGGGGTCTTCTCCAAGTCGAGCACCTTGGTCACCTCCTCCTCTTCGACACGCTGGATGGACCTCGAAATCGTTCGGTCCTGAAGGCACTGCGGTCGATCAGTGGACTCGCGCCCCTTCCTGCTGGCAAGAAGCGGATCCTACGTTTGTGGTGCTCCCTGTCCACAACCCCGTCGCAGCCCGCGGTTTTCCTTCCATTGAGAGATGATGATGGTGACTCGCTGACGCCCGACACGCTGCAGCTGGTGCTGGATGTGGAGGAGAGGGGATGGTGTGTGGCCTTCGACGGTGGGAGGAGCGAGCTGTGCTGCGCTCATGTTCTCCATCATCATCTGCCCTTTTTCGACGATTTCGCCCATTTCGACGATTTCGAGCCGCCCCGTCCTACTGCCGAGTTGCAGCAGCGGATTGTGTCGTGTGTACAGCGGCACGCGGCAGCCAGCCAGGTGGTGCAAGTGAAGTACTTGTCTGACGGCACACCAATTAGCGACGCATTCCGGCCTCTTCGCTTTGACTCAGCCAGGGTGCTGGTGGCTGGCCACGGCGCCCTCACAATGAGAGCGGCTGACGACAAGAGGTTTCGAGCAATCCCAAACTGGCTGGGCGAAGACGGGGCACTGGCTGGCGTCTGCCAACTCCGGCTTGACCGAGTGGGTGTCACTGGGGGTCCGAGCCCGTCCTACCATTGTCGTCCTCTTGTGGGGCGTGCCACGGCCTTCGCACGTCGCCCAAACAATCTGAGCCGCCTGCTGCAGCGCCTCACTCTTGGCCGCGCCCCGCAGACCTCGTTCTCAAGCGTCAAGATGCAGTACGTGACGGGAGAGATGGTGGCCGAGTGCCTCTCGTACCTGCCTGCGAACACCCGCATCGACCACCTCGAGATCAAGGGCTGCATGGAGACCGACGAGCTCAGCAAATCCGACAGCGGCTGCCCCAATCCTGCCGCCGAGAGAGTGCTGACCTTCGCCCCCGCCCACCTCACTCGCCACTACCCACCCGTCAAGACCATCAGCATCGACCTCCGCCATCAGCCCTTCGATGATGACGATGAAGAATGGTTCGGGGTCGATGACCTGGAGGAGGTGTCGCCGGCCGTCCTGAGCCGTGTGTACCGGCTCTTGCATGAGTGCCGGCCAGTGGAAGGGACGGTCAAGGGCGTCCTCATGAAGGCGGCGTGGTTCGACCAGCCGTGGGATGAGGAGTGGCTCAAGACGCAGGTCAGTGAGGGCTGGGGCGACGATCCTACTCATCACATTTCGTGTGTTGTTGTGCCCTCGCGTCGTGTCAGATTGTGTTAATGTATCGCCACCCGAACCACGGCCGATTCTACCACTGTGAGGCGACCCAGCTGGAGGTGCTGCACCAGCCCAAGATCTCTGTATTCCACTACGACTACCCCCTCTGGGGAGAGGAAGCGAGGGAGGACCTGCGTCAGCATCCGAGCGACCACATGGTGAAGTTTGATTTGGTGGTGCGCCGCTCATCTGGTCGCTCGTCAGAGCTCACCCAGCCGCCCATCACTGACTTTATGTTGTGAGAGGGTGCTGCAGTAGTGGCGTCGAGTGCGAGATGGATGGAGTGAGTGCGTGTGTTCCTTTCGGACGGGCATCGTTGAGTGTCTGTGTTGTCGTCGACTGATATGTATATGGATGGACTCATCGGCAGCATAGTCAAAGTGTTTTGTTCCTCCATGATTGATTCACATGTACCACTACACGACACCCGCACATGTCACTCCATTCATGCATAACCTGACAGACATGAACAGCAGGCGGGAACGCAAGCGCCGCGCGCGTTTGTCGTAAATTTAAATTGGAAATCCTGGCCTCCCTCTCTTTTCCGCTCGCTTTTCCTCTTTCCTGCTTCAATCTTTCTTCCCACCAGCTGTTGCTCAACCATGGATGGCCCGGCCGAGCGTCTGACGGCTCAGCAGGCCGCCCTTGCCGTCGGCAAGAAACGGAAACCGGAGGACGAGGATGACCATGACGTCGACGATTACGATGACGGTGACCGCATGAGCATCAGCAGCAGCAGCAGTGGGTCGGATTGGGAGGCCGACCGGCGCCGCAAGAAGGGCGGGCGCCACGCCAAGAAGATGAAGAGCAACGACGGCCGGGCTAAGGGGAAGAAGGCCAGCATGGCGACTAAGGGCAGATCTGACGGCGCTGCGGCAGAAACTGACGACGTGGAGATGCAGGTGGGAGGGAATCCCAAAGCGCATCATACACAATGGGGCGGAAATGCTTCATCCACTGTCTGTGTTGGTTGTGTTTGTGTTTTGTATGCAGGTTGCTGATGAGTTGAGTCCCGCTGACGTGCTGAGTGCGCTCGGCGGCATGGTGGAGAAGCTACAGGCGCAGATACAATGCATCGAAGAAACAAAGGCTGAGGTGGGTGGGCGGAGGGAAGCGTGAAAGGGATGTGTGTGCGGATGTGTCATGTCCGTACGTGTCGTGTTCGCCAGGCTGAGCGTGTGTTTGAGTTGAAGATGGGTCTGCCGCAGCCCGACTCCCCCGCATGGAGGTGACACACAGACACAGCACCAAACAACCACACACCACCGCACATCGCAGCCGTTCACATCTCTGTGTGTGTGTGTGTCATTCCGTCAGCTTTCGTGGCGTGCAGGAAGTTGAGCGTCAGTTTCGTGTGTTGGCGTCTATGGTGACGCGCGACGTCGAGGTGCGGACGCAGTCAGCCAAGACAGCGACGCACCAGATGGCGCAGACATCCAAGAAACTCGACATCATGGAGCAGAAGATCAACAAACTCAACCAACATGAAGATGAGGAGGTACACATCCGCACACACGCACATACACACGCACACACAATTGCTTACACATGTCGTCATAGGATGCAACGCATCCTCTGTGTCCGTTTGCTTTGTAATATGTCAGGTCGCTTCGTGTTTGGAGGGGCTGGCTGAGGCGTTGTGGACGGGTGACGGCGAGCGTTTGGGCGTGTCGGGCTTCCTGGGCTACACGTCCTTCATGCAGTCGCTGTCCAGTGTGAGCACCTACTTCAGAGCACTCAGCCTCAAGAGCGAGGGGCACCCCATCCTGGAGCTGGACAAGTCGCCTACTGAGGACATCGCAAAGAAACTCATACGTGAGAGACACAACGGGACACATAAGCACATGCACGATGTAATGATATGTGTGGTGGGTGTGTGGTCAGGTCGTTTGTCTGTGAGGCGTCTTCGTATGAGCCACTGCCCCACCCCCGCCCTCGTGCGTCTCGTCGATGGGTTTGCAGCCACCCTGGAGACCCTGCAACTGACGGGAGAGGCAGCGAACCACATCGGGCAGGGTAAGCAAAGGAACAGAAAGACAAGAGACGGAATTGCCTGGACATAATTTTGCGTCCTTTCTTGGTGTGTCTACCATGGTGGAAGAGGGAGGGCGTCGCTACCGAGGGTTTTTCTACGGAGAAGACCGCAAGCCGATCGCGTCGCCACGCAGCACGGAACCAGTGGCCTTCCCGCGTCTGCACAAGGTGACGGTGCAGGGGGCCTGGAGCAACATCGCACAGGTGCGTCAGCCTCCACAGTCCCTGTGTCATCAGTGCTGGATGATGCGCTCATCTGCAGGATCGTGACTACCAGCTCCCCGTGTTGAAGTCACTGACCGTGGACAGCATCCATGACCGAGTAGGCTGCCTCAGCTGGATCCGCAGAGCATCAGCCGGCTTGTCATCGCTTCATGTCAAAGACGACTACGTGAGAGAGAAGACGCGAGAGGGAAGAAGCGGTCAGAGAAAGTGTCCTCTTATTGTTGTTGCAGGCCACCACTCTCGATGCTGTCGCAACGGCCATCACCGACACACCATCAGGTTACAGAAACGCTTCAAGAAAACACCTCATGCATCATATGGCTTCCTGCCACATTCAGCCAACACCCTCGTCTGCCTCAAGGGCGCCATCTTCGGTCCCAACAGCAGCAGCCGATTCCTCGAGCTCATCGACAAGCGGCTGGGAGGGCAGAAGCTCTGCAACATCGACGTGTGGCTGGCGCGTATCACAACTATTGCAGCCGTGCAGGTCCGTCGGGGATCCACAGAACAAATTTCAGTCGTCGTGATACTCACGGGCTGCTCTTTCTGATGTGTTTCTCATTCTTCACCAGGCTCTCCATCGCTTCCGCACGTCGTACCTCGAGCCTGGAGCGACGGAGGTGTATCGTCGGATTCAAGAGAACGGCATCCACCTCCCTCTTGATGGAGACCCCACCCAGCTGGCCGACTGCCTGCCCACCGCCCAGCTGTGCTGCGACATCCCTCAGGAGGTGACCCTCCGGACACACGCTCAGCCAGGCGGCGGAGTGTTCGACGGCCCCCTCGTCTGCCCGAAGGCTAAGCAGCTGACCATCGAGTACTCCAACCAGCCTGCCCCACTCCCTGCCTATGTCGTGTCTGATCCCTCTTCCCTCTTCCCATCTGTCGAGTGTGTTGTGGTTAAGCAAGGAGAGGAAGGCAGTCGCTTCTACGAGGGGGGCGTGGCCTCCGTGCAGAGCGTGTCGGTCGAGGTGTCTGCCCGTGCGAATCCTGAGGCCAGGCTGTGTCTCGTGCCTGATTGTGTGGGCCATCTGTCTTGCCAAGGCAGGCCTTTGCCTGTGCACATGACGGTCGATCTGCTGCGACCACCACACCATCACTGGCATGACGGCCATGACCAGCTTTTCCATTCCATCCACTGGTCTTTGTATGGCAACAGCGAGGATGGCAGGGAGGCCATGCAGAGGCGTGTATCTCGCCTTCAGATCGACATCAAGTCAGGCGACGGCTATCGCAACAAGCACTCGTGGCTGTCGAGTGATGAGGGCAGGCAGATGTACACTTCGTTTGCTGCGTGTGTGGCCGATGCATTCGAGAGTTTTTCCCCCTCTCTCAAGCGCATCGTTTTGGTACCGCAGCCCAGGCCGGCCTTCGGGCTGGTGGGGCATCTGAGAGAGGCAAGCAAGAAAAGGTTCATCGTGTCGAATATGGACGCAGAGGGGGCCATCGAGATGCGCCCAGCCAAGAAGGGAGGCAAAAGAGACAAGCCAGCCCACTCACTGCTAAGGGAGTGACATGACCACAAGACACACCAGGCATCCCTCACCACACGGTCACATTGGTCAGTGCAGACGTGGATATCGATGCCGATTTTGATACATGAGATGTCCACATGTTCCCCCTGTTGATCGCAGTGTATGGTTTTGTCGCTTCGTGTGATCGTGAACAGACGGCCCTCTTCGATGGACATATGTACACAAAAGACAAGACAGACAGACAGAAAGAGAGAAACAGACTGGCTCCTGATCCCTTTCCCTCCATGATGCACGTCGACTGATGACACACATTCATTGTTTCTGTGTGAGAGATGGACACTTTGTGTTGGAACGTCTCACTAAGCCCGAAATGAACAGAGAAACCATTGAAACGACCGCCTTCCGTCAGCTAAGCTCGCAGAGAGTGAAACGGGAAGGGAGCTCCAAGGGAGGGAGGAGGAAAGGAGGCCGACGACCAGGTGCGTCAGCAACATTGTGTTATCCCAACTTCCAGGTGCGTTGGCGAGCCAATGGCGACATTGCGTTGAATGAAGGGATGATACGTGACAGTGTGATCTGTGTCTGTGTGTGCAGGAGTGTCGCTTAGCGTCATGGGCCAGTCGCCGTCTGCCGCACCGCAAGCACCTCACACACAGGCGGTGCCGCCCGACTACAAGGGACTGGATGTCGTCGACATCATTCCCAACGAGGGGATGGTGGGTCGGATAGCGGAGACTGGAGGCATCCGTCCTCTCAGTCCTCCCTCCCGGCAGCTGCTGGAGGGCTGCATCCGCCGCAGCTTCACCGACGTCAGTCAAGTCAAACAACTGCTCCGCCAAGGAGCCGACCCGAGATCCTGCGGCGGCCTTCGTGTCCACGGCACCATTTTGACTCCGCCTTGGCAATACAGCTGCCTGACTTTGGCCATCGACAGCCCATTAAGCCGCCCATCCCTCGTTAACGACCCATTCATCGACAACGCCGATGGCTCGGCCGTCCGTTTTCCGCCCGTTGTCCTTCCCCAGTGGTCCTCCCGTCAGCTGCAGTGTGACATCATCAACGCACTTATCGACGGCGGGGCGGACGTCAATGCGGCCGAAGGCCTTTTTGGACGTGTGGCGGACAGGCCCATCAGGGTGGCCGTTGCGGCGGGCAATCTGGCGGCCGTGCAGACCCTGCTGGCGGGCAACCCCAACGTGCGGGGCTTTGCGGTGATGCGGGTCCCCTTCCTTCCCTATGGTGACCTCTCCCTCACTCGTGAGTACGAGGACGCCGTCATGTGTATCATCCGGCGGCTCATCCAACACGACAGCACACTCGCAACGGAGCTCTTCTTTGGGGACAATCTGGTCCATCTGGCAGCCAGGAGCCCTTCTGCCTTCTCCCAGCAGTTCATCGACCAGTACCTGGACCTCATCACCAGCCATGGCGCCGAAATGACGGCAAATGGCAGGGTGCACGGGACACCATTGCACATGGCGGCAGCGCATGGGTCCCCCTATGTGGCTGATTGGCTGTGCCGCCGGCTCACAGCCGAGGACATCAACAGAGGGAGCCCGAACCATCCTGGCATCACACCCCTCTCAGAGGCTGCCGAAGGGCTCGATCGCCTCATCCAACACCAGCAGCAGCTGCAGCAATATGGAGAGGGCCAAGTGGAGCGGTGGTCGAGACGATTCCGCCACCACAAGACCATCACCTGGACGCTGCTGAGGGGTGGGGCTGCGCCATCGATCAGCCGCATGCCCAACGACACCCAGCAGTACCGCCGTCAGCGTCAGGTGGTGCTCACCGAGTATGCCACAGTGCTGAATGAGCTGTCTGAGGTCGTCATCTTGGCCATCAATGCCGCCCTCGCCCCCCAGCGCGACCACTCGATGCTTCTCGCCCGTCTGCTGCCCCTCGCCCCCCACCACGACGGCGCCCACCCCCACCCCTCCCCATCCAACATGGCATTCGGACCACACGAGGCTGAGGCCATCGCATGGAGGATCGGCGCCTTCCTGCACGAGCCTTCGGCGGCTTCGGCGGCCATCGACGAGTACCTCATCGGCGACTCGCTGCTGAGGCGCCGCATCCGTGCGGCCGTCGGCCACTTCGTCAAGTCGGCGGCCACTCAAACGAGCAGCAACAGGGAGGTGGTGGGCGGCGTGGCCAGTGTGGGCGGCGTGATGGTGCGTGTGCCGCTGCAGTGCTTCGCCCTCCGTGGCAGTGGCAGCCGTGTGGTGCTGACGGGTGTGCGTGAGGTTATCCATCGGGCCCGGCTGGACGAGGCGGCGCAGCATGGTGTGGTGGGGGTGGTGAAGGGCTTCAATGAGCACCTGGGCGACCTGGACTGCCAGTTCGAGTGGGGCGTCTGTCCAGGACCGGACTGTTTGTGCCGCTGGGCATCGACTGAGAGGGAGAGGGCTCTAGTGTAGAGGGCGACGCGGCTGCATGTCTTGCTGCTTCTTGGTGCAGTTCAATGACACTTGTGTTCGCGAAGCTCACCGGGCTTGTGTGCGGGGAGACAGCATTGACTCGATTCATGTCAAATCGTGTCTGTACCTTGCGTGGCCTCGCGAAAAAATGAAGCGTCTCTCGCGCCGGTCACGGGTGATAAATGAGCACTGTGTGAGGGTTAGTGAATGACACACTTGATCTCACAGCTGGATTGAGTCCATTAATATCATGCTTGTCACTCACTCCACTCAGCTGAGCAGAACCCGCGCCCGCCCGCCCGCCCTTGACCTAGCACATGCCATCCATGCACACACAGGTAGCTATGCGATGAGGATGGAAGCCGCGCCAGCTCCAGCACCACACCTGACTGCATCTCTCCCTCACCCACCCCATGTATGTAGTCAGTTCTCACCCCGTAGTAAGCTCTCTCTGCCTGACCGATGCACTGCTCGACCACCGAGCGCAGGGCAGCCTCCCTGCACTGACCCCCATCGTGTCGGTGAAGGAGAGAAAGAGTCAGACGAGCGGTTGCAGGTCGCACAGCAGCGACAAATGCACACCGAGAGACAAGTTGGACATCGTCTACCATGTCACATTGAAAGTGGATATTCAGCGAGGCGACGTGGGGACATTGGGCGGCGTGCTGTGAGATGGCGAGCAGCTGTGAGCAGCTGGCCGATGCCTTCACACAGACTCTCTCTAGCTTGACTGTAGAGGGCAGATGCGAGAGGCAAAAAGCTGCCCTGCCCGGGCGCAGTACGGACTCTACATCGAGTGTCGTGAGCCTATCTAATGTGCCCAGCAACGCACCCACGCCGTTGGGCTCTTCAGGAGCGTCATCATGCGCCACCCACTGGCCGTCGCGGACATGGAGGTTGGCGATGTTGGGCAGGTGGCGATTGCCACCGGTGTGGCTCTTCACGGCCATCCACTGCGGCACACTCGAGAAGTCCCGAAACTTCTCCACTCCGGCCACCATGAGCTTAGTGGCAGAGTTGAAGACCATCAGGCTCGCCCACGAGCCGTGCAGAGGCTTTCCCCCACACATCAAAGTGACCTGCATCCAGCAGAAAAGCACTCAGGCAGACAGGGCACAGAATGAGATGATCGTCTCTCTGTCGCCTCTACGTATCATGGTGAGCTTCTCACCTTATGTGCTGTGCTGGAGATGTCTTTGATCATCTTAGCCATGGGGCCAGTGGGTGCAGGAGGGGAAGCGACGAGGTCCCTGGAGCAATCCACAGTCACCTCACGCGCCCTCCACTCGACCGTGCACTTGACCGAAGCTGAAGACGGACACGAACACACACACACACACACACAAAACACCGCTGACTGTGCCCGCCAAATGGGTGACTGCCTGGTTTGTGCTGCAGTGGAGCTACCTGCCCAGTCGAGGAAGGCACTTGGGCTCAAGGCGTTGTGGGACAACGGATGGAGCACCTTACTCGCGAAGGGCACCAAGATCTCTTGTCTGACCTTCAGGCCGAGCCTCTTCTCAACGCCTGTCCAGCAGCGAGTAATACAGGCAAACAAGTATGCGGTCTATGGTCCCCTGCTCACCCACCTCTCAGCTGACTGACTGACCTTGCATATTGGGTCGTCTCCAGATTGGGTCGAGAGCCCGCTTGAGCTTGCCCAGGTCCGTCATGTCCGTCCATCTCCGGCGCAGCTCCAGCCATCGGATGTCTGTCAGGTCGGGGCATCTCTCCGGCAGGGAAGCAAAATCGTTGTCGATACGCAGGCGATCGGTCGCTGCAAACATACACACATGTGATAGGTGGCTTCATGTAGGACGTCATTGCTCACACAGGGATTTGAGCTTGGGAGCACGCTCCAGCATTCTCTCGATGTCTCGAGTGTTATTCCCCTGCCGATGTGCCTGCTGACGGGTATGAGGCGGGAGTGGACGAGGCCTCAAGGGTGGCATCTCTCTGTTTTTGCTGTGTTCTCAGTTGTCGTTGATGGCTTCGCTGAGACAGAGGCCGCTGACTGAGTGACCAGGTGCGCCAGCAGTCGGCACAATCAGTCACCAGGCCAAAGGGCAGCCGCACGCAGCAAGCAAGTGTGGCTGAGCCATCGCATCTCATCAAAATGCATGTCAGCCGACTCGTGAGTACACAAGATCTGATCGGCACACACCACCACACACACAACAAGAGCTCATGTGTCCGCTGCCGTGCCCGTCCCGTGCTCCATCGTGCACCAGGCATCTCGGTGGCTGGCTACCACCACCTTGTCCTTTCCCGCATAATGTCCAGCAGCCTTTTCTTCAGAGTGCTGTTTTCAGCCTTGAGTCCTGACACCTTCAGGATCAGCTCGTCGTTGAGCTTCCTCGCCTGACTCAGATCGGCTCGAAGCAGCTGCTCCTCACGCCGACGGCCCTGCAGTGCGTCATCGCATCAGCAACCGCCACCAGACGGACAGGCAGACAGTTGCTGCCGGCCCATCGTGTTGCCTGTCTGCCTGTCTGTCTGCCTGTCTGTCTAGCTGTCTGTGTGTGGTTGTGTGTGTGGCTACCGATTCGACCCAGAGGGTAGTTGAGTGTGAAGGCTGCGCATAAGCTGCAGATGCCAATCACCTGCACGGACCTCTTCGAGACCACCTCCAGCGGCGTCAAGCTCTTGGAAGCGGCCGAGCCCATCGGCATGACGATGAAATAATGACCAAACCCACAGATCTCTCATGGCATTGCAGCCGATGGGCCCATTGGGCCTTCCACCGCCCTGTGCTTTGTAAGGAGCTCCTTCCGCGTTACAGGCCCAAGCGCGCAAATGGCTAGGGCGTTCCCTGAAACTGCTCCAGCTGGTGGCGACCCCGAGGAGCCCCACCCCAGAGAGCATAGATGACGCTTTCACAGGTATTCCACATCGTAAGGAAGTAAACAAATGAACAAGTCGAGCATCATGATGAAGCTCCGTTTGTTTGCCACCTTGTCGGGCCGTGACCAGGTGAGCCCTGGGTGAAGCAAATCGGGGTGAATCAGCAATCGGAGTACCAGCATTGCTCTCGGAGTGTTATTCCCCTGCCGATGTGCCTGCTGACGGGTATGAGGCGGGAGTGGACGAGGCCCCAAGGGTGGCATCTCTCTGTTTTTGCTGTGTTCTCAGTTGTCGTTGATGGCTTCGCTGAGACAGAGGCCGCTGACTGAGTGACCAGGTGCGCCAGCAATAGTGGAAAAGGAAGACAGATTTGCAAATGGCCGTGTGTGTGTAATTTGTGGATGCAGTGGTGTGACCCAAGGTGAGATGGCCCAGGCGTCCTCTGCCGCATCGCAGGCACCTCCTGCTGCTGTGCCGCCCGGCTGCGTGGGGCTGGATGACGTCGACATCGTCCCTGATGAGGGCGTCAGTCCTCTCTGTCCTCTCTCCCGGCAGCTGCTGTAGGGCATCATTCGGCGCACCATCACTAGTGCCGGCCAAGTCACACAGCTGATCCGCCAAGGAGCCGACCCGACAGTCAGCGGCGACCTGCGCGTCCGCGGCGCCACACGTCCCACTGATACATATATTTCGTACAGCTGCCTGTCTCTCGCCATCGACAGCCCACCAAACAGCCCATTCCTCTGTGCGCGCGGCGCCGATTACCGGTACGTGCTCGTCGTCCCCCCACAGTGGCCCTCCAGTCAGCTGCAGCGTGACATTATCAACGCGCTTGTCGATGGCGGGGCGGACATCGAGGCGGGCAGGTTTTGGCATGACAAAATGCCGACCCCAATTATGGTGGCCGTTGCGGCGGGCAATCTGACGGCCGTCGAGACCCTCCTGGCCCTGAAGCCCGTCATGGCACGTTGGAAACAAAATTCGTACGTCCTGATGCAGCTTCCAACACATCTGAATCTGCAACACATCCGTGAGGCTGCCCGCCCCGTCACTCGCGAGTACGAGGCGGCCCTCACGTCCATCTACCACAGGCTCATCCAACATGACAGCAGACTCTCATTGTGGTGGGACGAGCGAGAGAACAATCTGGTGCATTGGGCAGCCAAGTTCCCTCCAGTCTTCTCCCAGTCCTTCATCAACGCGTACCTCAGCCTCATCACCAGCCACGGAGCCAATATCAGAGTCAACCTCATCACGGGAAGAGACGGCTACGGCAGGCAGCTGCCGGGCAGCACACCACTGTACATGGCGGCAGAGCACGGCTCCCCCTGTGTGGCCCACTGGCTGTGCCGCCAGCTCACAGCCGAGGACATCAACAGAGGGAAGCCCAACCAGGCCAACAAGACACCGCTGGCAGAGGCTGCCGCAGGGCTCGATCGCTTAATCCAACACCAGCAGCAGCTGCAGCAATATGGAGAGGGCCAAGTGGAGCGGTGGTCGAGACGATTCCGCCACCACAAGACCATCACCCGGACGCTGCTGCGGGCCGGGGCGGCTCCATCCATCAGCCGCATGCCCAACGACACCGAGGAGGACCGCCGTCAGCGTCAGGTGGTGCTCACCGAGTATGCCACAGTACTGAGCGAGCTGTCTGAGGTCGTCATGTCGGCCATCAACGCCGCCCTGGCCCCCCAGCGCGACCACTCGATGCTTCTCGCCCGTCTGTTGCCCCTCGCCCGTCACCATGACGGCGCCCACCCCCACCCCTCCCCATCCAACATGGCATTCGGACCACACGAGGCAGAGGCCATCGGATGGAAGATCGGCGCATTCCTGCACGAGCCCTCCGCTACTGTGGCGGCTATCGACGAGTACCTCATCGACGACTCCCAGCTGAGGCGCCGCGTCCGTGCGGCCATCGGCCACTTCGTCAAGTCGGCGGCCACACAGACGAGCAGCAACAGGGAGGTGATGGGCGGCATGGCCAGTGTGGGCGGCGTGATGGTGCGTGTGCCGCTGCACTGCTTCGCCGTCCGGGGCAGTGGCGGCCGTGTGGTGCTGACGGGTGTCCGTGAGGTTATTCATCGGGCCCGGCTGGACGAGGCGGCCCAGCACGGTGTGGAGGGGGTTGTCAAGGGCTTCAACGAGCATCTGGGCGACCAGGACTGCCAATTCGCGTGCCGGCAGCTGGGGCGCATCGACAGGAAGACCGGCCTGTTTGTGTCGCTGGGCATCGACTGACTGAAAGGGGGAGGAGAGGGCCGTTGAGTGGGGGTGAAGTGGCTGCATGTTTGGGTGCTTTGTGTTGCAGTTCAAGGGCGGTGGGTGTCGCCGGGCTTCGCATGTGCATTCGGACAACCGTGACTTGATTCATTCAAAAACCTGTCTGTCGTTTGCGTCGGGGCCTGCGAGACATTGAGTGTCTCTCGTGCCAGTCGAGCGGCGAGCACTCTGTTGGCAATGCGGCGTTGGTTGCTTGAGGCCGCGTTGAGCCCTGCTCATGATCGACCCACCTTCGTTTGTCCAGATGAAGTGCACTGACGGGCAGTGCATTACGACCTTCAATTGACAGCTGGATTGACTGACTCCATTCTGTACGCTTGTCATCTTTTGGGTGTGGCAGATAGCCATACTTACTGTGTCTCCCACTTTGCACAGACAAACAGACAGCGATGGCATCCGTCCATGCCTGTGTCATCGAGTGTCATCCATGTCACACACACAAAGTTAATGGGCAGCAAGCTGCCACCCATTGGCAGTGAGTTGAGTCCATTCACGCTTGTAAGTGAGAAGCCAAGGGCATGAGATGGGTCAATTCAGCTGAGAAGTAGCCACAGGCAGGGAGGCAGGGCACAGGAAATACACTTATTGACCGCGTCGGGCACATGCCGCCCTCATCGCCATGTCCAACAGTCAGCCATCGACAGAAACGGATGCACACAGCCAGCGTCTACACAGATGGCATTCGCGCCACCGTCAGATCTATACGTGCATCAGACCACTCGTCGTCAACCGCCTGGCCGCCACGCATCGTCAGCCCATAGTGGTCTCTCTCTGTCTGGTCAATCCATCGCTCCACTGCTGAACGAAATGAAGCCTCTCTCCGCTCACATGAGATGCTGCCACCGTGGATGTGAGCACCTCAATCCTCACTCACCGCCGCTGGCTACAATGGCCTCCCAACACACAGCACCTGACATCTGCACAATTATCTACACACACACACACAAGGGCATGAGAGATTGGCTTGTCCGCCCTCCCATCCCTCCTTACGCTGCCCGATGCACTGTGAGCGCGAGGCCGACAAATTGCCATCAACAGCGGGCGCCTCAGCTGACGCGGACCGTCAAGATCGCTCACCCAGACAAAATCGTATAGAACCCTTCCAATCAGCCAGCTGCTCCCTCCAATTTGACTGACACACACACAACACAGGGACACTTCCCTGCGCTGCCTGTCTGTCTGTGTGTCTGTCTGTCTGTCTGCCTGTCTGTCTTTCCCTCCTTCACCAGTGTGTCATTTTTTGGTGGTCTGACTTCCCCGACGAGGTAACCAAGGAAAGCCTCCTCGTCCTGGAGCAGACGGCAGAGAGCGCTGTAGCGATCAATCAGTCAGTCAACCACACACGCCAATCAGACAGAGGCCATTGAGATGTGTCGGGATTGCCCTCTCCTTTCCCCTCTCATGACTGACCATTCTGTGCTCTGTGCCCCAGCAGTATCCCGCGGGCCGTCTCCCACTCCCTTCTCAGGTTCGGCAACCTCGACAGCTCTGGGTCACAGCCGCCGCTGCAAACATACACACATGTGATAGGTGGCTTCATGTAGGACGTCGTTGCTCACACAGGGATTTGAGCTTGGGAGCACGCTCCAGCATTCTCTCGATGTCTCGCCCAATTGCAGGCGAAGAAGAGATGGAAACTGCCACCGTTGGAATCTGCACACACACACAAATCCGCACAGATGCACTCCCAGCTGTGACCATCACAAACAGTGACACGTACGACCATCCTTCGACGTAGAGCTCCTCGAGTTGCGAAAAGGCCACAGTGGCCGGCGATGTCGGCACATGGCCTTGATCGAAGTAGTAGTCCCAGTCCTCCCCCGCACAGAGCTTCATGCGCGTGATTGTGTCGCGAGACGCCTCGATTCACTCGAGAGGGAAGAAGAGGGCCCTCCAGTGACTGCTGACGTGCACCGTCCGCAGCCGACTCTGCAAGGAGACAGACAGACAGACAGACAGGAGACACAGTTAGCTGCCTCTTCTAGTTGGTGCACTCTATTGGAGCCCACCCACCAGTTTCTGCTTCAGTTTGTGGAGCGTCTCGTCCTCTCTCTGCCGCCTGAGGACCGCCCCGTCACCCTCCCCTCATCATTGTTTCCCCCCTCCTCCCCTCTTTCTTCGTCAGCTTCCTCCCGCTCTTCATCCTCGTCGCTCTTCGCGTCGCCATGGATGCCGATCTCCTCAAGTGTCCGACCGGCGTTCATCCGAATGCTCCGACCCCACCACTCTCGCTCGTCCTCACCAATCACTAAGTGGCGGTACACGCCCCTCGTGTCGTCGGTGACGTGCTGCTTGATGAACTTGTTGACGCGGGAGAGGGGCGCGGCGTCTTTGGTGGGCAGGAGGGCCAACACGATGTGCGCCACGTCGGGCGGCAGGCCGTCGAGACTCGGACGACCCGAGTAGGGCTGACGAAGAACACAGCGCACAGACACGTGTCTGTACGTGGATATCTCGGTTCATCTCGTTGTGTGGCTTGCCTGGGCTGCTATGGCGTCTGGTGGGAGGGGTTCGTTGGCGATCGGTTGAGGGGCAGGCGGCTTGGCGACGGCCACGCCGCCGAGTGTCTTGATGAGACCCCGTAGCATGTCATATCGCGACACGACCGACTGATCCAACTTCTGCAGGCTGTTCGACAGCCGCGGCATCTGTCAAGACACACATCAGCACTCACAGACAGAAGGAGAAAAGTGTGTGTGTGTGTGTGTGTGTACCTTGTCGGCCAGGGTGGGAGTGACGTATGGTCGCACCTCTGAGAGCACAACCGCCGTCTGCGCCTCCAGTAATTTGATCTTCTTCAACAGTGGGACCAGCTGACGCACATTCGCCTTGTCAGCCTGACGGAATGAGGGAACACACGGGCACACACATGGCCGACAAGTGTGTCTGCGTGTCGTCCATGCAGGTGGGTCTGTCGCTGACCCAGTCTATGATGGGCCGCATCTCTTGGTCCGGCTGCTGGCCTCCGTCTACAGCTGCACCAGCGCTACATCCACCAACTGAGGGAGAGATCATCACGAGAAAGACAGGCGGCCATGAGTGAGTCTGGGCTGTTTCCTCTGTGAGTCCCTCTTCCCACCTCCGGCAGCAGCAGCAGCGGGCGATGAGCCATCACTGTCCACACGAGGCCTCTTGGCAGCACTCTCGAGAGTGCTGCCACACGCCTGGAAACCAATGAGAGATCTGAAGCGATTGCTTCTCTCCCTCTTGATCCGTGCCTGTTGTTACCTACTTGCTTCTCTCTTTTTAGCACAGAAGGGCTTGGCAAAGGCTTCAAGCGCGCAAATTGCTAGGGTGTTCCAGGAAACCCCTCCAGCTGGACCCCCAATTCCATCGAACACATGAGGAAGAAATTCGAGCACGCTATCGGCCTGCCTGCCGACGTGGATGGTGGCAGAGGTGGGAGGCAGAAGGAGGGCTTGAAGGAGCGGGGCGACGAGGCCATGACCAAGGGGCAGCTGCCGAAGGAGCCGCCCGAGGCCTCAGAGGGCCGACCACTCAGCCACACTCCGCCGTCAGCTCCCCGCCCCGCCGTGCGATTCGGCAGCGACAGCCCCCAATCAAGCCAGCCCCTCCCCACGGCCCAGCAGCCCCTGTCGCCCCTACGACCGCCGTCTTCGAGTGAGTCCGACTCCGACTCCGACTCCGATTCTGATTCTCGTTCCTCCCCTTCTTTCCCACGGGCCTCCCGGCCATCACACTCTGCCGACCAAGACATTCTGACCCCTTCCAGTGGACCAGATGATGCACCGCCGCAGCCCTCATCTCCCAGTGCGTCCCCCGAATCGTCGACGACGGGGGAGCAGCTGGAGAGCCCTACCGTCAACGAAAGTCTCCCCCTGGAGCCGCTGGGGCTGTCACATGCGAAGTCCGCGAGAACGGAAGAAGAAGTGCTGTCGGAATGGAAGCAGGTGAGAGCGACACGGGTATCAGAGGTGCGAGTATGTATTAAGTTTTGTGTGTCTGTCTGTCTGTCTGTCTGCAGATGAAGGAGCGTCTCTTTAAGAATGCACCACCCGAGCTCAAGACGGAGGCCGGCGAGCGGGTGTTATCGAAAAAGTTTAAGGGCATGAAGGGCATGAAGAAGCTCCTTGCCGGGACGGTTTACTGCTACGACAGCCGTGAGGCAAGCTCTGCCTCTGATTCCCTACTGAGAGCCCCACTGACGCTCACCGAGGAGAAACAACTCGAGGATGTGGCGGGAAAGGGAGCTCTCATATTCAAGAAGATCGACCGTGGCAACACACAAGTACTGATTCCGAAGCATACAGCAGCCTCCTGGCGCTCATTTGCCGTTGGTGTGTGGGTGTGTGTGCGTGCGTGCAGTCGTCTGAATCCTCTGAGTCATCAACTCTTCCAGAGGTGGTGGTTCATGCGTGGCTGTCGATGCACGCTCGCCAAGAGGTCAGACGACTGGCCCCGAAGCTCTACGGCATCGTCAGTACTAAGAAGAAAGACCAAAGGCTGGGAACGGAGTCAACGGACCACTGGAGTGTCAGCGGTGAGTGAGTCGGCACCAGACGCGTAGTGCGCCGCCGTAACCGTGGTGCTCTTTCATTTGTTGGTCGATGTCCGTCTGTCAGAGTTCATCTCTGGTGGCTCACTGGATCGTAGGGATGCGCAGGAGATGCTTAGAAAGATGTCTTTTGCTGAGAAGGCCAATCTCTGCCTTCAGGTCAGTCCGCCCCCCGCACCCTGTCCATCTCGTGCTTCAATGTGTCTCATTCTCGTTGCGTTTGCTGTGTCACCTTCCCGTTGTTATGGGTGCAGTTGTTGCGTCACGTTGAGGAGCTTCATTTGCTGGGCATCGCACACGGCGACCTGTCGCTGGGAAACCTGCTGTTACGCCGACGAGGCCGCGGCTACGAACTACTCCTCAACGACTTCGAGACTGCTGGTACGGACACGACAGCGATTGACGCCTTGCCTGGCGTCTTGCACTCGCACACACCGCCACGCACACACTCTACGCTGTCATGGATTTGCTCTGCCTGTTTGTTGAGTGCAGTGGCTGCTTTGGACAAGAAAGGAGAGGAGAAGTGGCTCGAGGCATATGAAATAAGAGGAAAAGGAGGCACCAAGCCGTTCATGGCCCCAGAGAAATACCTCATGTCGCCGTTCGCCCAGGGGGGCAAAGACCAGGACGGCAGAAGCGATGGCGGCAGCCAGGACTGCTCGAAGGACCTCGTTTGGTAAGGACCTAATGCACAAGTGTGTGTGCTGCGCGGCAAGGGAGACATGATTGTGTGTGTCCTTTACAGGTGTCCATTTCGCAATGACATATGGGCTTGCGGGGTGCTTATCTACATGATCCTCAAGAACGGCATCGAGCCGTGGAAGATGGCAGACGAGGACAACAACGAATTCAAGTCCTTCGCAAACGAGGTCAGCTCAGGACAGAGAAACACAGCATTAGTGTTTGATGTACCTATGTGTGTGCATCTGTGCAGCATAAGTACAACTTGGTCAGCTTTGCCCAGGCCGTCTCTGAAATGGAAACAAAAGTCCTCGGTGAGTACTCATGCGGGCAGCCAACCGGGTCGAATACATACACGCATTCCTCTTCTGTTCCTCTCTGTGCGCAGACGTCGCTGGCAGTGCACTGGCCATGGACCCAATACAGCGCCCTTCCATGGAAGAGATGGTGGAGAAACTCGGGCACGCCATCGGCCTGCCCACCGATGGGAAAGGTGGCAGCGGTGGGCGGAAGAAGGAGGGCTTGAAGGAGCGGGGCGACCAGGTCATGACTGAGGGGCAGCTGCCGATTAGAGAGCCGCCCGAGGCCTCAGAGGGCCGACCACTCAGCCACACTCCGCCGTCAGCTCCCCGCCCCGCCGTGCGATTCGGCAGCGACGGTCCCCAATCAAGCCAGCCCCTCCCCACGGCCCAGCAGCCCCTGTCGCCCCTACGGCCGCCGTCTTCGAGTGAGTCCGACTCCGACTCCGACTCCGATTCTGATTCTCGTTCCTCCCCTTCTTTCCCACGGGCCTCCCGGCCATCACACTCTGCCGACCAAGACATTCTGACCCCTTCCAGTGGACCAGATGATGCACCGCCGCAGCCCTCATCTCCCAGTGCGTCCCCCGAATCGTCGACGACGGGGGAGCAGCTGGAGAGCCCTACCGTCAACGAAAGTCTCCCCCTGGAGCCGCTGGGGCTATCACATGCGAAGTCCGCGAGAACGGAAGAAGAAGTGCTGTCGGAATGGAAGCAGGTGAGAGCGACACGGGTATCAGAGGTGCGAGTATGCATTAAGTTTTGTGTGTCTGTCTGTCTGTCTGTCTGTCTGCAGATGAAGGAGCGTCTCTTCAAGAATGTACCACCCGAGCTCAAGACGGAGGCCGGCGAGCGGGTGTTATCGAAAAACTTTAACCGTCATATGGAAGAGTTCCCTGACTTCCCGATCTACCTCTATGACCTTGAGGACATCCGCTCCGGCTCCAAAGCGCCACTCTTGTCGGAAAAGCCATTAATACTCGCCAAGAAACGGCTCCAGAACGTGGCAGAGGGGGGAGTGCTCATGTTTAAAAGGATTGACCGTCGTCACATACAGGTAGTGTTATCGGAGCATACAGCAGCCTCCTGGAGCTCATTTGCCGTTGTTGTGTCTGTGTGCAGTCATCAGTTCCTGAGGTGGTGATTCATGCGTGGCTATCACAGCACGCTCGCAAAGAGGTCAAGCGAATGGCCCCGAAGCTCTATGGCATCGTCAGCACTGAGGGGGGAGAACAATGGAGTGTCAGCGGTGAGTGAGTCGATACCAGAAACAAACTCGCCAATGCGCACCGTGGCCATGACGCCCTTTCATGTGTTGGTCGATGTCCGTCTATCAGAGTTCATCTCTGGTGGCTCACTTGATGATTGTAATGCGCGGGAGATGCTTGGGAACATGTCTCTGGCTGAGAAGGCCAATCTTTGCCTTCAGGTCAGTCCGCCGCCCCGCACCCTGTCCATCTCGTGCTTCAATGTGTCTCATTCTCGTTGTCTTTGCTGTGTCTCCCTCTCATTGTCTTGGGTGTAGTTGTTGCGTCACGTCAAGGCGCTGCATTCGCTGGGCATCGCACACGGCGACCTGTCGCTGGCCAACCTGCTGTTGCGGCGACAAGGCGACGGCTACGAACTACTCCTCAACGACTTCGAGACTGCTGGTACGGACACGACAGCGATTGGCGCCTTGCCTGGCGTCTCGCACTCGCACACACGCCACGCACACACTCTACGCGGTCATGGATTTGCTCTGCCTGTTTGTGGCGTGCAGTGGCTGGTTTGGACAAGAAAGGAAAGGAGAAAAGGATCGAGACATGTGGAATAAGAGGAAAAGAAGGCACTAAGCCGTTCATGGCCCCAGAGAGATATCTCATGTCGTCGTTCGCCCAGAGGAGCAGAGACGAGGGCGACACGGGCGATGGCGGCAACCCAAACGGCTCGAAGGACCTCGTGTGGTAAGGACGTAATGCACAAGTCTGTGTGCTGAGCGGCAAGGGAGACATGATTGTGTGTGCCGTCTGCAGGTGTCCATTCCGCAATGACATATGGGCTTGCGGGGTGCTTATCTACACGATCCTCAAGAACCGCAGGTGCACGTGGGAAAGGCCAGACGCTGAGGCCAACGACGATTTCAAGTCCTTCGCAAACGAGGTCAGCTCAGAAACCAGGACAAAGAAACACACCATGAGTGATTTATCTGTGTGTGCATCCGTGCAGCACAAGTACAACTTGGTCAGCTATGCAGGGGCCGTCTCTGCAATGGAAACAAAAGTCCTCAGTGAGTACTCATGTGGGCAGCCAGCCGGGTCGAATACATACACGCATTCCTCTTCTGTGCCTCTCTGTGCGCAGATGTCGCTGGCAGTGCGCTGGCCATGGACCCAATGCAGCGCCCTTCCATGGAAGAAATGGTGAAGAAGCTCAAGCACGCCATCGGCCTGCCCACCAACGGGAAAGGCGGCAGCGGTGGGCGGAAGAAGGAGGGCTTGGAGGAGCGGGGCGACCAGGTCATGACTGAGGGGCAGCTGCCGATTAGAGAGCCGCCCGAGGCCTCAGAGGGCCGACCACTCAGCCACACCCCGCCGTCAGATCCCCGCCCCGCCCTGGATTCAAGCCAGCCCCTCCTCACGGCCCAGCAGCCCCGGTTGCCCCCGCAGCTGCCGTCTCCGAGTGAGTCGCGCGCCTCCCAGCTGGCTCAAGAGACGCCACCTGACGGACCAGATGGTGCACCGCGGCAGCCCTCACCTCTCCGTGCGCGTCTCTGTCGTGTCCGCGAGGGGACAGGCAACGAGGGCTTCCTGCAGTCAACCGCCAGCTCAAGACTGAAAGAAGTCCAGCAACAGCCGTGTTTGCCACCAGCGCGTCTCCGTCGCCTGCGCTGGGTGACAGGCAACGAGCGCTTCCTGCAGTCCACCGCCAGCTCAAGACTAAAGGAAGTTCAGCGACGTGTGCGGGGCTGAGTTCGTGACTGTGATTTATGGTGACCACCTTTGATTTAGCGGGGCTGATCGATCAATCGCTTTTGGGAGGGACTTTCTGGTTTAGTCGTAAGTGCTCTGATAGCATGACATGACAGCAATGGACTTGATTGATTGAATGCACTCACACATACCAACATACATGGGATGACCACATGAACACACGCCAGTCCGTCCTCAGACGCCATCATGTCGCCCATGTCACTCGGGGACAATTGACGATGCACTGACACCACATATATGCTCTTCCGCCCGCCGCTCCCATCACTGTGTCCAACCAGTCAGCTATCGACACAGAAACACATCCATGCACTAAGAAGGGGCTATGCACATGGCAGCCGCGCCAGGTCTAACGATACACATGGCCGCCAAGAGTCGTCACCCGACTGGCTCTCATCGGCAGTCAGCCCATAATGCGCTGTTTCTATCTGATCGATGCACTACTCGGCAACCGCGTGGGACGCGGCCTCCCTGCTCTCTCCCTCCCTCTCAGCACGCGCAAAACTCGAACGCCCGTGCATTCTTATCTAAGAAAGCAGCGCCGGACACCATCTTGTTTATCGGGTCACAATCACATAGCGAGACAGTGATGGAGGTGGTGTGAGGGTATAGGGTGCACTCGGAGATGGCAGGCACCTCTGAGGAACCCAGTGCTTCCACACAGACCCTCTCTAGCTTGACAGTGGGGGGCAGCTGCGACAGGCAAAACGCTGCCACACCCAGGTTGGGCAACGAGGCCAGATCTGTCGTGAGCCTGTCTAACGTGCCCAGCAACGTGCCCAGCAACGTGCCCAGGCCATTGGGCCCCACAGGCATCTCATGACACACCCTCCGGAAGCCGTCGCCCATGGTGAGGGTGAGATGGGTGATGTTGGGCAGGTGGCGATTGCCACCAGTGGTGTCGCTCCTCGCGGCCATCCACTGAGGCACACTCGAGAAGGCCGTGGACGACCCCAGCCTCTTCACCGATAGCGTGGTGGCCGTTGTGGAAGACAGCAGGCCGGCCACGACTGGTGTAGAGGCTTCCCGCCACACTGGAGAGTGACCTGCATTCAGACAGAAGGACAGGACACAAAAGGAGCAGGAATGAATGTTCGTCTTTTTGTCGCCTCGATCGATATATCTTGATGCGCTGCTCACCTTATCAGCCGTGCCGCTCGTCTTTCTTATCATTCTCGCCATAAGGCAGTGGGTGCAGGAGGGCAAGTGATGAGATCTCTGGCACAGTCGACAGCCAGCTCAGTCGCCCTCCACTCGACCGTGCACTTGACGGAGCTCTGATCTGCTTCAACAGCGGGACTTCAACAGCGGGACCAACTGACGCACATTCGCCTTGTCAGCCTGACGGAATGAAGGAACACACGGACACACACATGGCCGACAGCTGTGTCCGCGTGTGCCGTTCATTGTAGGTGGTTGTGTTGCTTACCCAATCTACGATGGGCCGCATCTCTTGGTCCGGCTGCTGGCCTCCACCCACAGCAGTGCTACATCCAAATTGGCTACATCCGCCACCCACTGAGAGAGACCATCACGAAAAAGGCAGCCAGCCATCAAAGAGTGAGTCTGGCTGTTCCCTTTACGAGTTCCTGTCCCCACCTCTGGATGCAGCAGCAGCAGCAGCAGCAGCAGCGGCTGATGAGCCATCATTGTCCACACGAGGCCTCTTGGCAACACTCTCGTCAGCTCCGCCAGACACCAAGGGGCATCTCTTTCGCGAATAACAACAACACAACGGAGCGTCCACCGCTCTCTCAGCTGTATGTGCATCACCACGGTGATGGTATCACGGCATCCCAGCGCTACCCTCCACCTCCCAAGTCGATTAGATCTGCGAGCCGGAGGTTCTAGATGTTCGTTGACTTGTTGAGGCGTCGTCGCAGCTCAGGAGGCTCGACAGACACCCTCCTGCTGTTAGTTTGTCAGATCTTTCCATTCGCTGATTTGTGACTCGTCTCTCGGAGAGCTGTCGGCCTTTCTGGTGCTGCGGAGCCTCCCAGGCGTCCCATCCCAGCCCATCTGGCCACACACGAGTTGCGCTGTAGCTCCTGTTCCTCTTCCACCATGCGCCAAGTCAGCATGTACCGCTTCCTACTCCCCGTCGATGGTCATGTCCACAACAATGCCTTCGGAGGACACCTGCGTGGCGGTGTCTTGGGCAAACTGTCGCAGCGTGGTCTCGTTGCGGAAGAGGCCCCGCCATTTATGAAATGACGAGCCGAGGAGCAGCCGCATCGAGCCGCTGTCGGCGGTGAACGGGTCGTCCCTCGCGAGTGCCGCCGACACGCCCTGCCGTCGGAGGTCGAACAACCGCTGCTCAACGTGGAGGAAGTGCAGCTGAAAGAGCACTGTGTCGAGCTGAATGTTGGCGGGCTTGAAGAGCCGGCGAGCTGTGGCAGGGATGGACTTGACCAGCTGCGTGTATTTGACGTCCACAGCACCTGCAACACCCACAACACGAGCAGCCAGAAAGCACATCATTGTCAGTCTGCCTGTCTGCCCTCTTTCTCCTTACTCGGCTGATCCCCTTGTTCTGTGTCGTCCAGGTCAGTGTCGTTGCCTCCGCGGGTGTTGGGCTGCTCGAGCTCCACCCAAAGCTCCGTCTGGGCGTCTTGCGGCTCCTGCCCGTCGCATTGTGAGAAAAGCAAAAAGAGCAGCAAACCAAAACTCAAAACACCCAAAGAGACCATCATGGATGACCCGTACTATTATTTCGGCAACATAACGCTTCGGGTCGACGCGCTCACGGCTGCGGTCAACATCCCGCGTGATTCCCTCGTATTTCTCATTCGGTGAGTCCAGCTGCTGAGGGAACGCTGCCTGCCTTTCGGCTGCTGTTGGGCATCTGGTGTCACACGAGTCCATCCTTGGGTGAGCAGACGAGTCCTTTTGATCCGCCGGTCCTTCTGGTAGCCAAACACGAGTTGTGCTGCGAGGAGCTCCTGCTCCTCTTCGATCCGCGGGGATGCGCCAAATCAGCATGTGCCGCTTCCTGCTGCCCGTCGCTCGCACGGACCAGGCGGATCAAGGGCCTCAGCAGCGCCACGCGGACACAGGTGAGATGGCCATCACATCACGCCACAGATCTGCTTGAACATCATGAATGATGTGCTGATGTGCTTTGGTTTCGATGCATGCCTTCAGATTTCACCACTCCTGAGGCGCGGGCCATCGCCAAGGAGATCATCACACAGCGACAGCTGGTGAGCCACACACCAACACCGACCAGACAGCCCATGCTCCCTCATAGTGTGGATGTGTTTGCTGTTGTTGTCAGGCGTCCCCTCCGCCGAATGCGTCGCTGTGCGGCTTCCAGCCAGAGAAGCTGGCCAACGTGTGTGAGCACATACCCACACACGAGGCCATTCGGCTGGGTCTCATCAACAAGGCCATGCAGGACACGTGCCAGTCGCCGTTCGTCGTCCGCCACCTCGACGTCACGCCAGCGTCACACAAGCTGTGGCGCAAGGCACCGAGGAGCGTCCTTCGGCAGCTGCGCGGCCGCCTCACTCGCCTGCAGACGGCCTCCATCACCACAGATGCGGAGGCCTACTCGCGAGGGCCGGACGAGGACCGGCTGGGCGATGAGGCCGCCAGTGTGGACGGGCAACAAAGGGACGGCGGCGATGGGGAGGACAGCGAGCTGCGAGAGGCTGACGGTGAGGATGGGGCTGCAGACGAGGAGGGAATCCGCAGACACGATCGGGCCCACGGCCATCGGTCGGTGTTCGCCAAGATGCTTGAGGCCTCTGCTGCGTCGCTAAAGAAGTGTGGACTGGGGGACAAGACGCAGGAGAGGGTCAGAGATCTGCCTGCTGGGAGCAATGAGGCCCGGACGGTGGTGTTTGAGAAGCTGGAGGCGGTGGTGCTGGCTGGCGCGTTGTGGGCAGATGCCGCTTATTCGCGAGCGTGGACGCTTCCCGCCATCAAGGCGTTCGTCGGCGTATGGGAGTCAGAGACGATTCCCCAACACGTCCAGCAGCTGACGGGGTGGATCCAGGCGTCCAAGTCCCTTACGCACGTCCACTCATGCGACATTGACCCGTCTGACCTGGCTGAGGCCTTGTCGGCCGCCCCATCCCTCACCCACCTGACCACCTTGGGCTGCATCGGCATCCAAGGGACCGACGCTTCCTCATGGGAGCCGCTGCTGAGTGTGATAGAGAAGCAGGGGGCGGTGGGGCGCATCGAGAGCCTCGGCATCTGGTACAACTTGCCGGTCTCGGCCGACACAGAGGACCTGCAAGAGGACCCTGCTGTGTACGAGGGCATTCGTGCCAGCCTGAGTGCGCTTGAGGGGGTCGTCCGTCGCCTGGCTGGTCGGCGCATCTCAGCGGCGGATATGGAGGTGACGGCCATCCCTGTCCCACTAGGTGTCATGGCCTCTCGCCGATGGAGCGAGCATGTCATGGCCAATGTGGTCAGACGGACACCGCACGTCGACCACAACGCAGCTCAGTCATCGGCCTCTGGCAGCAACCAGACGGCCGGTCGGAAAGGTGCCCTCTTCCCCAACATGGTGCCTCGAGATGGTGATGGTGACGCGAGTGGGAGAGGGGCAGAAGCCGACAGCACACCCACTCAGCGCCCCTTCCAGCTGCTGATCTACATGCCCGGCATTTTCGACGACAAGCTGCTGCGTCTGGATCTAACGGCCTCCGACGTGCTGCCCAGGAAGGTGATCCGCGAGATGGCCCGTGTGGCTCCCTGCCTGCATGTGAGGAGCGCCCCGTCTCATCAGGATGCGCTTCGAGGGAGCTTGGGCGACTGTGTGTTTGAGTCGGCCAATTGTCTGAAGCTCCTCGTCAACCAGCCATCCCATGTCCTGCCCCTTGTCCCGCCCCCTCTCTCATCCAGAGTGCGCCGCTTCCCAAAGTTGACCGTCGCCACCGTCCATGCCTCTTCGCCTTCGATGGAAGCGCTGGATACGATGGGCATTCGTCCGTTCCTGAGAGAGGTGGGGGGGCCGCCAGAGGAGGTCGTCATCGGGGTTGGTGACGGGTCGCTGGACCCTCAGACCGAGATGGCCAGAGCTCGGGGACTGGCGGAGTTTAGCGTTGAGTGCATCAGTGAGATGGGGGTCTCCCGCCTGAGGACGTTCGCGCTTGTCCACTGCCACGCAACGACCACTGCCGAGGTGACAGTATTGCCACATCTCCTCACGACACCCAGGCTTGCCGCCCGCCTCCCTCCCATCCAGCTGCTCGCATTAGCCTCCCCCTACTGCGTCCACGACCGATTTGGCACCGTGCAGATGGACTTCATCATGTCCGTCGTCAACAGCACGCCCGGCCTGCAGCGGGTGGTCTTCAAGAGTATGACGGAGATTGTGGAGAGCCAGCTTCCAGGCCGGCTGTGGCACTATCGTGCCTATCTGGCTACCGCTGCGGTCGACGAGGCCCTCGCGTCGGCGGGATCGCCATTTGTTGTGGTGTCAGCTGATGACATCACACTCACGCTGGCGCGATGAAGGAGGGATCGGTAGTTGATGGGTCGATGGATGGATGGATGGATGGGAGAGATAGATAGATGGATGTGTCTGTCGGTGTAGCGATCTGTGGCTGGCTGATGGAAGTGGGTGGGCGGGTCGGTGGGTGGGGTGGATGGGAGGGTGAGGTGAGGGTGGTGTGTTGAGGTAGCAATGGCATGGGTTCGGTGCGGTCCAGTTGGGGTGGGTGCGGTGCTGTATGGATAGATAGATGGTGGAGGGTGGGAGGACCGTCGGTTGTGTGTGGACATTTGCGTTTTACATGCCGACACCTTCCGCATTTAAGCCACGCCATTCATCAGAGTGCATTACCTGATCACTCAGTCGATTCCTTACATCCACACGACACCAGAACAGCCTCAAGTCCTTCTCGTTCTCGGCGTGCGTCCTGTGCGTGGCCGGCCGGCTTGTGCGGCGCGGTGCGGTACGTGTTGCTACTTCGAACATTGGTCAAAATGCGGGCGGGAAGGGGCCTTTATGTGTATATACACAGAGAGACCGATGCACGCCACGCCACGCCAGGCCACGCCACGGTCCGCTCACGCACCCACGCACGTATCAAGTCAACCAGCATATGGCCAAAAGCCTGCCTAGAGCTAGGGGAGGGAGGTAAGGAGGCAGGGCCACCGAGCTCACTGTGCAGACACACACTCACACACACACACACACTCTGCCACTGCACCACCACCACCCTATGTGTGCAAGTAGGCAGGAAAATGTACAGGCCCACAAGGAGGGGGTCCTTGCTCGTCCACACGAAAATGTATGGATGCAGCACATGGAAAGAAACAAAACCAGAGACACGCAAACAGCGCACGAAGGCCTGCAAAGTGGGTTAGACAGAGCCGTGCCGTCACAGAGTCATGGGCCGGCCGAGGGCGGAGGGATCGGCGGGGGGATGATGAGCGGCACCTGGTGGTACCCTGCCGCAGCCTGCTCCATCCCCCCTCCTTGCCCCATCGGGCCATCCATCGCGGCAGGATGGAACTGCCCGACCATGCTGCCTGACTCATGGTGATACACGCCCCGACTCGAGTAGGGCTCCTGCGCGTGACCGTTGATCGGGCCGGGGGACCACTCCTGCATCGGATGCACCTCAGATGAGGTCCGAGAGGCAGGAGGGCTGGGGTGCAGCGGCTGCCTGTATGGGCCACTGCCCCCATCGTCGACAGGCCGGTACCGGGCCGCATACCCGCCCCCCCTCGGCCCACCTCTTCCCCCCCTACTGCGGAAGCAGGGCGGCCGGGAAAATCCGTCCTTGTGATGGTGGTAGGGCGTATACGATGGCACGAACGGCATGGACACGCCGTCGACGCCGCCGGGCGACACAGCGTGCAGAGGCAGGTCTCCCTGCCATGGACACGGAGGGGCGGCGCCGAGCAGGGAGGGCCTGCCATTGGCCATAGGGTGAGGGGGGCTGTGTGGCGGGGGAGGGAGGCACGGACGAGCGTAGGGGCCCATGATGGCGGGGTCGTGGAAGTGAGACTCGTCGTGGCAAAACCTACAGCTGAACTCATACCTAACACACAGACAGACAGACAGACAGACAGACAAGTGGAGGGATGTCTGAGTGAGTATGCCACCCATGTCTGTGTTACTGTGGCCCTTGTTTGTGTCTCTGTCTCTGACCTGCAAGTGGTGTGGGGGTTGAAGAAGAAGTTGCAGGGGCGGCAGCGGCCCTCCTCGTGGAGCATCACGACGTCTATCGACTGACACGGCCGCTGCAGCAGCTCACCCCCAACCTTCGAACCCGGCACTTCACACAATAGCACGCACACACGGAAGCGTGCACTCCACTCCCTCGTCATAAAACCATGCAGATATCGCCATCGCCATCTATCGCTTACCTCCGTTACGCATGTAGCTCCTCTCCATTTGTCCGCGTGGCGAGCCGCCGGGCGCCCGCTGCGGCAGCTCCAGCACCCCATCTGCCTCCCGCCCCGCCATGTCTGCCTCGCCCGACTGTGAGTGTGGGGGCAGTGAGGGGTCGCTGCTCGCTGGCCCCTCGTCACCCACCACCTCCTGCGGCCAGGGCGTCTCAGGCGACCCACCCATCCCCTCGAGCTCTCGCGTCCCGAGCCTGCAGGCACAACCAGCAGCAGCAAGGGGAAGAACGTACCCGAAGGCATGTGCAAGGATGTCGTGTGTCTCGTCGTTACGTGTGGAGAGTGGCGTATGGCACGGGGGCGCCGGGGCCAGCGAACCGCGAACAGTCGAGCTCCCGCGTCGCCTGGCCTGCAAGAAGGGAAAGTGACAATGGATGGAAACATGTCATGTCTCCTCCCCCATCCACTCCTCCCTCACGTGAGGAGAATTCATCGGCAGGCTCCTGCTCGCTCACGTCAAGCGAAGGCACGCTCAGCTGCAGATCAGGACCCTGACCGACCAGACCAGGAACAGACACGATTTCTTGCGGCGTCACTCAGAGTTCCCGCGTACCTTCGAATAGGGCCGGCGTGTGGCGGTTTCGAGTGCAGTGACCATCTCAGCAGACTTCTCCCTCTCTAGGCCCACGCAACACCCCACCACAGCACCGTTAACGCCACCAACAACACCAGCCTGGCCGGCCTGACAGCTGGTCGCCCGGCAGGGCGACCACAGCTCGTCAGTAGCCCCACCCCCTCCCCCTCCCTTACGCATCGACACGGACGGCGGGGCCGAGGCGGACCGATGCGATGCTGCCTGCCCATCGACGTGGATGAAGGTGGCTCTGCACATCGACAGATTCCGCTCCATCAGGGCATCCAGCGACGCAAACGACGATGACTCGTCCGACACAAAGCCGCGAGGGGCCGCTGACGGAGCCGCTGCGGCCTTCACCTGGGAGAAGGGAAAATGCATCTCGCCGTTCCTCCACTGCCGTCGGTAAGACCCTCCACGGCCGCCATAGCGCTTGAAGGGGAAGGGGGGCCGCGAGTAGCCGCCAGAGAAGCCGTATTGGCCGCCGCCCCCATACCCGTCCCTCCGAGGCCGCCAATGTGACATCGTCAGCCAAGAAAAATAGACTCCACCGAGAGAGCGGCTCCTGACAGTCACTGGCAGCCGGATGAGACGAGTGCCGACGCATGCAATGCCATGGTCTCCGTCGTCATCCTCAGCTCAATCGCAAGCGGCTTGCGTGGCATGGCAAAACGTCGAGGAGAAATCTCTCGATAGTCCCAAGGCGAGAGGAGACCAAAACGGGGCTTCAGGGACTTCAGGGGCTTCGGAGAGACGACGAAAAGGAAGCGGGAGAAGATGCGAGCTCAAAAAGCTCCCGATCGCACCCAGGGATCGCACTCACACAGCTGCGAACAAAGCACATCGGTTCGCACTCGTCTATAGCCACGCATGCATAAGTCTCCACGGAAATTCAACTCATGGATGCATCGACAAACAAACCTGCGGGCAGTGCCCCTCCACTCCTATAGAGACCTGACGTACACGTTTGTGCAGCATTGGCCCGTCTACCTCAGCCGTAGCAACCCATGTATGTGGGACCATACTCAGCCGCATGATGCTGCTGATAGTGCATGCCATAGGTTGGTTGCGTGGGTGAGAAGGGCACTCTCAGGGGCGGCGCCGGGTTGGGCTGCTTCCGCACCATCGCAGGCATCTGTGGATGGCCGTGGGGGAAGAGGCAGTTGGGGGGCCGCGGCGCGTCGAAGGCGTCGCTCACCGCCCTCACCACGTCGGCAGGGAGTTGCAGATCTGCACACACACACAGACACACACGCATTGGCCCAGGTGAGCAAGATCTCTGAGTGTACTTCTGAGTGTGCGGCTGGCTGGCTGGTTGGCGTGGTGGGCGAGTGGGTCACCTGGCCGGCCGAGTAGGCTGACGTTTTGCAGTTTGCTCAGCGTTACACGCTCGAGCGGGACGCCACGGGCAAACGCCTGCATAGTGCATGGTGCATGGTGCAGACAGATGGCAGGCATGTTAACTAACACATACAGAGTGACACACACTTGCCTATGAAATGATATGCTGTCTGGCGTACCAGTTGTGCGATGTGGAATGCTTTCTCGTAGACCTCTGCCTTGACACACCGCGAGATGAGCTCGTCGTAGATGGTGCTGTGCAAATCCATCTTCGACTGCTGGGCCTGCACACGATGATCCATTCAGGCATCCAGACACCAGGAGACACATGTGGTCTCTGCCGCTGGTGTGTCTGTGAGTGCACCGTCTCAAATATCTCCACTGCCTTAGCGAGTCGCCCGTTGCGGAAGCAGCAGTTCATGAAAGCTGATATCACGTGGCTGCGACACATACACACACATGAGGGGTGTCCATGTGTGCTTGCTGCAGCACAGCCCATACACGTGAACACACACACCTATTGAGGGGCAGTCTGTTGGCCCTGGCGTATTCCTCCACTTGCAGGGCCTTGTCGGGCCGCTGGGCACGCGCAAACAACTTAACCTGTGCATCACGTCACGCACACAACACGCAGCATCAATACTATCAAACATCGATGTATGCATCTCGTTCGCATCATGCTGACTGACGCACAATGGTGGCGAGGAAGTAGTTGTCCGGGACGATGGTGTTGTTCGGGTCAAGGATGCGATTCCACAGGACCTCTGCGGTCGACACGTCCTCAAACTTGGCACATCCTGCACACAGACAGAGAGTCACGCGCATGAGTGCCCTCATGACATGGGTGTGTACCATCGATGAGTATGTTGAAGAGGATGCGGTCGGGTTTGACGCCCTTCCTCTCCATCGAATGCATCAACAACATCGCCTTGTCAAGCTCATTCTGACCGCACACATCCACACACCGCACCATCCGCCCGCCCCGTTCGCCCCTTTCGCCCCTCCCACCCTCCCTCCCTCCCTCCCTCCCACCCACCTGTTTGCAGAACCCCTTGATGAGGCACGAGTATGTGATCAGGTCGGGCTTGGGCTTGTGGTAGCTACTAGAGCTGGCTTCACTGTCCATGTCGGATTGTGGTGAGTACGACCCCGAGAAGGCCTCCGAGAGCCCCTCGTGCTGAGTGGTCTTCTGGTGTGCGTCTTTGCGGTAGGGGGGGGCAGCCATCATTTCCTCGAAGATCTGGAGGGCCGGGAGCATCAGGCCCGCCTCGCAGTGGGCGTTGATCAGCGTGTTGTACACTATCTGATGGAGTGAGAAGGGGGCGACGACAATATATGCGGTGACCGTGTGTGTGTGTGTGTGTGTTTTGTGTGTGTGTACCTCATTCGGTGCGAGGCCCACTCGCGGCATCTCTGTGTAGTACTGATAAGCCTTGTCCAACTGACAAGACGCACCACACACGGACTTACACGCATATAGACACCCAGGGCCGTCCATCCATCCATCCATGGGTACCTCCTGCACCCTGGTGAAGCCCTTAATCATGATGGAGAAATGGATGGTGTTGAGCACGTCACGGCAGTTTTCCCTCACGCTGCCATACACACACATCCACACACATGATAAGACAAGGCCCCTTCGTTGCCTGCTTAGCTGTCCACCTGGCGAAGACCTGCTCCGCCTCGTCCATGCGGTCGTTGGATGCGAGGGCGTCGAGCATGCAGCCCAGTGTGTACCCCGACGGCTTCAGCTTGTGATGCTCCACCATCGCTACCCACAGCTGCCACACCTGAAGACACACATGGCAACACTGGTCTCTCTCCCTCTCCCTCTCCCGGTGTGTGCATGATCAATGGGTGTGTACCGTTCGGATGTCGCCCACTTTGCCGCATGCCTTGATGAGCGAGCCGTAGGCGTGGCAGTTGGGTCTGAGGCTGGAGCGGTTGAAGTGCTGGAAGGCCATGTTGAGCATGGCCTTGTCGCCGACACGGGTCAGGGAGTCCACAACGGTGCAGAACAAACGGATGTCCTGAAGACACGGCCAAAGACACATGGATTGTGTGTGTGTGTGTGTGGTGTGGACGGACGCACCTCGCATATGTCGATGGATTGGATGAAGGCCATGAGCCTCGGCAGCTGGTCCTTCTTGCTGAACGCCTTGACCATGATCGAACTCGTGTACCTGCACACACACGTGGCAGCAGCCAGCCGCCTTTGAGGGCCCTCCCTGTGGGCGTGTCTCTCTTGTTCTTTGCTGACTTGTCCGTTTTGAATCCGTGTTGGAGCATTCGTTTGTAGACCTCCTCGGCCCAGCCGACCTCGTTGCGGTCCACCAACGCATTGATGTACTGGTTGTACGATATCTTTTGGCACACACACATACATACACACACAGAGAGAGAGAGAGAGAGTGAGACACGTAGGTATGCCGTGTGCAGTGTCTGTGTCTGTGTCGTCTCGTCTGTGTCAGTAAATACGGCGTCAGCTTTGGTGGGGCTGTCGTCCGACTCCATCAGGGCCAGCAGCAGGTCCACCTTCCTGAAGTCCCCCTTCAATATGTACCTGCACCACATCCACCACATCCACCACAGGCAACACACACTTGACCCGTTTGTTTATATGTGTCTGCTCCCGTCCTCACGCCAGCTACTTACGCCTTCATGAGTGTGTTGTATGTGGTGCCGTCCTTCTCAGGCGCCTCGGAGAACAGCCGCTCCGCCGCCACTATCGCCCTGGCCTCCGCACAGCAGTCCAGCGCAGCGTTGTACGCCTGCGTGTCCACACTCACGGCGGGGTCCTCCACCATCTGACCCAGCACCCGCAAACCCATCTCGGCATCACCACACCTGCACACACACATGCAGAAGGGTCGATGCTCTTTGTGGGTGTCGTGAAGGAGTCGATTCTAACATACTTGCCGGCGAGTTTGAGCATGCTCATGTAGTGTGTGGCGGCTTTGGTGCCGATGGCGTCGAACAGCTGCTGGGCGGCGCCGGTGTTGCCGCACTCGGCTGCGACGGAGAGCAGGGAGCCCCTCATGCTGTCGGTCAGCTGCACGCCATCGCTCTCCATCTGTGGCAGCAGGTCCAGGGCCTTCTGGTGCAATGCGGCGTTCGAATACATCTGCACCCATGGATATAATGGAGCAAAGATCCACGTTTTTGTGTCCTGTGTCTCGTGTGGAGGGGTGGGTGGTGGGCGGATGTTACCTGCATGAGTGTGGTGTAAACTGGTGCTGTGAGCCTGCCCCAGTCTCTGCTACGGCAGTAGGCAGCAACCGTCTCGCCAAACCTGCACATACACGCAGCGCACAGACATCGTTTCCCTCCGCTCCGTATGTGTGTGTGTGTGTGTGTGTGTGTCGATGTCTGTTGTATTACTTCACGTAGCTGGATGCGGCGCATTTGGTGAGCAGTGCCGCCGCGGTCTCTTCAGTGATTCGACAGCCGCTCGCAATGCACCGCTCCCACAGCTGCACTGCCCTGGGGTCCCCGACCTTGCTATACGCCCGCATCAACATGTCATACTGACAACACGCCGCACACACACGCCCCAACACACACACACACACACATTCGCAGCTGTCCCTCTCTCTCTGCTCATGTGCTGTGCTGGCAAACCGATGTGTAGACGAGTGGCACTTTGAGTCTGTCGGCGAGTTTTTCGATCTGCACCATGAGTGCGTGTTCGTTGTGCTCGACGGCGATGGTGAGGAGGTGCGCCAGGCCGTCGCCCGAGAGGACCACCATGCCGATCTTGAGGAGAGGGAGGAACTGCTCCTGGATGAGCCACAGGCGGTCGGGGCGGGACGCGATGTGCTGCAGGAGGGCGTCGGTGCTGCCGCTCGGCCACTGGTGGCCATCTGGCACATAAATGGGTGGTGGATGGACGGACAGACGGACACGTGCCTATGTGTTGTATTGGTTATGTGTACCTTTCAGGGCCTGGTAGATGAATTCGAATGCCGCTCTGACGGCTTTGTTCTTGAGATGAACACCGACACTACCACATACACACACACACACACACACGCCACACGCACAAATGGCCACGACAGCCCAGCATAGACATACGCCCGTTTTCCTTCCTTGGTCTTACGCTGAAGTGTATACGCTGAGGGGCACACCCCCGCCACGCCGCATCGAATCCACCGTCGCACGCAACTGACATACGGACACACACACGAGTGTTTGCCGTGGATGGGTGCCCCAGTGGGTGCAGTGCATACGCACCTGTGCGTACTGGCCTAAGATGGCGTGTCCCATTGCGATGTGGTAGAGCAGCGATATGCCGACCTCGATGGCCGGCCGCTGCTTCCGGAGCGTCTGCAGCATCAGCTCAGCCACACCCACCGCACCTAACCCACAACACACAAAGGGTCTTCGTGTCTGTTTGCACGGGCATCTTTCTATACCTGTGTTAGCGAGTGCCTGCATCACTAGGGCGAAGTCGTCCTGGAGAGTGTTGCTGGGGCCGGGATGGCGACTGACGTAGTCGACGGCGACCTCACTGGCCCGGTCATGCTGCTTGAGCTTCAGCATTGACAACAACACCTGCACGATGAGAGACGGCAGCAGACGCCAGCTGAATGTGTTGTGTATGTGCGTGTTTGGTTGACCGACCTTTGCGACATCTAGCGGGGGAATCCTTCCTCTGGCATCGACGACTTTCAGCTTCTCCCATGCATCAACCATACCTGGACACAATGGGCATCCACACATCCACACAACCACAAATCTATCCAGTGAGCTCCCCTGTCTGCCCCTGGCCGCCATGCATCATTCATTGTGTCACTTACCGTCCTGCCGTCCGTCGTCGGCATGGTTCAGCAGTTCTGCCCGCGCCGCCTCCCACTCGCAACTATTGTTATTCTCTCTCCTTTCACTCTTGATACACTTCTCAGATTGGCCCTGCTCTTGGCGTTTCTCTTGGCTCTTCTTCCACGCCACATAGCGGCGCCGCAACATGCTGATGAATGCCCGCCCGGTTGCAGCGAGGCGATGCATTTGAATGGGATGCTTCTGGGCTTCTGGGCGGGTGGTCTCTTTCTTACCTCCACGGCCAATAGTATGCGAAAGCAAAGAGCGCGGCGGTGAAGATGATCCCATCCATGATGCCGACATAAGGCGCCAGGGCACCACACACGCTGCACTCGACACAGGCACACACCAGCGACGGATGCGCATTGGCCTTTGTTGGTGATGCTCTCACCGCATGACTAGATCCCATGCTTGCGCCATCACAGACGGCCGCGCGGAGATGGCCTCCTTGTAAAGCTTGTAAACTCGTGCGATTATTGGATGCGATTGGAGGTGTTAAGCCATTCTTTCTGCGGATGGCCTCCGGTAGATGGCCATTGACGAACGCCTTCCTCTCGCCGCCCAGTGGATCTCTGCTCTGCTCATCGGATCTTCCATCCTCGCAGCACTCGTTCTCCCCGCCGCCGACGCACAGAGATTGGACTACAAATTCAGACCTCTCGACCCCGTGAGCCATCCACAACCAGCCACGACACAAAGGAAGACGATTCATGGCGCGCACATGGTCGTGTGTGGTCAGGTCTTGTACAAGGCGACGATACTGGTTGACCCTTGCAAGGACCAGGTGCTTGCGGGCGGTCGAGGATTCAGCTGCTGCAAGAGCTCCGGCATCGCTGTCTGCCAGGACCACCCAGAGGCCGTCGTGGCGGAGGAGGACCTGCACATCGCATACTTCCAGAATGCGCACATCCCCGTGTGTTTGGGCGAGTTCGAGAGCGACCCCGACTGTGGCAGCTTCATCGAGATCCACAAGTACGGCGACTACGCCATCGAGTCCTCGGTCGAGCTGCGCAACGAATGGCCCAACGGATTCGAATCCATATTCATACCAACCGAGAACCTCTGCGCAGGTACATAGGTCAGGAAGGTGGGCATGTGGGACGGATGCATCCTTGTGTGTGGACAGATAGATATGTGTCTGCTGTGTGTTGTGTTGTGTTGGATACATACAGGTAGCTACGAGTTGTGGTGGGTGGTGCGGACCCCGTCAGGGCCCTACGTGCAGTACACCAAGCCATTCTGGGTCGTCGACCCTTCGTGCGATGACCCACGGCTGCCCCCACGGCCTCAAACACAAAGCACAGCCACAGCAGCAACACAACAGCAGCATCGGGCGGGCAGCTCGGAGGACGGTGGCGGCGAACAGCGAAAGCTGGCGCTTTGAATCGCTGCTGCTGGTTTGATGTGGTGTCCGTGTGTGGCTGTCCGCGCGTGTGTATAGATCCAGCTGCATGATTGAGTGGCCGACGTGAAGCGACACTTGTTACATATGAGATTTGTGTGCATTGTTTGTATCTTCAACCGATTTCCATCCATGATGATGTGTCCATCCATCCATCCATCCATCCATCCACTCATGCAGAGACGAGCCACCACACATCCGTCGTCCATTCAGTCACTGACTGTACAGCCCACGAGAGACAGACAGATATGTGCACGTGGTAGTGGTCGGCTCATCAGTCGGTGTTCTCGCTGTTGTCAACTGGGTTCATCACCTCCTGCACAGAACACACACATTCGCCGCTGTGCACACATCCGCATCCCTGCGCTGCCCATCGAGTGAGCTGACCTTGAAGTACTGCCTGAATTTCTTCTCTTTGTAGCCGTCGTTGACACCTCCGCATTGGACCGAGTACACGCGCACGCGATAGTTTTGCTCGAGCAAGAGGAACTTCCGCTCGAACTCCCTGCAGTCAACACACACACACACACACACAGACATCCATCCATCCATCGACCCGCCCGCCCGTCCACGAGTGACATACCCTCTCGTCATCTGTTTGATCTCCTCGTTGGTGAAAGGTTCGCGTGTGGCGTACACGTCCCCACCCCCGACGTCGCTTTTGACCAGGTGCTGCTGGTCGCTGGGCCGCCCCGACCTGCAAAGAGCAATCAGGACGAGGAGTTTGCTGACTGAATGAAAGCGCCACATACCAGTACTCGATGAACGCCTCGTTTCCATCACTGACAAAGACCACAAGACAGCCACAACAGTTCGTCTGGTCTGTGTTCTTTGTGAGCATTGTCTCTCTGTCTCTCAGTCTCTTCTCTGTCTCTCTGTCTCTCTGTGGGGATGTGTGTCTGGTTACGGTGCTTGACGGTATCGTGTCTCTTGATGACAGTACTGTCGGCTCGGTCGCTGCTCGAGGGGCTGTTGCTGCGCCCTCCCGCCGACTCGCTCTCCCGACTCACATCCTGACCCCTGTACACATCAAAGCATAGCGAACATCAACATGAAGCGACGCAGATGTGCCCATCCCTCCGCTTGCGCCATCTCTCACCGTTTCTGTGTGTTGGCTTCGACCTGCATGGCACCGCTCGGCAGCGATGGGGCCGGCAAGTGCGACGACGGCACAGGCACAGGCGCGAGGACCCCTCTCCCCTTTTCCTCCGCCGCCCTGTGACGATCCCTGCGAGCGGCTTCCTTGTCGTGGCCCTTCCCACCGCGGTGGCTACGGCGGCTGTCCTTCTTGCGTCGCTTGGCTGGTGAGGAGAGGGACGAGGGGGGTTCGTGTTGCTGCGATGGTTGGGCGGGCGGGAGACTGTGTGCCCGCTTCTTGTTTGGGGAGGGGTTACGGCTCTCAGAGAGTGAGGGGAAGTCATTCTCTGCCAGTTGCGCCTCCTCCCTCTCAGCGTCAGCGTCAGCCTCCCTCCAGGCCGACTGCCGCTGCAGCGACTGCTGCTGCTGCTGTGGCTGTGGGTCTGGCTGCTCATCCTCCTCCTCCTCCTGCTGCTGCTGCTGCTGCTGTTGATGGTCTCCTAGTAGATGGGATCGGAGACTGGGCAAACACCTGCTTGAAACAGACAGACAGACAGGCAGACAGCAGGACACCACAGTGAAGCGACAGGCAGACAGACAGACAGACAGACAGACGGCATGAAGGATGTCGCTCACTGTGGTGATGGTGCTGCTGCTGCTGCTGGTGCTGCTGGTGTTGCTTGCTGCTCCGTGATGACACCTGACATCGACTCATCTTCTTCATTATCATCCCACAGCGACTCATTGTCTTCTTCCGCGCGACTCATTCTCTCACTCACTGACTCACTGACTGACTGGGTGACGATTCGCAGATGAATGTCTCTCTTGGATCGATGAACAGTCGTTGTGCGGCGGTGTGTACACGAGAGACCGACGCGCCTCTCCTGCAATCGCAAACACACACAAAGGAAGTATACACTGCTCGCACAACTCCCTCATGTTCGTCATCTGCTCCGCAGTAGCGGCCATATCTGGCAGCGCCCAGAAGCGCTGGTTGCCTCATTCGCCGACACGCGCCTCGGTCAGTCAGAAGGCCTCACATCGTCGCCCTCCAGCCCCGCTGCCGAGCTTGCTGTCCATCACCGAGATGCTGTTCCTCAGTTTGTGGCTATCGGCTCCCTCTTCATCATATTGTCATGGTTGCAATCCTCCACTTGTTGCCCTCCCGCCCACCGGCGTAAATCATTGATGGAGAGGCAGACGAGTTGATGGGAGGTGAGAGAAGGTGAGAGGAGGTGAGAGGAGGCGAGAGAAGGTATGAAAGCGAGTAAGGTAGTGTTGAGGTCGAGGGGAAAGAAAGAGAGGAAGAGATGTGCCGCATGCTGACGGATGTGTAAGCTTGCAGTCTCGCCCCCATCCGCCCCACAAAATGTCGACATCTCACCTTCGTTTCTCCCGTGCTCATGGCGCGACAACCACTTCTCGTCCGGTGTCTGCCGGCGAGAATGGCCGCGCCGGGCCTCTGTGTGCTCTTCTCTCTCGTGCTCATGGCGCGAACACCACGTCTCGTCCGGTGGTTGCCGGCGAGAGTGGCCGCGCCGGGCCTCTGTCTGCTCTCTCCTCTGCCGTCGTGCCGGTTGGCACGATGGCTTCTCGCTGCTCTTCTCTTTCTCCACCAGCACAGGGTGGGGCCGGGTTTCCGGCTCCATCCGTGCTGGTGGTTATTCCCAACGGCGCCAGGCTGGTCACTCCCCACGGCGTCAGCCTGGTGCCGCTGCCCCCCTACCGCTCCGACAGGAGGGCGGCCGCCCGTGAGCGCAGCCCCCCACCCCAGCTGCCGCAACAAGCGCCCTCTGTGCTGGTCGTCACTTGCCACGGAGTCAGGCTCGTGACTCCACACGGCGTCACGCTGGGGAGGCTGCCCCCCCGCCATGCCGAGACGAGGGCGGCTCGTCGCCCGCCCAACCCTCCGCCCCAGCCGCAAGACCCCGCCTTCCTGCCCTTCGGGGACGGCCAGCGTCTCCAGCGCGTGCCGCCGCTGAGGGGGGATGAGGGATTCTTGGGAGACACGGCCAGCTCCCGCGCCAAGCGCCGACAGCGGGCTCCCCCCTCAAGCCCTCGCCCTCCCCGCCAAGCCCGCCGTCCTCCCCGTCCTCGCGCTGCAGAAGCAGCTGCCGTTGCTGCTGCCGCCACAGGAGAGGCATCGGCGGCCCAGCCGGCCTCAGCAGCACCAGCGCCATCAGCGCCACCAGCCCCACCAGCGCGCGAGGAGCGGCAGGAGGCACCAACACCACCAACACCAACACCACCACGAGGCCCCCCCTCACACCCCTGCACCCCCGCCACGCCCATCGACCAGCCACCAGCTGCAGCAGTCGGGCAGCCGTCAGCGGAGCTCCTCAATGCCATGACCGAGGGCCTGGTAAGTAGCAATACACAATTGAGAGAGAGACAGCAGACTCAGAGAGTACTTGTGGGTGATGTGTGTCTTTTATGTGTGCAGCTGGCGGAGAGGGCGGCCAGGCGTGAGGCCCTTCTGCGGCGGCCGTTTCTCTTCACGGGGCCTCACGCCCCGGGCACGCCGCAGAGTGAGAGGGAGGAGGAGGACGGGCTGTGGGTCCGGACCCCAGGGAGATGAGCGCGGTCGACCGGCTTCTGCAGCTGGCCGACCGCCTAGATCTCAACTACAATCCCCGGCGCTCCACCATGGGCACGGGGCCCATATTTGTGGAGGAAATCCCTATTAGACGTAAGACAGAGGCCACAGAATGACTTGCGAATGACTTGCCAGAAGACAACTGTGTACCCATCCTTTTCACTGCATCCTTTGTGTGTCTCTTTCTGCAGACGTAGAGTGGGACGACCGGCTAGAGCTGGGGGAGGGAGCATTTGGCGTGGTAAGTGGATTGGCTCAGTCATCTGTGACATGCGATGGTCTACATTTGTCATTTTGCCGCTGTCAGGTGGAGAGCGGTACACTGCGGAGGACACAGCGGGTGGCAATGAAATCGGTGTTTCTCTCAAGGCTAGATGGTGAGGTCTGAACGGCGAGGTGGATGGGAGGACTCATCATCATTGTGCGTGTCTCTCTTGTCTGCCTGCCTGCCTACCTGCAGACCCCCCTGAAGAGCCGGGAATCGACGAGATAGTGAACTTTCAGAGAGAAGTAGAAACATACAGGTATCCACCAATGTAATCTCTCTCTACAGCAGCGACACATAAACTGTCTCTTTGTTTAATTGTGACAGTTACATGGACCACATCAATGTGTTGAAGATCATAGGAGTAGTTCAGCATCAGGGGAACCCCGAGGCGAGGGATGTGACTCTGCACGACCCCCGCACGTGCATTGTGGTGGATTTATTGACGGCCGTAAGGGGAATACAACATACGATACACACGTTGATGTTAATGACATGCATGCCGTGTCTCTGTATGTGTTCCTCTGACAGACACGCTCAGCACCCGCCTTCGACCGCCCCCTCCCCCGCTACCCCCAACGCCTCCCATCCCACCCCCTCCCCTGCCCCCGCCACCCCCAACGCCCCAACAACGGCTCAGTTGGGCCCAGCAGATGGTATGGCAATGCTTTTCTCTTCGTTCTGTTGTCGGATTGAGTGTGTGTCTCTTGATCTTTGTTTGATTTCTGCAGGCGCGGGGCATCCGCTACATCCATCTACGGGGATTTGTGCATCGTGACATCAAGCCTGACGTGAGCTATCACGCCATTTCAATGCACACGCGTTCGTGGACACCGTTGTGGCTCGTGTCCTGACTGTGTGTCGCTCAGAATGCGCTGATTCGGGAGGCGGACGGGCTGCTCAAGATAGCCGACTTCGGGATGGCAGAGCGGATTCAGGTATGTCAGGAATGAGAACCAGATACAACGTACACACAAACGTGCACCACAGCAGAGGACAATCCCGTGTGTCTCTCCATTCGTTGCCTTTGTTGGCGTGGTGTGTCTGTGTCTGTAGAATGGGAGGGTGAATCCCCCAGACCCATCGGGCGGCACCCTCAATTACATGGCACCGGAGATTTGGCGGCGGCGAATCCTCACCCCAAAAGTAGACATTTGGGCATTCGGTGAGCCCAGCGCTATTCACCTTGAAGATGGTCTATGAACGAGGCCGCTTGGTGCGCTTTTCTCGCTGCGTGCAGGCTGCTGCCTTATCAAGATATTCGGGGGGGGCATTCCTTGGGGGGAGTTTCTGAACTGGGAGGGCTGGGATAGGCATGGCGTCATCGATGCCGTAACCCTGCAGCGGCGCCACCCTTGGGTGCCCGCCGGCTGGCCACAGGTCGTCCGAAACATTGTGCTGGACGTAAGTGCACCACACGACACTCGAACACAGAGGAAAACAGTCAGTTGCAGACAGTGACCGATGCTCTGTCGGTGCGTGTACTTCTCTGGCTGCAGTGCCTGGAGTATCGGCCGCATCGTCGTCCCAGCGCCGCAGAGGTTCTGTATCGGTTGGAGCACCTGACGGTTGCCGATGTCCCCCGTAAGTAGCTCAGAGCCGCGTGGTCATTGGTATGTGCACGGCACTATTGTGTCTCGTTGTCTGTCTGTCTGTCTGTCTGTCTGTGTCTTTCGTGCAGCCTGAACGAATCGGCATCTTCTGCAAATGAAGTCTCTTCTTTGTCGAGTAGACCGCTTTCGATTAGAGTAGTGTGGTGGGTGGGAATGGAGTTGTAGATGGATGGATTTCTGTAGCCGATGCACTTTGACATGCAGCCATGCCTCTGTCCTTTCTCAGCATCCATACGTCCATCAATGCATGTGCGCTGTTGATCTGCGGGAATGCTCGCTCCTGTTGCTGTGTATGTCTCATTCAGGTCGCTGCAGACGATATATTTAGTCCGCCATGCGACCTCGTGACGTGCTGTGCTGTGCTGTGCTGCGCTGTGCTCTGCTGTGGTGTGCTGGGCTGGGCTGGGCTGGGCTGGGCTGTGCCTTACTCGTCAGGTACGTGTAGCAATCGATTGGCGAGATTTAAGTGCGCAGGACACCAGTGAATGGGGGATGGATGGCATGGCTGACTGTACTGGCAATGTGTACGTGCCTGCCTGCATTGATGTGCGTGGCGTGCGTCGTTTGGGCCCATGTGGCTGGGCTGCAGCCGGGCGCTATACTTAGTCTGTGCTGCAGCCATCACTCACTCATGCCCTTGATCTCAATGTCTCGTGTCTCTGCTCTCTTTGTTTCATGAGCCTGTGCATTGCCTGTCTCGTCCTTTGAGCCCGTGTGGGCCGGGCTGGGCTGCAGCCAAGCGCTATACTTAGTTTGCGCTGCAGCCCTCATGTTCATGCGCGTGATCTGAATTGCTCGTGTCTGGTGCCCGTCACTCTCGATGTGTTTCGTTGTGTGCCTGCCACAGGCACAGTTCATTCAAGTAGCCAGTGCCTGGTGGTGGATGGTAGGTGCGTTCGTAGCCGACTGTGCATGCATTGATGTGCGTGGTGTGGTGTGTGCTGTCGGAGCTCGTGTGGGCCGAGCTGGGTTAATTGCAGTCAGGCGCTATATTTAGTCTGCACTGCGACCCATACATGAATGCGATGGATGCATAGTCAACATTTGCAGATTTTGTGCCTCTGCCTAGAGCTCTTGCTCGTCTCTGACGTACACAACGTACAAAGACGCTGCCTTCAATTGAAATCGTACGAATGGCAGTCTGCATTATCCTTCGTCTCCGCTGGACAAAGCCGAGGCATCAACACGAATTGTGCGGCGGACAACACAGCAAGGGCCACAAAATATAAAATGTAGGCAACGATATTCCCGAGAGCGGCAGCGCTGATATGTCCCACATGCGTGTCAACTGTAACAGCCGCAGTGGAAAGGAAGCCGAGACACAAACAGACAGACAGACAAAAACAGCGCACAGCGATCCGTTCATACAACAATGGCCGAGCGCTTTGCAGCTGCTTACGGGGAAGATCGGCGCCGGTCAGCTGCTTGAAGCCATGGACCATTTCGCTGTCTTCTAAGCACTGCAGTCAAAGGAGCGCGACAAAGGAGCAATTAAGTCAAAGGAGCAAAGTTGTTTGCGCACGCACACACCCATCTGTCCGTCCGCCAACACAGCCGACGTCGTAGTGGTCGGCTCATCAGTCAGTCAGTCGGCTCCCAGTCAGTCTGTCTGTCTGTCTGTGTCAGAGGCCTAGGCCGAGGCGCTGCTCATCGCACATCCACGACAAAAAGACAGACATGTGCACGTATGTTGGGGGTCGTGTCTTTAGTCGGTCTTCTTGCTCTCAGCTGGGTTCATCACCTCCTGCACAGAACACACACATTATTCGCCGCTGTGCACACATCCGCATCCCTGCGCTGCCCATCGAGTGAGCTGACCTTGAAGTACTGCCTGAATTTCTTCTCTTTGTAGCCGTCGTTGACACCTCCGCATTGGACCGAGTACACGCGCACCCGATAGTGATGCTCCAGCAAGAGGAACTTCCGCTCGAACTCCCTGCAGTCAACGCACGCACACACACCCATCTGTGTGCGTGGCGTTGTGTGCGAGTGCGAGACGCCAGGCAAGGCGCCAATCGCTGTGGTGTCCCCTACTTGCGCTGTCTTGTTGCTGGCCGGGTGGCATGATGGGCTTACGCTTTGGTTTCTCCGGCAGTCGGTCAAGGGGCTCGTCGCGGCCGAAGGGGCGTGAAGGGAGATCGGAACCTGACACACACAACAGGCACACACACGGTCTCCTTCGTGCCCTCTTGGGTGCTTTCTTGTGGTGTGTGTGCGTGTTTGTGTGTGTGTGTTTGGTTGGGTGCCTGCTTTCTCTTCTGGCTTCGCAGCGCGAGTCGTGTATGTCTTGCATGTCTTCTCACGCCTGTCCTTGTCCAAACCAGCCACTGCACGCCACAAACAGGCAGAGCAAATCCATGACGGCGTAGAGTCCATTCGCTTTGCCCGTTGAAGGGGAATAGCCTCTTCAGTGGCGGGGCAATATCCTCCTCGCTGCACACGCGCACACACACCACACACACACACACACACACACACAGAGAGAGAGAGAGAGAGGACGAGCAGCGATGCGATGGCTCCTCTGCGGCGGCGGCAGTGGCGTGGGGTCCGTGTCTTGACTCTCTGCAGCAGTCAAAATGCCATGTACATGCACACTTGTCGGCATCATCTCCACCTCTGCATCGCCCCACCGGGCTGAATGTATGTCTTGAACATGAGGTCATTCTTGCGGTAGCCCCAATGATCGAAGTTTCGCTTGAGGAGCACGTCGAAGTTGTCGAGCTTCTGTGTCTTGACGATCCATAGCTTCCACAAGCGCTCAAGCTCCAGACATTTGTTCGACCTTCCCAGAGAAAGAAGTCCACGTGGTCCTGCTTTCGGTCCGGAAACAGGGCCATCCACCGTGTGTCGGCGCTTCCGGCCTACGCTGTGCCCCCTCGCCGGCCTCCGTCGTCAGCTGGGGTACAACCTCGAACAGATCCTTCTCAACCTGCAGACCGATGTGGACACACACACAGGCGGGGAGACACAGATGTAGCGGATGCATACTCGCACCTCTGCTATCTTACCTGCTTCCATTCCGACTGCAGTTGTTCTTCCGTTTTTGCCCGGGCCAGGTGCTTCGCATCTGACAGTCCAGAGGCTCCAGGTGGACAGTGTTCGAGAGGCGGAGGCTTTCGCTGCCGGTGGGGCTCTCCAGCTGCTACTTGGTGGTCGACGATTGAGACTCACGAAGAGATTAGGGCGGCGAAGCACCACCTGGTCCACTGGGCGGCGTCAGGCTGGCGGCAGAGTCCGACGGCCGCGATGCGCGCGACGCGCGCGACGAGACGGCTGCTGCGGGGGCAACACTGGCTGCTGTGTCAAGGGGAAGGGCTGATTTGTTCGAGGACTGTCGCTGCCAGAGTCCCACGGCGGGGCGGGGACATGACGGACGTCTTTGAAGTCCCACACCATGTGATCAATGAGACGAGAGGAGGGGAGAGGGCAAACTTCCCAAGGCGAGCTGCAGGGCGGCCACCGAGTGCGGCCGACATCCAGCAGGAGTGGGAAAGGAACACAGGACAAAAGAAGAGCAGTAAAGAACGTGCCGTTGGAAGTTTTGTCCCGCCGTTTGTCTCGAGAATTTGATTTTCTCGCCACCATGTATGGTGACGTGGTTTAGGAAAGAGCATCTCATCTGCACTGCCGTACACTTCATCCTCAATCCTGCCTCAGCCCCTCCCAACCTGCAGACACCGGGCATTTTGTGCGATGCAACCCCACGGTGACCGCTGCGTTCTCTTGCTCGTTGTCTGCTCGTGCCCTGCGACACTGATACACACCGCCGCTCAGCCTGGGGCCGGCCATCGTGTGAGAGGCAGAGTCAGCCCCGAGAGGCCCAGCAACTACGCGCGATACGCTGAAGATGAGCCCAACCCCGAGTTCAAGTATGCACGGGAGAAGGACAACGCGACACACGTGCCGCTTGCACGCGGTGGCGTACACTTGTGGTGCGTGTGTCAGGTACAAGGAGAAGGATTGGTACTTCTTTTACGTGTCGGACTTGCACATCGTGCCCCGGTACGATGGCGACTACATCACTCAGAACACCTGCAGCCCGGACCTGACGGACCTGGAGAAGGACAGACTCACCGGTGGGAAGGAGAGGGAAGTGAGACCGACATGTGATAACGCTCTCTCCATCCTCTGTGTTTGCTTCAGGCAACGAGAAGAACCCGTGAGAGGCATGCACTGGTTGTTGAGGCCAAGCTGCCCGATTGCTGTCCATCGTCTCTTGCTGTTTGTTGTGTCTTACCAGGTGGACGAAGCCGGCGTACTGGGGCAGGTAGGCCGTGAATGCACCAACACATACGGAGACACATCGCAGACCACCGACTCTCACTCTGTTTAATTGTTTTGCAGGATTGGCTGCGACCCTCCCATCGAAATGTACTACAGCCTGGTTGCAAAGACCAAACACATTTCCAAGATCAGGGGCAAGAAGAGCACTTTCACCATCATGACGGGCGACGTGGCCGGCCATGGCATGGACGAGTATGAGTTCAAGGACACCCGCCGGTACCGCCCTTGAGAGATGAGGACACAGACTCCATTGATGACCGTCTTGTGCATACAGGTACCGTGCCGTAGCCCTGATGCACAAGACGCTGAGGGACGAAATCGAAAGCGAGCAGTTTATTTGGGCGCCGGGCAATAATGACCTGTGGTAAGCAAGCTGATTCCGCCGCAAGTGATTCGGGCATTCCCCCTTTCTCATTCGCTTTTCAGGTACAATTATTACATAGACACAGAGACGCCAGCAATGACACTGGCCGAACTGCGCGAAAGCATGGAGGGCCACGCACCCACAGGCAGCCAGCCCGATCTGGAGGACATGTGTGCCGGCGACCCCACTATCTCTCGTGAGGAGGACCTCAAGGCGTTGGCTACCTCCGAGACGCTCATGCGCAAGATGGGGTGGCAGGCGGTGCTCTGGGAGATATTCAAGGACGACATCAAGCCTTTCGCGGCCGATGGGGAAGACCAGTCAGAGGTTCGGGCGGCAGATGGAACACGAGAGACATGATCGCCGGGTTGGTGATGTACCTCTTTGTGTGCAACAGACATTTCTTTCAGGTGTGTTCTATTCAGTGGAGGTCCCTCCGCCCGTCAATGTGCGAGTGTTGGCGCTCAACAGCATAATATGGCTGCAGGGCCATGTGCGGAAGGACGGCCACAACTTCCCGTGGAACCAGCCAGGACGGTCGCCCGAAGACTTCCCTGATCCACGTACTCTCTCATAGAGCAAGAGACACAGGAGATACACGCATGGATGGATCTTTGCTTGCATGCAGTGGGTCAGCTCGCCTGGATGAGGCGGCAGCTGACCCGCGCCAAGGAGAAGGCGCAGAAGGTCTACGTCATCCTTCATGCTTTCCCTGGGTAAGCAAGAGGCGCCCTGCAAACACGCATGACCTCACCTTGTGGCTGCATTGCTGCATTCATTCGCCCTTCGCGGCACACACAACCCAGGTTCCATTCGTTTCATTACAAGAAGGAGGAGCTCTTCGAGATACAGTTCCACGAGCTCTACTTCCGCAGGTACGTGCCACCAACCACACACCCACACGATTGTGCACCATCGTGTGCCGTGTGCAGCTTCCAGGAGATCATGTACCTCTACCGCGACACCATCCTCGCCGTGTTCGCCGGCCACATACACGGAGACTCCTTCCGCGTGCCCTACTTCAACACTACTGGCTACGAATCGGCAGATGTCAGCGGCTCTTCTCCTGTTCCCAGCAGTTCCTTCAGCGAGAAGAGCATGCGCGACTGGCCGCAGCGAGTGCCGCTGCCTAAGGAATTCCATCAGGAGCTCGAGGCCCTTCCGCCAATCTATGTCGCCGCTGCGATGGCACCCATATATGGGAACAACCCCGCTTTCAAGGTTAAAGAGAAAGAGACACAAGCCGGCAGAGAGGGGCGTTTCTTGTTGCCTCTGTCATCGCTTTCTTTGCTGCCCATAGGCCATCGAGTTCGAGCCTGATCACAAGTACACAGACGAGACATGCGCTCGCCATGCGGCGCGCAGTGTCGTCTCTTTGTATGTCTGTGTGATTGTGTGTGCAGGTATGTGGCCGACATGGTGAGCTACTTCCTGCCATTGGCTCAGACCAACAACTATGAGGGCAGGCCACGGACCGAAGAAGCCGCTCTCACCGCAGACGACTGGTTCTTCTACTACCGCTTCACGGTTCTTCACACGCAAGTCCACGTCAGTCGTGTGTCTGCCATCCCTTGTGTGTGTGTCGGTCAGGATGCCTACGGGCTGGAAGGAATGGACCAGCCCTCCCTGACTCGGCTGCTCACGCGTATAGCCGACCCGAGGACCAAGGAGAGAGCCCTCTACTCTTCCTACTATTATGCCTCGGGCAACATGTCCCCACATATGGAGTGTATCATGACGAGTTTGGCCTCATACAAACATGGTGGGTGTCTGCTGGACACTGTCATCTGGCAGCAGGGAAAGCAGAGGCAGCGGCGGCAGCAGCAAGAGGGAGAGGGGGAGGGGGAGGGGGAGGGGGAGGAGGGCCAGCCCAGCCTTGACATTGTCTTTGCCTGAGCGGGGATGCGTGACGTGTGTGGCGTGGCGACAGACGATAGGACGGAAGGTAAGGACGAAGACATTTGCGTGAGATACACGCTAATGCGGATTTAAGCGAATGTGTCTCCTGTATATATAAGTCTTTGTCGCATTGAGTCGCATCCATCAACCATTGTGACTAAATCATGGGAAGACAGCAGCACGCGCACGCGAAAAACCGTTGCAGCCCTTGCCGTGCCCGTGTGGGACCCGTGCACTGCTGTAGAAGCCTCTCTCCTACTTACACACACACCCACGCACATACCCATACACGTCTGGATGTGTGTGGGTGCGTCCTCATCTCATGTGGTGCCAAGAAAAAACCATCTCACACACACCTCCTCGACTGTCAAGCCCTCTCTGTGATCGCCCCAAGCCCACCCCTTACAACCAGATATCGAAAAATACCGACACCAAGGTGTCATTTCATTCTCCCGTCCGTCATCTCTTGACCGCCCGAGAACTGACGCTGACACGTGCAGTCCCCCTGCCTCCCCTCCTGAGTGCGGCCTTCCTCCTCTCCTTGAGCTGCTCGTCCCGCCTCCCCCGAGTCAGCAGCAGTGTCTGCACGATCGTGATACCCTCCCCATCAGCATCCTCGAGCGGGAAATCCGACGCATCAGACACCGGCAGCCATCCCTACACGCACACACACACACGCGCACGATCACCTGACACATCCAATCGGTCTCTGGACCCTCACTCACTTGTATGGACGCGGCAAAGAGGCTCCTGTGCCAGTGGTCTGCCTGTATGCCCCGCCCGTCGGTGTCGAATCGCAAGTCGGCGTCGGTCGAGACGGGGCTGCCGTCGCGTGTGGCGGCGGTTGGGATGACGAGGTAGTCGTCGCTCCGGGGCGACCGGTCGGTGAGCGACAGAGCCCATGAGTCAAACACGGCATGGGACGCCGTCTGGTAGGGCGGGCAGACGGGGAAGCTGCGACACCGAATGACAGCACATAACTGGCGTCACACCACATGAGACACAGAGAGGGATGGGGGAGGCAGGGAGGGGCAACAGCAACCATGAGTGGGTGAGAGCTTCACCGTCTGTGTGGTCCTCTCTCTTTATCTGTGTGTGTGTGTGGGTGGGTGGGTGGGTGGGTGAGTACCTGGTTACCTGCAGGGAGAGCGGGTCAGGTGTGTGGGGGTAGGCTATCCGGTGCACACCAGCGTACAAGACATACGTGTCGCCAGCAACCTTCTCAGGCGCCTCCAATCGCCTCTCCCTCAACACTGCACCCGAATGGTTGGGCGCCCTCCCACCCCTCAGAAGCACCGCCAGCCACCGCCGTAAGCGTGAAGGCCCATCGTCCACCATGGCAGAGCCATCATCAGGACCCGTATCATCAGGTAACTTTGCCGACTCGACTTGGGCTTGGGCAGCATGGGGGAGGCGATAGGTGAAGGAGCAGCTGCTCTCCCTCTTGTCGTCGTTGGTCCTGTTGCCGACCTCCGGGGCCTTGCTTGACTTGAGTGACGACATCCATGAGAGCCTGAGGGTGGCCTCCTTCGTCTCATTGGCTGGGGAGAAGGGGAGGCACCACCCGGACGAGCCATAGCCAGACAGAGAGCACCGCTGGGCTGACTTCGGGGCCGGCTGCTGCTGCTGTTGCTGCTGGTCGTCAGCTAAGGATAACGTCGCGCGACCACCGGTGAGCAGCTCACTGGGCGGCCTGTGTGTCGTCGGCTGCTGCTGCTCTTCTTGTTGCTGCTGGTGCTGCTGTTCTCCTTTTCGCGGCCTCCGGTGGCCGTGGTAGTGCCTCGAGACGCCATGGACGTGCACGTGTGACTTGGTGGTCCGCCGCTTGCCGCTCGGGTGCGTCGGCACATTGACAATCATCATGCGGCTGTCCCCGAAGGGATCCCCGCCGCCCTTCCCCCAGCCCACATACCCCTCCTTCGCAGCTCTCTGTGTGTCGAACTCGCCAGAGGGCGCCCGATAGAAGCTGTCGAGCACCTCGCCGTCGCTGAAGACCCCTCCCCCAGTGGCGAAATAGGGCGAGAGGTTGGCTGCCGCGATGACGTTGATGGCGTGGGTGGACGAGAGGCCCTGGAATATGGGGTTGGGCAGCTGCAGGGGCGGCAGCAAGAGCTGCCACCCCGTCATGACGATGAGAGAGTCCACTGGGCGGGGCTCGCGCGACACAAACGTGTCCAAGATGTCGACCCTGATCCATCCAAGACACACAAGCCACACCACCTCAAACAAAGGTGTGTCTGTGTCTGTGTCTGTGTGGGTGTCCATAGAAATATATCTATCAGCTGACTCACCAGTGCCAGTCGTAGCCCATGATAACGCCGAGGTTGACCCCGCGTGACAGCTCAAACGGCTCCGGGAAGGTGCCCGCCAGCTCCTCGGGCGGCTGGTCGATGGCCGGGCTGGTGTGGAAGACGTGATGCTGGTAGTACTTGGCAATGACGTTGCCCGACTGACCAAACACCACCGCAGTGTTGAGCAGGAACCTCCCGTCCGGCGGGCAGGTGCCGCTCACGACAATGGGGTCCTCTCCCCTGCGGCGGGCAGCCGGCAAGAACCCCCCCGTGGCGTTGGTGCACGGCTGCAGGTCGATCATGTTGGCCACCAGCACCACTTGCGAGTCCTTGGCCGCGCACGAGAGCTCCCGCACCTGGGAGACCTTTGGCGTGTTGCTGGGGTGTGCGGCGAACCTTGGCGGCCCGTTGTCGCAGGGGATGGACTGCTTGGAGGGGTAGGGGACGGTCTCGGCGTAGGGGAGGATGTGATGGCGGTCATACGACTGGTTGAGGAAGATCGAGGTGCCCCAGCCGTTGGCGTACTCCGGGAAGACCACCAGATGGGCACCTGTTGGGCAGACAGACAGACAGACAGACAGACAGACAGGCAGAGAGGGAGGGGGAGAAGGACAGACGAACGGTACACGCAATCCTGTGTGGCCTGCCTCTCTCTCTCTCTCTCCCTCTTGCTGTGTATATGTGTTTGTGTGGCTGACCGCTGACAGCCGCGTGTTCGGTCCATTTCTGCATGCTCTTGAGGTTGTCGTGCAGCAGCGAATCAGGCGCCTGCTTGAGGTCCATCCGGCTGCACAGCGACGAGCACACTGAATAAGCACCGAACGAATCAACCCACCCCATGCACCCCCCCACCTGGCGAAGACCATGACAGCGGCGGTGAATTCCTTCATCCTTCCCCTCTCCTCCTGCCATATGAGATCCACCGGCAGACACAGCAGCGACAGCAGCACCACCGCCACAAACGCACTCACCGACACGCACACCGGCCGCGAGCAGAAGTTCTTGGCCTGGTCCATGCCGTGGTCGTGCCCGTCGTCAATGGCCGCCCTGCTCGTCCCACCACGGAGGTCCCTTTCTTCGCCCAGCAGCGAGATGATGTCCTCCTGGGACCTCTTCCTGCCCGGCGCTGGTGAGCCGCGGATCATGCGGTGATGGTGGGGAGGGTGGTGGGCATGCACGGGCGAATTGTCGCTCGCGTCAGACATCCTGTTGCTGCTGGGAGGGAGGGAGGGAGGGAGGGAGGGAGATCAGCCCCTGTTCATCGACGGCTTGGCAGATTCATCGATTCACGTGATGCGTCGCGTCCGGCGGTCTCTGGCTGGCTGCACCTGCAGCTGATCCAGGCAACGTGGAGGAGTGTTGTTGTGATGCCTGAGCTCGCCACGGAAAAGCGCGCAGTTGTAGGAGGAGGGCACTCCGTTCCCAAGATGGGGTGGTACGTGTTGGCACGGCACGCATGAGAGAGAGGCACACACTACAGTCACGCCGTACCACTGCTTGGCGCCATTTCATCTGCTGTGTGTTGGTGCGTGTCTGTGTGTGGTGTGCAGGGTCCATTTCTTCAAAATCTACGTCAACGACTACCTTACCAACCCTGTGGTGAACAAACAAACAGACAGACAGACAGGGCAGCACGGGTGCAAGACAGACAGACAGACAGGCAGGCAACACACAGACAGGCAGATCAGCGCTGCGGCCCCCCCTCCTTCCCTCCCTCCCCGACTGCGACCCATCTCTGCTCGTCTGTCTGTCTGTCTGTGTGTGCGTCGTTGCTGTGACGTATGTCTGTATGTCAGGTCCGTTCCCGCTACCACGAGTGGATCAAGTTTTTCGCCGTGCCCCCCGCGCTGCTGATCCTCTACTTCAACTACTGGGAGCAGGTCGTCAAGGGCTCGCTCGAACGCAAACGTGCAGAGGCGCGGGAGAGACGCGTGGCGGAGCGCAACCGCATCTTCGAGGAGACGATAATCCCCGCACCCGTGTCGGCCATGCACCAGTGCAAGTGGTCCGACAAAGGACACCACTAGACAGACAGGCGTGTGACACACACACACACGCTTACTCAGACAGACTGCTGTGTGTGTCTGCGCCTGTGGGTGTGATGTGACCGGCTGGCTGTCTGGCTGCCTGTGGGGGTGGTGTGGTGTGGTGTGGTGTGGCATGGGGTGTGGCTCGGGTTTGGGGGTGGGTTGGGATGCGGTTGTTTGAACCGAACCACCTGAGTCAGGAGGGCGGAGGGGAGGGGAGGGGAGGGAGGGGCCATGCCATGTACATGGCCTTCCTGGGGTCCGTTCGTTGTAATGTATGTTATGTGTGAGAGTGTGTTGGCAGACAGACCGACTCCACTCCCCTTGTGTGGGTGAGGGCCTTCCTGTCTGTCTGTCTGTCTGTCTGTCTGTCTGTAAGTGCGGTTGGCTGATGCACCAACCCGTGTAGTAGAGGAAGCAGCTGTGTGGATCCGACGGAAACAGGACACACCGACTGATGATGATTGATCAACAATCGTTTCACACACACACACACACACGCGTGTTGAATAAAGACGCGGCGGGCGGGCGGTGGGGTGGGATATCAGACACACAAAAGCCTTAAAGCTCGCACGCACACACACACACACACACATGCACCCCTGCGCGTCGAGCTGCACTGACGCGCCCATCCGACCATCCATCGAGTGTGCAAATCACCGGAAAGCCAAGCCACGACGAGCGGTTAAATGTCCTGACCAATGGTCGGTCGGTCGGTCATCGGCCATTGGTCAGTCAGTCATCCGGAGAGCCCCTTGATGACGATTTCCATGGTGTCGTTGGAGAGGTTCTCCGTGTCGCGCAGCCGCTCCAGCTGCGCCTTCATCATGGCGCTGCGCACGGGCTCCACACTGACACACACACACACTTAGGTGTGTGGTTTAAGAATGGTTTGCTGACTGACTTCTTCCATCCGGCGAGGAAGACGGCGAATCTGGACGCCATTTGGGGGTTGAGCTTGTCGACCTCCTTGATCACATCACACACCAACGAATACCTGACAGACAGACACACGGGACACACACACACACAGACAGGGAGAGAGAGGGAGAGCCCGAGAATGCTCCACTGTGGAGGAGCTCATGTGGCCATGATATGTTTGTCAAGCGGACTCACTCACCCCGCGCCGTCCTTTCGGTGGAAGTGGAAGTTGTTGTTGGCGAACGCACCCACTACAGCCCTGCACCCACACACACACACACACACCGACAGCGACACCGGCATCGGTCGTCTCGTCTCTTTGTTGGTTCTTGCCTGACCTGAGTTTGTTAGGGTTCTTGAGTTCGAAGTCCGGGTGCTTCATGAGCTCCTTGACCCGCTCGACGGTGTCGGGGAGGTCGCTCTGCGCCTGCACCGCAAACCACTTGCACATCTTGAGCTTGTCGTCTGGCATTAATGCAGCCACACAGACAGCCATGCAGCCACACACACACACATTTAGAGGGATGGGGGGATGGGTGGTGCAGGTGTGCTTGCCTTGCTGCTCACCTTTGCTGTCCCCATAGAACTTCTGGATGACCGCCTCCCTCTCAGCGACGGGAATGTCAGCCAACGCATACAACGCTGAGAACACACACCCACACCCACACCCACACACAAGCATGACCAGACCCCGCAGCCATCCATCCATCCATCCAGCCATCGACACGCCTGTGTGTGTGTGCCGCCCCGCACCTGAGATGCGGTCGCTCATGCAGAGTCCGGTCTCGAAGTGCTCCACGGCGAGCTTGACGGTCTCGGGGTCCTGCAGCACGGCCATGCTGATCAGCAGGGCGTTCCGCAGCCGCCGCCGGGCGATCGACGGCTCGTCCACCTTGAAGACCCCGCCCTCCGCCGCCACCTCCTGCGTCAGCTTGTCGTATACCTCACGCAGCTCCTTCTTGCACGCCTCTACCAATCCTTTGCTGAGAGACACACACAGGGGTGGGGTGTGTGTTGGGGGATGGATGGAGGGAGGGAGGGAGGGAGGGGTGCTGGTGGTTTCTCGCCCACCGACCGGACGTGCTGTCGTGCGTTGTGCAGGTGGTCTGGTGCAATGGGTGCAGCGATCTCTCCGATGAGGGTCTTCTCGTCGGGCAGGCGCAGCGAGTAGGTCTGATGCGCACACACACACACACACACACATGTAAATAACATCCGTGTGCTCAGTGGCGACTCAGACAGACAGACCTGTAGGGAGCGGTCGATGTCGGTCGCCGTGAGGACCTTCCTCCAAGCCTCCACAAACACGCCGGGCAGTGCTGGCGGAGACTCGCCGGCAGACAACTGCGCAGACCTCACAGGCTCTCATCCACGTCTCTCTCTCTCTCTCTGTGTTCGTGTCTACCTTGTTGTATGTGTCTTTGATGACGATCGTGGCGAGTGTCTGACCGGCCTCCCATCTGTTGAAGTCGTCAGTGTCGTGGGCCATGAGGAAGGCCAGGTCGTCGGGCGATCGCTCAAACTTCAGCCGACAGGGGGCGGAGAAATCCCTGTGTGCAGAAAGAAGGACAGACCCACATACACAGAGAGGGGGACAGGGTGGGTGCATGTGTGTGTGTGTGTGTGTTTGGAGGGGGGAAGGTACCCAGCTACCTGAGGATGGAGGCGATAGGCTCCTCCGGCACGTTGTCGAACACAAACGTCTCCTTCTCGCCCTTGAGCTCGAGCACCTGCAATCCCCCAACCCACCCACCGACACTCTCTCCCTCTCTCAGGGCACCCTCCCGACACCACAGCCACAAAGGCATAAAGGCATACCATAGAGGGCTGCAGCTCCTTGCCAGTGGCCTTGGACAGCAGCCCCGTCTTGATAGGTATGTGCAGGGGGTGCTTCTCCGCCTGTCCCGGTGTGGCGGGGGTGGACTGGCTCACGACGATGGTGAACTGCTTGAGGCTGGGGTCGTAGCTGGCCGACTCCACCGTCACCACAGGGGTGCCCGCCTGGAGGTACCACCGCTCGAACTGCTTCAGGTCGCTGGTGTTGGCGTCAGCCTGAGAGACAGACGAAGGAAAGGTCAAAAGCACTCACAAGTGAGAATGGTCCCATGGGTGCTTACGCTACCATGGCAGCCCGGAAGTCGTCACACGTCACCGCCTGGATAATGGCAATGGACCGAGACACACACACGTGTTGGAACGGGCCAAGTGGCGTGAGGCGTGTGGTGCCGTAGGTACCTGTCCGTCGTGTCTTGTGAAGTAGAGGTCCATGCCCTTGCGGAAGCCGTGCTTGCTCAGCAGCGTCTGGTACATCCGGATCACTTCGGCGCCCTTCTCGTAAACAGTCGCCGTGTAAAAGTTGTCCCTGGGCCACACACCAACACCAACACAAACACGGGACCATGTGTGTCTCTCTCATTGTGGCTCCCTCTCCCTGTGTGTGTGTGTGTGGAGTAGGTTACATGGCGATGTAGCTCTCAGGTCTGATGGGATGTGCCATCGGCCCGGCGTCCTCGGGGAACTGCCGCGACCTCAGCATAATGATGTCCTCGATGCGCTTGACGGCCGCTGACGCCATGTCGCGGGAGAACTCCTGGTCGCGGAACACTGTGAGGCCCTCCTTCTGCACCCACCGCACCAGTCAGTCATCAGTCATCACACACGCACAGTGGTGGGGAGGTTTGGGATGGGAGTGGTGTTTGGGGTGGGAGTGGTGTGTGGTGTGTGGCTGACGGACGAGTGTGAGCTGGAACCAGTCCCTGCAGGTGACTCGGTTGCCTGTCCAGTTGTGGAAGTACCTGATGGAGCCATCCAAACATCCATCCATCCATCCATCAGTGTGTGTAGGTGTTTTGGTGTGATGTGTTGTGTTATGTGCCTGCCCCCACTCGTGTGCAATGACGCCCATGATGCGCTCGTAGTCGGCGTCTGTTGATGTGTCCGGCGATGCGAGAATCAGCGCCGTGTTGAAGACGTTCAGACCCTGAGAGGCACACACACAGGGGGAGACAGACAGACAGACAGACAGGGGGGCTTTGAGTAAGGTAAGTGCGTTGGTCTGTCCAGCCCATATCGCTACTAGGCGACCTTGTTCTCCATGGCACCCCTGACACACACACACACACACACACACACAGAGAGAGAGAGAGAGAGAAGGATTAGGTGTGGGTTTGCTTCACACAGACAGACAGGAGTACATGTTGAAGTCATCGACGGCGACGCTGACACACACAGAAACACACACAGAGAGAGAGGGGGTAGAAAACGGTTGGCTGTTGGTTTGGTTTGGTTTGGTTCGGTTCGGTTTGATCAGTGTGTGTGTGAAGGTACGTACATGTTGAAGACGTCCAGGTCGTACTCGCGGCCAAACTTCTCCTCATCCCACTTCATCGCCTGATGATGTCAACACACACACACACACACATCCACCCACGAAGAAAACTATGAAACTTTGTCGGTATATCTCTCTCTCGGGCTCGTATCGTAAGTGTGACCTTCTTCAGTGACTCCATGGCCCAGTCCAGCTTGGCCACATTGTGGGGCTCAGAGAAGATCTCCAAACGCACCTTCCGGCCGCTCTGCATCAACGACACCACCAACAAGCCATCGACACACCTTCCCACCCCCATCACCCCATTCAGCCCACCGTAGTGGTAAAATCGCTGTGGATGGACTTGAGGTTGCCGACGACGAGGGCGAAGAGGTAGCAGGGCTTGGGGTGCGGGTCCTCGAAGGATGCGTAGTGCCGCCCGTCGGCCGCGTCGCCGCTCGAGATCTGGTTGCCGTTGCTGAGCAGAACGGGGTACTCGGACTTGGAGGCCTCCACACGAACCTGATGGATGGATGGATGGCATGGCATGGCTCAGACAACGTGTGTGTGTGTGTGTGTGGTGGGATACTGACTGTGTAGAGGGACATGACGTCGGGTCCTGCGGACAGACAGACAGACAGACAGACCGCCATTTGTCAGTGTCCTTGAGGTGAGCTGAGGTGATGTGGTTGGCTGACTGACGGTCAAGGAAGTATGTGATGCGTCTGAAGCCCTCTGCCTCACACTGCGTGCAGTACATCCCCCCACTCTTGTACAGCCTACACACACACACACACACACACACACACACCGTCCGCACCTCTCATCTCGCCCACCACACCCCACCTCCCACCCTCACCCCCACAACTGACAACTTACCCCGAGAGCTGGAAGTTCTTCTCCGGGCAGATAGCCACGGTGGTCTCCACCTTGAAGAGCTCATCGGGGTCGGCCGGCAGCAGCTTCCCCCGGATGACCAGCTGCTTGTCCTCATCGTGGCCGTACCCCTCCGCCCCCTCGCTCAGCACCTTGCCGTTGAGCTTCACCTCCTTCAGAGTCAGGTCCTCGCCGTGCAGCACCAGGTCGGCCCCGCTGGGCGACCCGCGGTTGCGGTAACACGTCAGCACCGAGCGCACCTGAGTGAGTGATGCAGTCAAGTCAGTGCAGACGCCTGCATGGTGTCTCGTTTGTGTCTGTCGGTCTTAGCGTACGGTGGTCGTGTCCTTGTGGACATCGAAGTCGAGGTCGACCTTTTTGATCCAGTATTCGGGCGGCCTGTAGTCGAGCCGCTTCTTCTCCTTGGGCGGCTTCCGCAGGTCGACCTCCTTGACCTGCTCGGCAGCTGCCGTCGCCGTCTGCGTCACGGTCTGCGTCTGACTCGCCATCTTGCACACCACACACACAACAACGAACCACAGAACCCAGAGATCTCTCCTTCTCTGCGCCAGATCTCTCTGCAAGCCAAGCGCGCAGTGGACCGACCGACCGAATGCGCGTGGGTGGTTTGAAGCGGTGCTGGTGCTCTTGATGGGCGGACGAGGTGGTGGTTTGACCGTGCCTTTCGCCAGAAGCTGCTGCTGTTCAGCCCATCTCTGGTGAGGAAGGTCAAAGGCGTCTGGAAGGCCGCCGTCGACACTGCTATCGACCTCAGGATGCTCCCCGACTGGAGAATGCAGCTCAGAATGGCGCCGCCCGCCCCTTTGGTGTGCATTCTTTGCCTGGCGATGCTGCCCCAGGAGTCCGCCGCATTCACCCAGCCAATCAGATGTCGTGTTGATCATGCGCCGAGGCCACCCATCGATGGCGGCAGGAGGAGGCAGCCGTCTGTCGGGATGTCGGCCGTCATGGAACCGGACACGCAGAGGCACGTCCGCGAGCGGAGGAGAGAGCGGGAGCTGAGTGCCCTTCCGGACCTGGTCAAGCCGGGCTGGTTTCCCACACGAGCCCAGGAGGTGGTGGACACACGGACGGTGCAGGCAGTCCGGGTCTCACACATCCTTCTTGAGGTCAGCCACGCACTGTGCACCCACACACACGCCCACGCCACCGTGTGTTGTGTTGTGTTGTGTGTAGACGGAGTCATTGGCAGAGCTGGCGCTCGAGCGGCTACGCCAGGGCGATGTCGACTTTGCCGATCTTGCAGAAGTGGCCAGCATCTGCCAGGCGACCAAGCAAGACAAGGGCCAGGTCGGCTGGGTCTCCCTGAAGGACGACTTCCTCGACCCCATCATGCCGCTCGAGGTCCGGGAGGCCGCCATGGCCCTCAAGCCGGGCGACATGACAACCGTCCGCTCCGGCAGGGGCGTGCACATCGTCAAGGTGGAGGACGTCATGGCACTCCTGACGCCGACGGCCTCGCAGCCGAGGTCCAAGATGCCGGGAAGCGGGCAGTTGCTTGCGGCGTCGGGGCTGTCCCGCCTGTTTAAGAAGACTGTTGGGGCGGCTGATGGGCTGGAAGGGGAGAGAGAGAGGGAGAGCGAGTGGCGGTACTTTGTGGACACGATGGGGTGTCAGATGAACAAGGCCGACTCGGAGAGGATGGCAGGGCAGCTGGAATCCCTTGGCGCACGGGTAAGTATGTCGTTAACTGCATTGATTGATTGCGTGTGGGTGCGTGGGGCGGGGTGGGTCATTGTCTGTCTCCCAGGTGACTGACGATGCAAAGGGGGCCGACATCGTTGTGCTCAACACCTGCTCTATACGCGACAAGGCCGAGCAGAAGGTACGTACGTCAGTGCTTGTGTTGTGTCAGTCGACTAAGTGTGTTCATGTGTGGGTGGGTGTGTGCGTGTCAGGTTTACTCAGCCCTCGGCCCCTTCGCCGCGCGGAAGCGATCCGGCAAAGACGTGACACTTGTGGTGGCTGGCTGTGTGGCACAGCAGGAAGGAGAGAGGCTACTCAGGAGGTCGGCAAGGCAACGCTAGGCTGCCACCAGCCACCAACACACAACACGACACTCCACACACTCACACGCGCCGTGTTGGGGTTCGTCAGAGTCCCTGAGCTGGATCTTGTGATGGGGCCGCAATACGGTGAGTCGTCACCTACGAGCACACACACACACACACACACACGCACGCGGCCTTGATTCGTTTGTCCACACTCGTGTGTGTGTGTGTGTGTGTGTGCGTCTGTTTCTCCTCACTCAGCGAATCGTCTGGGCGATCTGCTCGAGGACGTGGCCAACGGCAACCAGGTGGTGGCCACCGAGCCCACCTTCATCATGGAGGACTCCACCAAGCCGAGGAGAGAGAGGTGAGTGAGACCCCCACGCCCACACACACTGTCTGTCTGACTGACTGACTGACTGTCTGTCGTCAGCTCGGTGGCCGCCTGGGTCAATGTCATCTACGGCTGCAACGAACACTGCACCTACTGCGTCGTCCCCAACACACGAGGGGTCGAACAATCGAGGCCGATGGAGTCGGTCCGCCGCGAGATGGAGGAGCTCGGCGCCCTTGGCTTCAAAGAGGTCACCCTCCTCGGGCAAAACATCGACAGCTGGGGGAGGGACATGCATCCGAAGCGAAAGTTTTCCGACCTCCTGCACCATGTCGCCGACACTCCAGGCGTCGAGCGGATCCGATTCGTGACCTCTCACCCTCGCTACATCAGCGAGAGGGTGGTGGATGCGGTGGCGGAGCACCCCTCCTTGATGGAGTACTTCCACATACCTTTCCAGGCGGGGGACAATGAGGTGCTGCGGAACATGAGAAGGGGGTACACGAGGGAGAGGTACCTGCATGTGATTGACCGGATACGGAGAAGGATCCCCGGTGAGCTGAGCTGAGCTGTGGGTCCTTGGGAGTGTTCGTCGGCTTGTGTATGGGATTTGCGCTCTCTCTCTCTCTCTGTGTGTGTGCGCGCGCGCGCGTGTGTGTGTGTGTGTGTGCAGAGGTGGCCATCAGTGCCGATGTGATTGTGGGCTTCCCGGGGGAGACCGAAGAGCAGTTTGAACAAACCCTTGACCTCATGAGACAGGTAGTACCTGACCACCCCCACACGTGTGTCTTGTTCTCTGGTACATCCATCCATCCATCAGGTCAAGTTCGACTGCCTCATCACGGCCGCCTATTCCCCCCGCCCCCACACGCCTGCAGCCACCTGGCCAAACCAGCTGCCCGACGACGTCAAAGAAGACAGGCTCCGGCGCATCAACGAGCTCGCCGCACAACACGCCTACGAGCGAAACCTGAGGTACCTCGGTCGCGTCGAGGAGGTGCTAGTGGAGGAGCGGAATGTCAAGAACCCCACACAGGTCATGGGCCGGACGAGAGGCAATCGGCTGGTCTTCTTTGACGGTGATATTGCCGAGCTGAGGGGGAGGATGGTGCCGGTGCGGGTGACCGAGGTGCGGCCTTACAGCCTGACTGGGAGGATTGAACGGGGCGAGGAGCCTTTCCATTATTGCGAGAGCGGGCTGAGGAGGCCGTCTGAGTCCAGGAGGGGGAGGGAAAGGGGGCGGGGTGGGTCGTCGTCACGATCATCGAGACTTGACGAGGTGCTCGCAGAGCTGACATCGGCTTAAGAAGCGGTGTGATGTGATATGTGTGTGAGAATGGTGTCTGTCTATGGTTTTTCTGTGTGTACGGTGCGGTGGTCTGTGAATGGAGCGGAGACAAGAAAGACGTTGACATTAGACTGATTGATGAAACAGTAGCAATGTCACTCACCTGCAGCATGCCCATGCAATTGCACACTCGGCCACGACCACACACGCAGACACGCACACACACGTCAGCTGTCTTTCTTGTCTTTGCTGTCGTCATCTGTCTCGTCAAAGCCTGCACGCCACGCACAGAGAGACAGACAGACCCATGAAAGTGAGGGAGGGCCCATCATATGCCATGCCGCCTGGTTGCGTGAAGGTCCGTGGGCACCTCACCTCCAGTTCTCTGTCTGAATCTGCATCCTGCCGTGCAGACCTCCAGGCACTTGACAGACGAACCCCTGTCGCCCTGCACACCACACACGCCCCACCCACACACACGCAATCACACAGTCAGACCTTTCCGCCACATGATCATGGCTCTCTGCCCTCCGTCAGACTGTCTGCTATGCTCGATAACCGACCGGAGACCTGTCGAGGAACTTTATGTTGAATGCCTTGGAGTCCTCCTTGATGTCTTGCTTGTAGCACAGCTCCTCACACCCGCTCACACACTCCTCGCTGCACACACACACACACACACACACACATGCAGCCACCCGCACCGAATCAAGAGAGAGAGAGGGTCTCTCGCTCTCCATGCATCCAATCAGCTAGCTCACAATGTGCTGGAGTCGTCATCGCCACACGCCTTCTTGCAGTAAGTCCTGTACGTCCACGCCTGCAGGCAATCAAACAAGTAATGACATCAGACGCCGGCCATATCCATGGGGCCAGTGTGTTCCGTGGCGCTGGCAACACAGTGGTCCCTCCCACACCCTCCCCCATGTTGAATGAAGTCTCACCCCACCCACCATGCGGAAGTCGCCGGTGCTCTTGACCGATGTGATGTCGTTGCACATGCCGAAACACGAGGTGTGGTCGACAGAGAGATCCGACAGGGCAGTCTTGACGCAGCTCTTCACCTTCTCTATCAAATCCATTGGGGAGTTCGCAATGGCGGCGAGCTTAGCGCAGTCTCCGGCCCCCATTGGCCCCCAGCCAGAAATTGCCCCGTCTCGGTTTCCGTCTCGAGGAGCGGGGGTCCCACGCACAGGAGGTGTGAGTGACGATGGTGGACTGGGACTCGATCGACGAGGACATCAAGAAGCTCCTCACCGAGACCCAGTGCAGCATCTTCGAAACGGCTTTCACTCTCTTCGACCGTGACAAGGACGGATTTATCGCCTTCTCGTGAGTAACCAACCACCCAACCACCTCTCTCTCTCCCTCTCTTCCTCACTCCAGCTGTGTGTCCATGGCGTTCGTTGTGTGCACACTGTCTGTCAGCGATTTGCCGCAGATGTGGCGGTCGGTTGGGCAGAACCCGACGGACGCGCAGCTCAAGAAGATCGTGGAGACGTGGGACAAGGACAAGAAGGGGTTCTTTGACTTCAAGACCTTCCTGAGGATGTGCATCAGCCCGGCCTTCGACGACCCCATGAAGGAGGAGCGGCTGCTCGAGGCCTTCAGGCACTTCGACAAGGACGGCACCGGCATCGTCACGGCGCCACAGCTCAGACTCATACTCAGTGCTTATGGTGGGTGGTGCGCTGGTGTGTGGTGTGTGGTGTGTGTGTGTGTGTGTGTGAGTGTGTCTCCCTCTCTCTCTCTCTCTCTCTCTGGGTGCATTAGGAGAGAAGCTGCCAGAGGAAGAGGCAGACGAACTTGTGGAGTGGTAAAAGAGACACAGAGCAGAACACAATAAACCATGGCCGTGGGCGGCATACACTCCTCTCTCTCTGTGTGTCTTCCTTTTTGTGTCTTCCTTCAGGGCCGAGAAGGTAAGGAATGTGCGCAAGGCAACACGTCCACTGCTCTGCAATGGCCTGTCTGCCTGGCTGCCTGCGTGTGTGTGGGTGTGTGTGTCCATGAGGTGCAGGCGCAGGGCGTGTTGGTGAGCGAGGGTCGTCTGTCGTACGAGAACCTCATCAAACAGCTCCTCGAGAGGGACCCTAACATCATGTAGAGGAAGGGACCGACCTGTCTGTCTCTCTGTCTTGCTTGGTGTGGCGTGGCGGTTGGCTCGCTGCCATATGCGGTGCGGTACGGTGCCGTGTACTCTCTCTCTCTTTCTCTCTGTGATGTCTGTGATGTCTGTCGTGCGGACGCACTGATTGACATCAATATCGCTTCGGTGCGTCCATTTGCTGCTGCTATGTCTGTCTGTCTGTCTGTCCGTCCGATTGTCCACAAGAAACCACCGGCAAAAAGGGCGAAGGATAAATCTGACTAACTGACGAATGATCTGATCACATCAGGGGCCATCCATCGCCGCATCCCTCTGCGCTTCCGAGCCAGTCAGTCAGCCACCGCATCTCAACAAGAGCTGCATCCGTACTCGACGCAGCCCTTTGGGAGATCCGGCAGCACAACAACCGAGCAGCGCCGAGCCGAAGTCAACAAGAGCTGCACACGTCACGTCACCCCCATGGCGTGATGCCATACTGACCGGCCAACCAACACCCACACCCGTCCCGTCTCATAAACCAGCCCACTCTTCGGAGCTGCCCCCACACACACACAGGTCGGATCCCGTGACCACTCTCGATGGCATCTCTCATCACCCACCCTCTCTCTACCTGCTGTCTACCACGGCTGCGTGACTTCTTACTACCGAAAACAGTGCGATAGCGCCGCTCTGCCTCTCGCCCACCAGCAGAGAGGGCGACAGCCGGGGCTGCTGCGTGGTGGTGCGGAGGTACTCGCCCGCCAGGCCGGTGGGGTCGTCATACACTGTACCTGGGGAGCCGCCCTCGGTGGTGGTAGTGCCGTGTGTGGGCCAGGCCGAGAGGAAGTCGATGCACCTGAGGGCGGGGGTGCTGTCGTCGAACGACCACCGGTGGAGCTCCCTGATGAAAAGGGGCAGCGGACAAGGAGAGAGAGAGGAGGGGGTGGTGGTGTGTGTGGTGGGGTGGGGGGGAGGAGGGGTACCTCTGCTGTGGGACGTCCCACAGGGCGGCGTATGGGTGTGACTGGCCTTCGATCTGCACATGGCCGCCGACAAGGGCCGTGCCCCACCCATCCGACGTGGCACACCTGCACAGCACAGCACAGCACAGCACACAGACAAACAGACAGACTGGTAGGTGTCACTTACATGGGTCACGCACGACGTGTGTGTGGCTATTTCCTCACTTGATGCGGCTGCTGCTAGTCTTGGCATTAGGCGGCAGCGACGACCCCCGTGCCATGGACATGACCTCTCCTCCCCCTCCCCCTGCCCCTGCCCCTCCCCCACTTGCTGCCGCCCTGATATCCCACAGCCGCGTGTCGCCATCTTCGCTGATGCTCATGGCACGGTGCTCTGAACACCACACACAACAGACAGACAGGCGACATTCGTGAGGTGTTCTGCGGGTGTCTGTTCTGCATCGTACCTCTGATGTCGCAGTGGACGACAGCTGCCTCATGCGACCTGCAATGACGGAACGGACCACACAACACACGGGAGTCTCTCTCTCTCTCTCTCTGCGTGTGTGGTGTGGCTTACGCGGAAAAGAGTGGTCCCTCCTGACACCTGGGGTCCCACATGACGAGGGTCCCGTCCGACGCAGCGGAAACCACCGTGTTCCCACACACGCCCACACACGTCACTTCCTCCTATAAAAACAAACAAAGCCGCACACGCATCCACATTCACCCACACCCACACACGCCCACATGCACAGAAAGACGCACCTGGTGGTCATCGAGCGCCTGCAGGTGCCGCAGTGCGGAAGGCGTCACCGCCCATACCCGAACAGTCTGGTCGGCCGAGCCAGAGACGAGCGTGTGTGTGCTAGTGCTGGTCTGCCCGCCACTGCCTGAGGAGAGGTCGGTCGCCAGGCACCTCAGCGTGTCGGCGTGGGTGAGCTGTTTGGCCACGGTCGACCCGCTGGTGGGGTTGAACAGCACCAATGCACCGTCAAAGGCGCCTGCACACACCAAATACACCCATTGTGGGTGTGAGGTGATGTGATGTGGCTTGTTTGGCTTGGCTGGCTGACCGATTGCGAGGAGGGAGGGGCGTCCGATTGGCAGTGAGATGACGGACGACAGGGGCAGCTGTGCCAGCACAAAGCTCTGCACAGACGGAGGGCCGGGCCCGTTGGCCATGCTGCTGCTGCTGCTGGCAAAGGACGACGGGTCGTCGGCGTCAGTCTGCTGCCACACCCGCAGACACCCTGGAAGACACATCACACCACCAACAGAGTTTGTGCATTCCTTCCTTGAGGTGAGTGTGGTGATATGTCATTCATGTCATGCTGGACATCAATCAATCTTGCCTGTTCCGTCGATGACGCTGGCATGGCAGTCATCCACTGCCAGCCCAGTGAGAGACCGACACACTCCTTGCAGCGTCCGCCGATGCACGGCTCCACACACGCCGACCAAACCACCACCACCACCACCCCTGGCCTCCTCACTCTCGGGCGCGGCCGTGTGGCCTTCACTCTCCCTCTCCCTGTCTGTCTCCCTCTCCCTCTCTCTGTGTTCCCTGGGGCTGGTGCGCGCAGACCATGCCGCATTCGCCGATGACGGCCGGGGGTGTGTCGACGAAGGGGGCGAGGACGCCATGCGGCTGTGCATCCGCGCCGAAAGAGATGAGGGAACCGGCGAAGGGAAGACAGGCGGCCCGGGTGTGGTTGTGGATGTAGGTGTGGATGTGGGGGCGGGGGCGTGCTGGTGGATCTTGTCACGCCGCAGCTTGATGAACCACGGCTCGCTCTCCGTGGGAGACGTCAGCAGGTCCGCCGGCTTCCACTGCGGGCAGTGCAGCCGGGGCGGGTGCGGGTCTCTGAACAGCTGCTGGGGCGTCTGGCCGAACTCCTGCACCTGGGTCTCGAGGGCGGCCTGCGACACGTGGGAGCGGCCGCCGAGGGCTGGAGTGGGGCTGCCGGGCTCCTTCTGACTGTCCTTCTGCTGTGAGGTTGGCAGCACGCCCTCTGGCTCCGGCTCGGCGTAGGTCAGGGGGTGGAACAGGTTGTGGGCTGGGTGAACACAGACACACAGGGACAATGGGGGAACAGATCTCTTTTGTGTGGGGGGTGAGTTGCCACAGGGGGGAGGGTTGTGTGTGCCTTACCTTTGCGGGCCTCTTCGCCTCGTTGCCTGTAGCCGAAGATGAGATCGATCCACAGAGGCAGATGGTGAGACACATGCTCACTCTGACCAGCCAGCCCAACCACCGCCACCAACACAACACCACCACAACCCACATGTGATGTGTCCATCTCTCTCTCTCTCTCTCTCTCTCCCACCTCCAGCGCAGCCCTCATCTTGACAAGGAAGTCCAAAGGGCTCCTCGCCCACGGCGGCAGCTCCACATCCCCCAATGCCCCCTCATGTGTCGTCACCTTGAGCTGGTTGAGCAGGAACTCAGGGTCCCTCTGGTAGAAGTCCGGCATCAGCTCGGCGAAGAAGGAGGCCTGATGACTCAGGGCGGCCCGCCACGAGTTGCTGACTGAGTGGAACATGCGGGGCCAGGCGTCGAAGCGGCCGCCGTGGAGCCGCAGCTGACACTCGGGGAGAAGCCGCACCAGCCAGTAGACCACATACGCTGACGACATGAATGAATGACACAGCACACAGCACACACCACACCGCTGAGAGATGGCAGACCGTCTTCCTTGTGCCTGTGTGTGGCGTGTGTGTGTGTGTGTGCGTGTGGGGGGGGGGGGGGGG